AAGACATCGGAATAGTTGCGGTGCATATGCGGAAGCTTGTCCCGAATGAGGCGGAGCGTTTCCTCGTCCTCGGCCGCTTCCCTCTCTCGGATGATCTGGTCGATCTCGTAGATGCTTGTCGTAAAGAACTCGGAGTCGCTTCGCATCATCTCATAGTGGAAAGCGTTTGCGCCAATCTCGCAAATTTGGACCGGCGTGAAGCTGCATACCAGGGTCTGGCGTCGGGAAAGAGAGAAGACTCCGCTCCTCCCATGATTCTTTCTCTCATATGCGGATGGTCCGTTTCTTGGAGGTTTCGCCTCCACTTGCCCTAAGGGTCCGTCTTTATAGGTTTCCATGGGCGAGGCTCGTGTCCTTGGGGTTTTGGGGTGCGGGTGGGTCGTTCCCTCGTCTCGCACCGGGCTCGGTGGGGTGATCATAATAGCGTCACGATGGGCCGTTATCACTTTCATTGGTATCGAGCGTCCGCCCTCACGTCGTCTGTCGTCATGGTCGATGGCATCGTCCCGCCGGTTCGCATCCGATTGATGGGCGGGGTGACGTATAGACAGTTCACGTGAGTGGTAGGGCAAGGTGATCTCTTTGCTCCAGCTAGGAGTAGGCGGGTACTCCTTTGGCCATACTAGCAGGCTCTTTGCAGAGTCGAGTAGGATTCGGAAGCGGCTAAAAAGCTTCTTCCCAATTATCACATCTTGCGCTCCGAGATCTAGGAGCACAAAGGGGCAGTTATATATTCGGCGTCCTTCGACTGTCAAGTGTAACCGAATATACTCCGATACGTAGCTTTGGATATTTCGCTGAAATCCACGTATGGGTACAGAGTAGGGCAGTTTCCGTATGGGGCTCTGAAGCGCTTTCGACAACCGTTGCGCGAAAAGCTTATTAATGACGAGGTAGCCATTTGCTCCTGTGTCTGCGAGTGACTTCGTTTGCACCCCGAGTCCGTTCATACTCAGGGTTGTATCAACGAGAAATTGGGAGCCTCCCAAGAGCTCTCGTAAATCCAGTCCTTGCAGATCACATTTGCGTAGACCTAGGAAGGAGCCTTTCCCTAGGCCTCGTCGTTTTCCTCCAGGGACGCATCCGACTGGTGGGCGACTGCTTCCTCCCACTGCTCTTCGTCCTCAGGGGCTTCGCGGTCAATCTCCTTGACGGTGGGGTTGAGCGGGCATTTGTCTTGGAAATGGCCCGGCTTGCCGCACTTGAAACAGTTCCCGGACGTAGCCGGCACGGCGGTCCGCACGCGGCCTGTAATGTCCGGCTTGGGGGCCGTGGGCGTAAAAGGAGTCCTCTGGAAGGAGACCAGAGGGCTTCTTGTAGGCCTCGGCGGTTGGGTTCTTCCGGGCTCAGCGGGTGTGAACCTAGATGAGCTCAGACGAGCGGGTCCTCGGGAGCTCGACTCGCCGCTCTTGGACGGGAAGCTTAGCTCGTTGTTCCGGCGTCGCTCCTGATTGAAGGCGGTGAGTTCTCGGACCATAGTGTGGTAGTCTCCCTTCCATTGACTTTTGATAACCGCTACGCGGCTACGGAATTGAGGGGTCAACTTGTTCCACATGTACCGAAACCATTCCGACTCTGTGACCTGTCCCGTAATAGCTGCACTTTGGAAGCGAGCTTTGAACTCTGAGAAAGTCTCGTTGGTATGTCCTTTCTCTCCCATTTGGAGGTCGTCGAAGAGGTTCCGGGCCTGTTCCGTTTCGTTGCCAGTGAGGTAATATGAACCCAACAGGTCCATCATCTCTTCGGCACTCCGAAACCCATGTGTCGCGGATAGGTATTGGGGTTCGAGGTATTTCTTTGCCAGGCCAGTCGTAGTCCCCCATATCAACGCTCTTCTCGAGACGTCGGTAGGGTAGTGATCCTCATTGACTACGAGGCGGTCCCGAATGGACGCGCTCCATTGCATAAAGGTATGTTCTATCCCATCGCTGAGCGGCGTAATCTTCTCAGAGATGGTGGATTTCTTGTAGCGATTCGGAGGGTCTTCGGAATACATCCTCGGAATCGATGGAGAACGAGTGTTTCGAAGAGGCGGCAACTGAACTGTCTCGGGGGTGTTTCGCATAGGGGAAGTTCGTCGCTCCTCAACTTCGACGGTGTCCACCTGTGGCGTGGACGGTATTCTGGTCTGGGTTGCCGCTAGGTTGGCTATCATTTCCTTGATCTCTTGCATCTGGATCTCGAGGTTTGCCATTCGATCCGGTATGTCATCGGTGGGTGCAGCGGTCGTAGCTGCAGCGGTGGTTTGTCTCGTTGACATTCGTGACGGTTGACCATCATTGTCTTGGGGGATGTTTGAGGTCATTTTCCTCATATTGGTTCGGGAGTGTATCGGTGTCGATACGAAAGAGTTTGACTTCCGGTAGCTCGTAGCTATCAACACTCTTGTTCACAATTGCCTCTGTGCTTGAGGGGGTTCTTAAGGATCTCGTATCCTATTCGGCGCCAACGCGTCGGCGACTTTACCAGCTTGCTCTGCAGGATCAAACCCTGATCCACTGGTTGTCCGTGAGTTCTCTGGGGTCACGGCTATTTGAAGTCGTCAGGTCTCTACTTCGAAATGTCACTGAGTCGCGGTCGGTGGTGTTTCGACAGTTCTCCTGAGTCGTTCCGTTGTGGGATATTATTTAAGTACGGCCGTCCCCGGCAGGCGTGATCTTTTTTGTATAATGTAAGGACACAGGGAATACGGCTCTCCGTAGGTGCATATGGGAGTGCGAGTCGGAGGTGATGCTGTATTCTATCCTATAGGTCTACTACGAAGGATACAAAAAAGATGAAGGTGTCACCCTGTATGGCTGTTCCCTTAAAATACCCGAAACCGCTCCGACTCAGCTAGCTCCCTGTTTGCCTAAGGCTTCCTTACGTTATGTGCCTAAGGCTGTCAGTCGCGACTGACCCGTAACGGCCCCGAGTCTCGATGGCGCCACGTGACGGCCGTAACTACCCCGAGTAAGGAGGCATCCTTACAGTCTCCCAATTTCGTATTGAAAAGTCAAGCTTGCAAACCTTTTTGTTAAAGTGTGAGAGCTTCACACTAGGATTTAAGATACTAGCAAATGCGAAGATAGATCCAGTATTTGTGTATAGCTTGTTATAATACTTCCTAATCTTCTTCTCTGCAGCATCGATTGCTAAAGTCATCTTTGCTGCCCATGGATATGTCTTATGCCGTAGCCGGTGCCGAGTTCCTTCAAGCGTTGATAAGAGTTTTTGATATACTCCAAGTGTATAGCAGACAGTAGGTCCGGCTGACGATCCAATGTTTGTTGTAAAGAAGTTGAATGGCCTTGTAAGATCAATGATGTATTCGATGTGCTTCCATTCTAGCTCGCTAAGTCTGAACATGTGAGCACCATGATCGCCTCGAGTATATTGATTGATTGTTGACTTGAGTTGCTGTGCTTGCAGAAGCATATGGCATGTCGAATCCCATCGAGTTGATACATCTTGAATAAGTCGAAGAAGCCTCTGAGATGATTGACCCCGGTTCATGTTTGCCTTTTGCAAAGTCATAAACCTGTTCCTTCGAGTTTGACTTGAATTAACAAAGATAGTGAGCTTCCGGAGCTATGAGATATTAGAAAAGACTACCAGAAGTTTACCAGAACTAACAAGAGAATATATACCTTTCCAAGTGTAAATCCAATACCCTTGTCCTTCTGCAACTTTGCAAGGCCCTCCATCTGATTCTCTTCTTCCCAGTTCATTAAGATCTCTTGATTTGTTGGCGTAATCCGGATTCGACCAAGGAGAGCACTAAGGACAAGTTGAATAACGTGAGCTAGGCAGGGTATGTGTTGTACTTTTCCTCCAATGAAATGCTCGTTGTCTGCAATACTATCAAGCATTATTTCCACATCTCTCATCATTGAAGTGTTGTTTGACGCATTATCAGTCGTAATGGATATAATTCGTCCTTCTAAATGCTGCCTTGTGATAACTTTTTCAAGTATTCCACATAACTCAGCACCAGTATGCTCTGTATATATAGGTTCAAACCCAATCAAGACCTCTTGCATTTTTCAATGACGGTCGATAAATGATGCAATAACACCCATAAATGAAAGTCGAGTAACACTTGACCAACAGTCGAGCGATAATGCAATCTTTGAACCAGGAACAACATCTTGTAGCATCTCTTCTTCGATTTGTGTGAGCTTTGTTGTTAAGAGGTTTCGAATAGTTGTTGCTGAGGGTAGTGGATAGTGAGGATTCTGTAAGATAGCAAGCCTTTTCCATTCAGGATCCTCGACTGAGCGGAACGAGCTATGAGTTGAGATAACTGTGTATAGAACTTGTTCGTAAAATGCCTCTTGTGTGAGAATATGATCCTATTATAGATATTAGCCTATATAATTCTGGTAATAATCTGGTAATCCTTACCTGTTGAGGTCGCATCTGATTGATTCGCATTTGATAGAGACTATCCTTACCCATCCGTGACTTCTTTTTGCAAATGTCTGATGCAAGATGTGTTGCCATAGACTTTGGGCCAGCAGACTTGATTGCAGGATGCGTAAGGGCCTTCGAACAATAGGTACAAATGACACATGGTTCTCCAGAAAGCCGGTCTGCTCCTTGGTGATAAATTCTCCAGTATTGAGAACTCCGGTTGGTTGAATCCCATGCAATCTTCGTAAGGAGTTTTGTAGTATGATCTGAGTGTTGTTCATACCATCGTGATAGCTTCCACCACTCAATGAATACATCGTGTGTATCCTTAGTCCATTTGATGAATTGGTTTAATTTGCCAGTATATTCGAGGCCCGCAGGGATTTGATTTAATGAAGGTAGTCGTTGAGAAGAGGGAAGAGAGTCTGAGAATATATTAGAAATAGGATTGTCAGAGTCAAACAACTCTGAATATTGCGATGACATTTGGCAAGTAGCAAATTGTTTGATTATCAGAAGATTACCAGAAGTCTGGCTACGATGAAATACTTAAATCTCTATAGCCCCTATTCGCGTCGGAAAATCAAATACTCCATTTCTCTCCTCTACTCTAACTCCAGAAACAACATATCCTGTGCAGCTGATACCTTAGCCCACTTTTCCTTATCAAATTTCTTAGAGTAGACAAGTAAGAACGCCTCTTTGAAGCTAGAACTATGAGTGGAGACTTGTAACCATCCGTTGTCGACAAGATTGTAAGACTTTGGGTACCACTGCGCAGGTCCTGGTAATTGGGCCCACTTTCCAAACTTCCAAGCTGTAAAGTTTGTCCAAACTGCCTGCTCGTACAAACAGAAATATTTATGTGGTGGGATAACGTTGTGAAAAGTGCTATAATAAACAATTAGTATCTCTAGAAGATTGCTAGAATGATCAGAGACGTACCCTTCTTCTACATCAATCCATGGCATATATTCAAAGAGATGCTCAGGCTTCTTTCTCAGCTTTCCAGCCTTTCTCGTATATGAGCGGATACAGCTATCCCAGAAATGTTGCCACTTGCGGAAATTGGACTCTTCATGGGCCTATCAACCGTTAGTATTACCAGAAGATTACCAGAAGATTACCAGACTATGAGGTACCAACATCAATGCGTGCTTGAGTTAAGAGAGCCTGGATGCTAGCGATCTCTTCATCAGAAAGCTCATCTGGTAGAACAGCCTCGTCATTTAAAATATCGTCGCGCCATAACATAAGCTCCAACTCTAAATCGTCTTCAACCTCAGTATCCTCCCATTCGCTGTTATGATCGTCATCGATTGGGATACTGGTGATACCCTCAAATGCAGCAAGCTCAGACAGAAGTTGTGGCGGAGTAGATGGTGGGGCTTGTGGAGAAGAAGAAGGGGCGCTAGTATTCTTGACTTTCTGATTCGCAATGCAAGATGCATGGGTGCCCTTTTCAGTCCTGTTTATAGTTAGATTAAGGCTACCAGAGATTACCAGAAGAAACTTACCGAACACGAATACGCTCAACCTTCAATTCATTCTGTAGACGTGTCTTGTCTTCAGCAGAGGCAGCGATATACTTTGCAGACTTGTATAACTTCTTTAAGTAGTAGCTCAGATCGCCATGGTCAGCCTTGAGTGCTAAATGAACAGCCTTCTCATCTTCAGTAAGGTTGGAGACGCGGTTGCGAGCTTTGATAGTATTCAAATTAGTGGAGAGTTCTTCAGGTGCCTTGCGTTTCGCCATGCTAAACACGTGATTAGCAGAAGATCATCAGAAGTTCTGACTGTAGAATCAAGATAATAAACTTACTTGAGGTCCTAGTGAAGAGGTAAAGCGCAAAAGAGAAGAAGAATGTGTAGATCGGAACGTAACCAAGGAAGGTGGTTGGTTGTAAGGTTGTTGTTTTTTTAAAGTTGCAAACAATTATATTCGTCAAGGAATATTCACCTGCAAATAATTACTGTTCTAAACAACACTACAACGCGTACCTTCAAATAAAACACATACCTTTCAACCTCTACCTCTTTCTTTACTCTTTCTACAACATCCTTGCTACAAACTCACTGTAAGTACATATATCTTTTGATCTACTTCTTTGTCTTGTGTATACTTCACTAACTCATCTTAATGTTAGCAAATGGCTCGTATTAAGCAAACTGCTAGGAGATCAACTGGCGGCACAGCACCAAGGATGCCACTTGGATTACAGGCTGGCTCTAGGCTTGGTGGAAAGGGAAAGGGAAAGGAAAAGGCTGTGCGCACAGCAAGAAAAGCTCCAGTTCGCTCATCTCAAGCTTGCAACAATCATGCTCAGAAGGCCATGCGCCGTGCAAAGTCTGGTAAGAGGATTACCAGAGGATTACCAGAACTCTCTAATAAACATATAGGCACCAAGGCTCTCCGCGATATCAGAAGACAGCAACTTGATACTCGCCTGATTATTCCAAAGCTCTCATTCCAGCGTCTTGTTAGGGAAATCGCACAAGACTTCAAGTCCAATCTTCGCTTCCAGCAATCTGCTATCCTAGCTCTCCAGGAAGCTGCCGAATGCTTCCTCATTCGAGAATTTGAGAGTATGATACTTGAACATAGTGACAGGGACATACTAACAGTTATAGTGACAAATCTCCTTGCTATTCATGCGAAGAGAGTGACAATTCAGGCAAAGGATATGGTATTGGTTCGGCGTTTGCGGGATATGATGTTTAATCATGGAGCTGTAGGCTTAATCGATGGAAATGTCTCTCACCCAGGAATGAAGGTTAGATAAGTTCTGGCAACCTTCTGGTAACCTGGTACCTAAAGGCAAAGGTTATAGTGTGGAATAGGATATCAACGACATGGGAATGGAGTTATTGAGTTATGGCGTTTTACGATATCGATATCAATGTGAAGTCACGATCACACCCCCTTTTCAATGACTAATCAAACACGTGATATAACTGGGTTGCCAAGACCTATACTAGGTACCCGGCAAGTGAGTAATCCTCATTCAACAATACTCGGGATATGAGTGAGTAACTCAGCTGGGTGAGTAGAAATTCTACTACTCGACTCATGAGTACCCAGTGCGCAGCCTAGTTCTATTATACTTTAAATTAACGTTCTCCGCAATTAAACGCGACAGCGACGACGTGATTGTAAAATTCAGAGTAGCTGGGGTTTAGTCCGTTCAGGAGTGGTCACACAACACGACTGGCACAAAAATACTGGAAGTTTCAATGGACTCACAAATTTAAAATCAATTGAATTCAAAGTACCCATAGTCTGTCCCGTCACGGGGTGCGTCCCGTGATGCAGGGATGCACGTTATCTAGTAATTTTATTGAACATTTTTGTGTTAGAGCTGCTACCCATCGTATCATTGCCCGCGTGTGGGCTGAAGGAAAAGATACATTCGCTGTCATCGTCACTTCCTATGAGGTCCCAATCCGAGCCTATATCTAGCGGTGATATTGGGCTGTCTTTGTAGCTCTGCTGATGAGTCTGATTACTCTTACTCTTTGTTTTACAAATGGCCAGACTTTTTTCGAAATCAGGCGTTGCTTGATGACTCAATTTATGAGCTGAGTGGGGACTTAAAGTTGTAGGCACAGCTATGGTTAGATCGTGGTAGTTTAAATCTCTTGTCCGAGTAAGCGGCATCCGTATTGCATGATCAGGGATCTCGTTTGAGAATCTGACCCCCAGGTCACCACGATTTCTCAGCACATTGCTGCTTCCTTTAGTGGTGCAGCCGCATAGCACGTCCTCGTCATTAGCCAAAGGCCAAATTTCGTCAGACATCCAAGAGACACCCCGCTTCAGTCTCCCAAAAACCTTCGGGGTGAGAAAGTTATCACAAGGGCTGGTGGAAATATCCTTGGCGTTTGAGGCGATGATGTCATCCTGGGGTACGGATGCCGCCCGTAATGGATTGCTGGACGAATCTTGGCTAGTTTCTTCCATGGCTTCAGGACAATCTATCGCTAGAGGTGGTAGTTGACTTCTCATTAGAAGACGGGTGCGCATAATTAAATGCTCTTCAACTCTGCGCTAAGGGCTGTCAAATTTATCAGTATGGCAAAGATGCACATATCATGTTTTTTTGCGAATCCTTGTATACTGCAAAACTGCCTCTTTGCCACATTTTGATCCATGTAGAAGACGAATTGGGTGTTGCTGGTTGTTTAGTTAGTTATTTTCAGCAGTGTCCATTTCCAGACACTTGTGGTTCAGTAGTACGTTGAACCGCCGATTCTACCTCCCTCGATATCTCCCTGGTACAAGCCATCTGCAAAGCCACAACAAGCCACAGGGAAAAAAGCTAGCGACAATTAATTTGCCTTCTACCGTATTTAGCATAAACGAAAAGTAAATATGCATGTACAGTACTGTAATCACAAAACTCTCTCTTCTCCTTAGAGGGGTCCATTTTCTGACGCTTGTGGATGTGCACCCCTGCCTGGTTGTACTCCAAAGGAACCGCTACAATATCATCACAGACCGAGCCGATTCTGGCCCATTTTACGCTTGGAACTCAAGTATTGCAAGTCACGGTCCGATGATACTCTTTTCAATAGAGAAAATAACCTACTATAAACCCATCGCCGCATTTCGTTCTCACCTAGATCCCTTTTGCGATGAATGGCACACAATTGCGGAATACATCTTGTTCTCATTGTAGTTCTAATTGAAATGTTTAGAGATACGATTTTGTGATTTTGGCCATGTCACGTAATTAGATTCTAGCTGTGTCTTTCTTTCTTTTCCCAAATCGTTTGGATAGAGCTAGGAAGGCAAATCTATTGAAACGACCTTCAACACGCTCACAACTACAGAACACATGTTGGTAAACTTCCTCCACCTCCCTGGCGAACTTCGCAACAGGATATATGAGCTATGCTTATTGCATAAAGAGCCTCTCGCCCTTTGGACTGGTTTCAATCACCGACATGATCTTAGTCCTGGCCTCCTCCGGGCGAACAAGACCCTCCACCACGAAGCCAACTCGCTCTTTTACGCCCAGAATCGCTTTGATTTTACCGATCAATGCCTCGTTTCAGTGAACGACGGTAAGCCGCTGTTTATGCTGGTTGCGATGTGGCCCTAATCGTCGTGACCAACGCTCAAGGTTGGATGGAGAAAGCGAGTTGCGGCACTTCACGTGAGAGGAAGCGAGTTGCGGCAACTCAAAAATTTGCGACCGTAAGTACCCCACCATAGTAATTTGTATGTAAAGCTACCTAAATATTCCATCTTACGAAATTATCACTTCCTCATGCCCACTCCCACTCCCACTCCCACTCCCATCTCAAATTAAGAGTAGTCCGTTCTCGTCCTCCGTTGTCCACGCATCATTAATTAAGCAATAATTTAGATCACCAACCCGTCATCAACCCTATAATCAAGGACTTGATAACCAGCACACGCCCGGTGAGCACCCTCCACCTCCGCGGCGCCGAGCAACCTATCCACAAATCTGAGCTGTACCGTCAGGTCAATCTATGATGCATGGATTATGTCATTATTGGGGTCGCAATAACAGTTTGGCATTATCTCATCACGGCAATATCGAGCAATGTTTTTATATTCCCAACCCTTTGCATTATCACGTGACACACTAAACCGCCGCTTCTAGATTCTCCTTAGCCAACCTCACCGCTCCTCTCGGAACTCCGCAGTACCCTCTCGTCGATTCTGCTAGGGTTACTAGGTCTACAACGTATGACGAAACACAAACGTAGCTCCAATTAAGCATTATAAAGCATCCTTCCTGCAGATGGAACAGTAAATATCAATCCTGCCTCTTCCGACGTCCTTAGAAAATCCTACCTCTTCCGACGCCTAGAATTCTTTCACCTATAACAGCAAACCTTATCCACCTGAGATGCCGTATTCAGACGATACAAGGGGAGACAGGCTCTTCTCCTTTAAACAACATGTCTGCGTCGTTACCGGCGGCTGCACTGGCATAGGACTCAGGTACACCCTTGCTTAGCAGTACGTCCTTATGTTCCGCTTCTAAAACTCAGCAGGGTAACCCAAGCACTAATAATGAACGGCGCACGAGTCTACGTCGTAAGCAACAACCGCAAGGCGCTCGAACAGACTTCTGAGGGTCATTGGCCCTCCCAAGGCGGGTCAATTATACCGTCTGTCACCACTCTTCTTCTCTCCTTGCACAAAACTTAATAAGGCCTAGCATTGCCTGCGATTTGACCAACAAGGAGGACTTAATGTACCTTGTAGGCGAGGTTGAGAAACGCGAGCACCGCGGCATCGACTTGTTAGTCACTGCGGCAGGGTCTGAAGGCGAGCGCGGCACGACGCCTAGTATGAACGCAAAAGAGTTGCAGCAGATGCTGTTTGCCGAGGATCAGAGGGAATGGCTTTCGACGTTTAACACTAATGTATCTGCTATCTACTTCACAGTCCGTCTTATTCCTTGTCTTTACGCTACCTAACATGCTAACCCCGCTAGACGGTAGCCTTCCTGCCGCTGCTCCAGAAGTGTAGCGGCGATGGTCACGCTAAAGCTTCCGTCATCATCATCGCTTCCATGTCAGGACTCCAATCCCGCCTAAGTGGCTATTTCTCATACAGCGCTTCTAAGGCTGCCACTATCCACCTATCTAAAATGATGGCGTACGAGTTCCAAGTCTTCAATGTACGCGTTAACAGTATTGCGCCAGGCTACTTCCCGTCTTATAACGAGGGGAGACAGACGCAGTTGGTGCCCGTTGGCGAAGAGAATGGCACTGAGAGCGAGATAGCGCAAGGTGTGCTTTTCCTGGCGAAAAATCGTTTTGTCACTGGCGAGGTTCTCAATATTGACAAGGGTGAGTCCTTGTGCAATCCTGTTAACTAGATCTCTTGTATTACGACCTAGTATAAGTATGATCAGGAACGGACTCGGTCTATGCACACAAATAAATAGGAAATTGTAATTATTATCAGGAGATAAGACCAGCTTTTCCACTCTCAGGAGTTGAAGTTGACCTTTTCCGTCGCTTGCCATTTATTTACCCTCGCCCCTCCCCGCTAGTAGATCCTGTGGAAAGAACTTTCTGCCATATATGGCCCTGTGATCGTTAGACCGTCGAAAGCACACAAGTAGGTTGCATACCAATTCACATAATACGCTACATTTCGATAGCCCCTACTAGGCACCTGGGATGATGTATAGCCACATGAAACCTTGCATGTAACAATGCGGTTTAAATTAACAATCTTACTACTAGTACTACTTAATTACAGTACTATCACCTGCCATAATGTAACTAAAAAGTTATTAGGTATATATATTCGGAGCAAAATACCCCGACAGCCCCTAATTATAGAGGGCCCCTTAAAAAGGGGGCCCCGAATCAAATGCCAAAATGAAAGCTCGCACACCAAACCATCCCCCAATCTCCCCCGAACATGGTTTATGCCTCCTCTTCGGTAGCTAAAAAAGATAAGCAGCCGCCTAGTTGCAAGATCTAGAAGTCGAGCACAGGTCTCTTCGAGCTGTGGGAGCTCTTCAACCGCATACCCAAACTTTTCCGGCTCAAGTTTTACCCGAGGCAGTAAGTATTGTAAGATTTCTGGAGTTTGCTGCGGTAAATGTTCGTTTGTACAACTGCCATTGTTTGCGAGGAAAAGCCATTCTGTCAAAGAAAGTTTCAAATCTCGTTCTCGCCAAACCATTGTACCAGTAAACATGCAATCAGTGAGGGTTATAGGGGCATGTATAGTACCAGGTGGTTGAATAAGAGTATCCCCACACACTAGTGCAATGACTGGTATTTGTGGCCCTTGTAGTTCTGGTCGCCAGTTCTCACCATGCTCCATGAAGCCATTTTGAAATGCCTTCTGGCCCAAAGCGGTTAATTGGAAACACTGGCCAGTATTTAACGACGTCTTCTGGCTTGCTGTTGTCATTGTGTCCCTCAAGTGTTAACACGGTAGAAACTCCGTTCTGATCCTTATGCCAGCCCGAGGCTGCCCCTCGCTGGGCGACAATTGAAAACCCCATACATTGCTGGATATCCACTGGGCGGACTGGTAGAAATGTTGGCTTTCCCACGTTGATCTCATTATATTTTAATGTTTACAGTAGCGAACAACCTTCCGTAGATAGCTGTAGTGTTTGGTGACACCTGCAGGCAGCATCCATACCCACAGTCTGCAATATTAAGAAAATTAACAGGCGGATTTTGTATGCAAACTTCTAGAGAAGCCTCTGCATTCTTCCATAAGGTAAACGCGTCCTGTATCTTTAAATTTTCAACAGCTTGTCTGCTTGTATCTTTATTAAGTATTGGACATCGATTTGCATTGACTTTGTAGAGATTTGAGCCTCTGTCTCCATCTCATTGAACCACTTTTGCAGCGTCTGATATGGTCGTCGCTCCAAGAATTTGTGGTCTCGAATAATAATGAGCTTCGGGTCGTTATTATTAGCTGCCCATATAGCATGCTCTCCCTCTGTAAGGAGTAATATATCTGCGTCGTCGTACTTGCAGTCGCACTTTCCATGTATAGAGACAGTATCAAAACTAAATCCCACATTATGGGATCCTTCACTACCAGCTGTCCATACCTTTGCAGGGCGCCCGTACTTGAATATATGGGTGGCGAGTTGCCCAGCATTGGCAAGGTGAGTGTTTGGGTTTTCTTCATAGATTCTGCGATATGCACGAAGTAACGCATGCCTTTGTTCGTCATTAAACAGATCATCCTGCTGCTTCTGTGCAGAGAAAAGGATTTGGGTAGATAGGGGGTTTGTTCGTATATCTTGCTGATAGGCATGTCTCTGCCTATCTCTCAGTTGGCGACTCTGTCTTATATAGCGTCTATGACGTTTCTCATGTAGAGGTCCCGCTATAGCCAATCGTCGTTGCGACTTCTCGTGTGTAGTACCCATCTGAACATACGGCCGTAATCGCTTGTTTCGAGCGATATATTTGGACTGTTGTGAGTTCTCCTGTTTAGTACCTACTCGAACGTATGGCCTTAATCGCTTGCTTTGAGCGCCACCATTAGATTGTTGCTCATTAGGTTTCCGTTTTGCCGTTTTAAGACGTCCCCATTTGCATCTCTACGCTCTTTTTTAGGTCTGCATCACTCCTTGGCGTCTCTCTCTGCGTTGGTAGTACGCCATCCTTCTGGGCGTCGAAGACATTTTGCGCATCTGCGACCGTTTGAGCATCCGAGCTGTTCTGGTCATCCGTGCGACAGGTTGAATGCCCGAGCTGTTCTGGGCGTCTATGTTGTTCTGGGCGTCTATGCTGTTCTCAGCGTCTGTGCTGGCGTCTAAGCTGTTCCGAGTATCTGCGGCCTTCTGTGTGGCGTCCGCGTCTAGCCCCTTTCGTTCCTTCTCCCTCTCTGCCTCTGCCTCCGCCTCTACTTCTGCTACTTCTACTGCTTCTGTTGCTTCTGCTGCTTCTGCTGCTTCTGCTGCTTCTGCTGCTTCTGCTACTTCTGCTGCTTCTGATGCTTCTGCTTCCTGAACCTTTCGTGTCTCTATCTCTGCTTCTGCTGCTTCTGCTTCCTGAACCTTTCGTGTCTCTATCTCTGCTTCTGCTGCTTCTGCTGCTTCTGCTGCTTCTGCTGCTTCTGCTGCTTCTGCTGCTTCTGCTGCTTCTGCTGCTTCTGCTGCTTCTGCTGCTTCTGCTGCTTCTGCTGCTTCTGCTGCTTCTGCTGCTGCTTCTGCTGCTGCTTCTGCTGCTGCTTCTGCTGCTGCTTCTGCTGCTGCTTCCTGGACCTTTCGTGCCTCTGCCTCTCTCTTCTTCTGCGCCTCTTCCTCTACCGTTATTGCATCCTTAAATCACTTATCACAATGATATCTTTTCTCGTTGATTTTTTCGACACTATACCATTTTTTGAAGCTAACCTGTCGTGTCTGGCTATTTCAACACGTTTTAGTGTCAAGTCGAAATTATTATTAGAGAGTGCGACAAGAGACTTAAGGTTGTCAATTCCCACCCTTGAACATAGAACATCGCCCCCAATGTGAAAAAAAAGCTTATTCGGCTTCGTATCGAGCGAGGCAGCTATCTTTTCCACTTGCTTCTTAAGTTTTGTATGTCTTATCTTCGCCTCGTATATTATTGTTCTAGCACGTAGCCATATCTTTGAGTTCACTTTTCTTATAATCCAGTCTTCAAATGGTTTTCTCGTAAGGTCTTGTTCATCCATAGACCATTTGGATCTTAATCTCTGGAGGACCTGCAGTATAGCCTCTATAGAGTCCTTATGTTGAGAAACAGCATCTTCTAACTCTTGGACGAGATTTAATTGCTGGCGCTGGTTCATGCCGCCACGTTCAGCGGCGACAGCGGAAATTGGGAGTCGTGGTCTGGTGTTATCATCACGAGCTTCGCCATGCCCGCTAGTCCTGGTTATTGCCATTTGATATGGGGTGTGTATGCACCACGGCTACATCGGTAGGAGGTGGACAGTGTTCGGGAGCGGGCCTGCGAAGATTCTGAGAATGTGTGCTCCTCCGCGGAAGCTGGGATACCGTGTGTGAGACTCGTAGATGTAGATAGATAGGGCAATGTTTGTGTTTAGGATGGTTTTACGGATCGGGGTTGTGGTGGTAGGGTCTTCCTCTCCTTTCCGGCAAAGCTGGGATACCGTGTATGACTCATAGATATAGATAGATAGGGCAATGTTTGTGTTTAGGATTGGGATTTTGTTCGGGATCGGGGTTGTGGTGGTAAGGTCCTCCTCTCCTTCCCCGCGGAAGCGGGATAGGGTGTGTATGGTAATAGATGGATAGACGGGGCGAAAGATCGTGTCGGGATCAGCGGCGATAGTGAAGACCTCCAGTCTATTTGCGGAATCAGATGATTGATTTAAAGGGCGTTTGTTCCATCTCAAGAGGCCGTATATGAATTGCGTCGGTGGCAACAGGGGAACGTTCGGATTCGGGAGAGTGTGTTGGAATAGGTCATAGAGCGCTAAACTACATTTAGACACGGGAAGCATTAAAAAATGCTTCCCGTGTCTAAATGTAGTTTAGCGCTATAAAGAACACCGCTCTTCGTCACATGACAACAATATGGCGCTAAACTCCATATAGATGAGTTGTGAGATACCCAAAGAAGAGGAGGGATGAAGTATTGGAGCTTTGAGCAGCAGCATGGTATAAATCGAGGTTCGAAAGAAGCAAAATCCCATATGAGGAGTTGCAACTCAGGCGGCAGCTGTGGGAACAACGAGAATTGAGAGGGTATTATCTGCATTATATGTATTTAACAGCAATTCAATAATGGCAAGGACGAAGCATTTTATAAAGCAGGCTGAAAAGCTATTGAGGGTGACGCGGAGCTTGTTCTGCAAGTTAGAGAGCGTTGTCTTAAGTAGTATAGAAAGGAAAGTGAATTAGCGTCATATCAAAGTCATCAAACTGTTTGCTTGTAAAACTTGAGCTTAGAGCGTAACTTAGAATTGACAATAATCAGCTCGGCTCTACAATGACAATTTGCACGTGTGCCTGGAAATGGACCCCGCTAAAATAGTCAACTAAGAAGATCAGCGACACTCAATTCGCCTTTTACTGTAGGAGGCAAGTCAACGTAGCATATGCTGTAATGACAGGGTTGTGAAAGTGAGGAAATGATGTGCAATAGACCCCGCACAAATGTCAGTTTGTAACCTTGCTTGCCCAGGAGAGACAGTGTCACCCTAGTGCTATCCACCCCCCTGCATTAACCTGTATAAGCTTATTTTTAGACTCCCGCAATCCACATTTTCGCACGTACGCCATCCACATTTCGTGACACAGCTATTGTTAGAATAATCAGTTTCTAACCTCTGCGGCAATCGATTTTTCCTAGATGTCTCACCTGACCTGCCATCTAGAATGATCTACTTACGCCATCTACATTTTGCGACACGGCTATTGTTGGAATAAGCACTTTCTGACTTCCCCGACGAAAGCCTTTTTCCAAATGTCTCACCCACCCACATTTTATGACTCATCTGTTGTTGGAATAAGTAGTTTCTGACCTCCACGACGATCGCCTATTTCTAAATCTCTCACCTACAGTAGAAGGCTACGTAATTAGGTGTCACTATTTTTTTAGTTAGTTATTTTTAGCAGGGTCCATTTCCTGACACATGTGGCCGTGCACCCGTCCTTCACCCTTGTCTACTTTGTACCCCAAAGGTACCGCTCCTTGTGGTCATCATAGAGCAGAGCCAATTTTAGGATTCACGCTCAACTTTTGCAAAAGTACATGACGTTAATCTTGGATGACCCTACATTTCAATTTATAAAACTCATTGCCGCATTTATTACCATTCAGACACTCAGACTCTAGTCCAGCCGCATTACCGCAGTTTAGGGGCCGTTCAGGTAGGTCAACGGCAACCAAACAACGCATAAGTGGCGCACATGGTGGCGGCGAATGGCGTTGCGCTGGAGAAACCGAGAAAGAAATAAACTGGGACATCAGTTGCGGGATGCGTCTGTTCTCATTGCAGTTCCAGTTGAGATGTTTGGAGATATGATTGTGTGGTTTTGGACATGTCACATAATAGCAAGCAGAAGACTCTCATAGAAGCTCGTAGAAGCCCGTAGAAACCCATAGAAAACTTGCTAGGATATGGCCACGTGTCCTTACCAAGAGGCGACGAGCAATGTGGCAACGGTCTTGCCTTCTCGCCTCAATATTCGTCAACTCAGAACTCACGCTATCATGGCAAACATCGACTTTGACTGGCTGGATGGCGATTATGCTTCAAATCATAGAACCCCCGAGTTTTTGACTTCTGACAGCCCTAGAGCCAGCCCAGCAGCTGAACAAGTTGACCAGCAAAGTGGCGAACATTGTTACGACGGAACAAGAAGGCTGGCCAACTACAGGACAGGAAGGAGGGAGGTCGCATGAGACCGGCCCTGGTACCTGGAGGGGCAGCGGGGAATAGTAGTTCCGAAAGTATCACGTGATGGACTCGCAGGATGATGAGAAGAGTCCTAAGAGTCCAGGACTCCGAGGACTCGAGTGAGTTCCCAAGAGTCCACTAGGCACGACGCCACTATATAAGTAGATAGTATTTCCTTAGATAGGAGCTTCGTGCTCAACTCAATACAGTATTTGTTATATACTAGTAACGTGTTACTTGAAGCCTTTGTGTCTGATCCCCTGCCTCCTCTGATAAGTAAACCTTTACGCAAGAGAACCTCTGTGTCTTCTATCGTTTAGAAGTCAGCGTTACACTTTGAGCACCACTTCTACGAGGTACCGGCTTACACACAAAGCAACATGTCTGTCGTCAGTTCGAAGGGGAAAACCCCCACCACGCCAACTTCGTCTCAGAGGTCTAAGCCTGAGAATGAAGAGATGCCCGATGCACCCACCGTCAACGAACTCAAGGAAACTCTACGCGTCAAGTTGCCCGACACTTACTCCGGCAACCGAAAGGAACTTGAGGTGTTTTTGCTACAGGTCGAACTGTACCAGCACTTCAATGATGAGAAGTTTCCCACCCAGGAGAGCTATGCCCTGTGGACTGCGTCCTACCTTAGGGGGGAAGCCCTGCGATGGATCGAACCATTCCTCAAGGACTATTTCAAATATGAAAGTACCAATGGAAGCATGACAACTACGCAGACTATGTTTGGCAGCTGGAATGGATTCTGTAAGGAAATCCGACGCATGTTCGGAGACATCGATGAGATTAAGACCGCAGAAGACCATCTGTTTGCACTTAAGCAGACTGGCAGCGCCCTCACATACTCCACAGAATTCCAGAGATACGGCAATCAGACAGGATGGGACGCCAGCGCACTCATCAGCCACTACCGACGTGGGCTGAAGAGCCATATACGTATGGAACTTGCCCGTTTGGAACAACAACCAACGGACATGGTAGCGCTAATCGAACATACGGTCCGAATCGACAATCGACTATACGAATTCCAGAAGGAACGTCGGACCTATGACAAGCCCAAGAAAAGTTACCCCTACCGGGGAAACGAGGGCAGACGACGGGATCAACACCCGCGAGACAACCGTTGGTCGGACCCAATGGAACTCGATGCCACGTTCAAACCTGGACGACCCCGTGACCCTAAGAAAGACAGACAATTCAAGGAACGACTCTGTTTTAACTGCGACAAGCCAGGCCACATGGCCCGAGACTGCAGACAGCCAAAGAAAGGGAACGGCGGACGCAAAGTCGGCAAACAACTCAATGCCACCTGGACAGGACAGTTGAACGCAACGTTTGTGAGCAAACAGGACTGGGGAATAAACGGCGAAAGCACCCCAGAAGACGAGAGCTCAGATGAAGGGTCGGAGGCGGAATCGTTCACCATCTCGGAACAGGAGACCTTCGATGAACTCGCACCTATGGAACCAATGAGTCCACGGTGCAAGAACGTAGTAAGACGCATGGCAAAACACGCCCACGCGAAGATTAGGGCCGAACGAGACAAGCCCAATGGCCAGAGGAGAATCCCCATGCTTAAAGACCTCTACGGGAACCTGTTACAGGAACTTCCGTTAAAGTGCAAGGTGGACGACTGCAAGGATGACCTCTGGAGATACTACGACCAACTAACGAATACCCGCAGGCTGCTTGGCACGTCCCAAGACGTAGCTAAGTTGGAAGCCCAAGAAGCGGAAGAACTGGAGAAGGATGTCGAGCATATGGCTAAACTGAAGTATATGAAAAGCGTCGAACTTTACTACCAGGACCGCAGGAGAGCCCTGAAGAAGTACGACGAGAAAGCCAGAGATATGCTCCGACGGGAAAATGCGAGACCCACTCCACGCATCGAAAGGAGAGCCATGGAGCAACTAGACACGTTCTCCACGCCTCCGAGGGAAGATAGTGCATGGGTGAGAGGACAGCAGGAACTATCAACGACAGACGCAACAGAGACTGATCATCCCTGGCACGCGTATGTCTACTGGGAGTATTGCAGCGAAGATGACTGCAAGCTCCACTGGAAAAAGAAACACCAGAATCAGTTGTTTCCCCGATCCTCGCCCAGGATACACTTCAGAGACGCAGAGCAAGTTCACGCCCTCAGGCGAAGCCAGTCTGAAGGGGACTTGCCTATCAAAAGCGAACAGGTATATGAGAAATACCCACATCTGCTAGATGAAGCAGAAGAGCGAGGGAAACGATCTCCCCAAGGACCACCATTGGAAGCGGATGAATACTATCCTTCCTCGGACGAGTCAAAAAACTAGGAGTCCTCGACGGTAGGCCACCGGCGAGCGACACGAAGAGGCCTAGTACAGACCAGCTATGCGCCACGACGGGCAGCATGCAACTATATGTGGTCGCTAAGATACAACAGCGACACCTCCGAGCAATGATTGACTCAGGAGCGACGGGCAACTTTATGACAAAGAAAGTAGCAGACACGCAAGGTTTCAAGACGCAATTGAAAACCGAACCATACCCGTTAATGGTCGTTGATGGAGAGCCCATCTCGACTAATGAAGGAATGGTGACCCACGAAACGGTCCCATTGGAAATGGTCATGCTACACGGGCACAAGGAAACGATTCAGTTTGACATCGTGCACATGGACAACCATGCGTGCATCCTTGGTATGCCATGGCTCAAGAAACACAACCCCCAGATCGACTGGTGGAACGAGAAAGTTGTGATGAGCCAGTGCGCGTGTGAACAACGAACGGACACGCGACAACGGGAGAAACCCTCCCAGGGCCGGAAGGAGTTATGTGCAACCTCCGAGCTCGATGACCTAGCCCAGGCATCCTCACCGACGAGTATACCGGTGGAGTACAAGGAATACGAGCGATTATTCCAGGAAGGCCCTAAGAACGAGGCGCTTCCTAAGCACCAACCATGGGATCACGAGATACCTTTGGAAAAAGACAAGAGTCCACCGTTCGGACCAATATATCAGCTATCGGAAAAGGAGCTGAAGGTACTTAAGGAGTACATTGATGATAACCTAGCAAAAGGATTCATCAAACCATCCACATCACCCGCAGGAAGTCCAGTGCTTTTCGTACCAAAGAAAGACGGCTCCCTACGGTTATGTGTGGACTATCGAGCGTTGAACAACATCACAATCAAGGACAGGTATGCCCTGCCGTTAATCAACGAACTACACGATAGATTTCAAGGAGCAAAGATCTTCAGTAAGCTAGATCTGCGAGGAGCATACAACCTGATCCGAATCAAGGCTGGGGAAGAGTGGAAAACAGCATTCCGCACCCGCTATGGCCTATTCGAGTATCAAGTCATGCCCTTTGGGCTAACAAACGCACCCGCATCTATGCAACGACTGATGAATGATGCTTTGCACGAATACTTAGACATCTTTACCATCGTCTACCTAGACGACGTCCTGGTGTATTCAGCAACCAAGGAGGAGCATGTCAAGCATGTCAAACTCGTCCTGAAGAAACTAAAGGAGTACAGCTTACTCCTCAAACCAGAGAAGTGCGAGTTCCATAAAAACCAAGTCGAATTCTTGGGTTACATTATTGGAACGCACGGCATCAAGATGGACCAAGCAAAAGTAACGGCAGTGTTGGAATGGCCAACACCGACCACGGTCAAGGAAGTGCAAGCCTTCCTAGGCTTCGCCAACTTCTACCGAAGATTCATCTCGGGATATTCCAAGGTAGCTCAACCACTCACGGAGCTTACCAGAAAGGATCTCGAATTCAAATGGACGGACAAGGCAGAGGCTGCTTTCCAGGAACTTAAGACGAAGTTCACGGAAGCACCTATCCTTGCTACATTTGACCCTGCAAAGAAGATCATCCTCGAAACGGACTCTTCTGACTTCGCAATTGGAGCATGTCTGAATCAACCAGACGAGAACGGTAAGTTCAAACCAATCGCGTACTACTCTAGGAAACTGTCACCCGCGGAACTCAATTACGACATCCACGACAAGGAGCTACTGGCTATTGTCGTTGCCTTTGAGCAGTGGCGAGTATATCTTGAGGGATCCACCTACCCTGTGCAGGTATGGACGGATCACAAGAACCTCATATACTTCACCACGACCAAGGTTTTAAACCGCAGACAAGTCCGCTGGGCAGAAACCCTCGCAGCCTACAACTTCACGATAACCTATCGCAAGGGCTCCGAGAATGCAAGAGCAGACGCTCTCAGCAGACGGACCGACTACGCCGGCCCAAAGGAAGAAAGACCTAGAGCAATTCTGAAGAAAACAGATGCAGGAATACAGTACAACGAGTTACTAGCGACGATCTCAGTCATCGAAGATACAGAACTCGAGGAAAGACTCAAGAAAGCTTACGCAACAGACGAATGCGCCAAGCGAGTCTTGTCCAAAGTCGAAGGCGACTTCACCATCGACGAACAAGGATTGATTCGATACAAAGGGTTAGTGTATGTCCCAAGTCAAATGAGACGCCCGCTGGTGCAAGAACAACACTCGTTACCAGCACACGGTCATCAGGGAGTAACACGAACCTTCGAACGAATCACCCGACACTACTACTTCCCAGGTATGAGGAAGCAGGTAGAGACAGTGGTAAGAGAGTGCGACATTTGCAGCAAGTCAAAATCCAATAGGCATCTGCCATACGGACAACTCAAGTCGACACCAGTACCAAAAGGAGCGTGGAAATCAATAGCTTTGGACTTCATCGTCAAGCTTCCACCCTCCAAGGACCCGTTAACAGGAATAGAATACGACTCTATCCTCGTCATCACGGAAAGACTCACGAAATATGGGAAGTTTATACCATATCTAGAAGCTAGCGACGCCGAGGCGCTCGCATATACCTTCATTCGAGTCATATTAGCCGATCATGGGATGCCAGAAGAAATCATCTCAGATAGAGACAAGCTCTTTACTTCGAAATTCTGGAAATCATTGATGGCGCTACTGGGAACAAATCATAAGCTATCAACAGCTTTTCATCCCCAGACAGACGGCCAAACAGAAAGATTAAATCAGACCCTTGAACAGTACCTGCGAAGCTATGTCAATCATCAACAGGATAACTGGGTTCAGATCTTACCCATCGCACAGTTTGCATATAACAGCGCGATGACAGAAGCAACGAAAGTCTCACCATTCTTTGCCAATTATGGCTACCAGCCAGAAGCATATAGGCAACCAAGACCGGATGAATCACGAGCTGAACAAGCCCTGATCGTGGTGGAACAACTGAAATCGTTCCACGAACAACTTGCGACGGACATCCAATTCTTAAATGAACGATCCGCCGCATACGCAAACAAGAAGCGCAGTATGGAACCTGCCTTCAAGGAGGGGGATAAAGTATACCTACTCCGGAAACATATCAAAACGAAACGACCAAGCACAAAGTTGGACTTCAAGAAATTGGGACCATTCAAAATATTGAACAAAGTCAGCTCAGTTAATTACAGACTGCAGCTACCCAGGAAGTCTAGACTACACCCGGTATTTCATGTCTCACTACTGGAACCAGCAAGAGGAAATACCCCAATTGCGACCGACACTGAACTCCAACCCGAGAATGAGATAATCGAATATGAGGTCGAAGCGATCCTAGACAGAAGGTTAGTAGGACGTCGAGAAGAGTTTTTGATAAAATGGGAAAATTACGAACCTACGGATAATTCGTGGGAACCAACAAGGAACATCAGCAAAGAACTGCTGGAGGAATATCGACGCCGCCATCCGCCAGCCATTGATCCCAAGATGCAGGGGAGTAGGCCAGTGGATCGGAGGAAGCGGGGGTCCCGGTCACAGACGAGGAGGCAGCGCTAACTGCCTGTTCCTCGGCCTCAACAGCGTCACGCTTCTCAGCAGCCACACGTTCGGCCTCCTCTGCCGCATCAAGCTCGTCGAGGGTTTTCAAACCTCGCCGGAGCATATCTTTACCACGGGTTCGGATGAGGCGTTTCTGCTTCCGCAGACGAAGTAACTTCGAAAGGGTTTCTTCCTCTTCGCGATCCAGGCGATCCTCCTCCCGTTCGAGCTTCACCCAGTCGGGATGCTCAGGACCCATACAGTCACATTTTTCTTTCAAGTTGCGACGAACGCACTCGGCGCACCGCCGTGAATCATTTGGAGACGACACGCAAGTAATGTTTCGCCTCACGCAGTTCGAGCAAGAATCCATTTCGGGTAGTTCGTATCCGTGGTTCTTTATTCGACGGACAAGATCGTTGCGTTCCTGGAGTTTGCGGGCAGTGTCAGTAGGCATGTTGCATGTTGAAGGACTCGCTGAGGAGCAGCAGAGTCCCGGGGACATGGACGTACTTATAGGATTCGAGACGAATGCCCAGGGGAAGGGAGCGAGTGTTACGACGGAACAAGAAGGCTGGCCAACTACAGGACAGGAAGGAGGGAGGTCGCATGAGACCGGCCCTGGTACCTGGAGGGGCAGCGGGGAATAGTAGTTCCAAAAGTATCATGTGACGGACTCGCAGGATGATGAGAAGAGTCCTAAGAGTCCAGGACTCCGAGGACTCGAGTGAGTTCCCAGGAGTCCACTAGGCACGTGATGGACTCGCAGGATGATGAGAAGAGTCCTAAGAGTCCAGGACTCCGAGGACTCGAGTGAGTTCCCAAGAGTCCACTAGGCACGACGCCACTATATAAGTAGATAGTATTTCCTTAGATAGGAGCTTCGTGCTCAACTCAATACAGTATTTGTTATATACTAGTAACGTGTTACTTGAAGCCTTTGTGTCTGATCCCCTGCCTCCTCTGATAAGTAAACCTTTACGCAAGAGAACCTCTGTGTCTTCTATCGTTTAGAAGTCAGCGTTACAAACATGCGTTACCGCTTCTCCGACTCAGTGGTTGGAAAAGCGACAAGCAGTATGACAAGAATAACCCCGTTTGCATCCACTATGACCTTCGGTGGAAGATCTCCCAACGTGAAAATATCAGAGCTAGGCATGTTTGTTCAGACACAGATCCCGATCTCGTCTTGGCTCCGAGCGATTTTTGGAAGGTTAAATTCCAGGCACGACTCGAAAGCCTCATACAGGAAATGAAAGACGAGGGCAAATTCCAAGGAGATAACTATGCGTGTGACGAAACAATCATCGAAATCTCTATCGAGCGGAGCCCTCAGCGCAGGCTAACTAAACGATACAAGAAGGTCGCCATCAACTGGCAGGAGGTTGACAACCACCTGGAATGCCTCAGTGACTTGTTTAGCAAGGGGAGGAAGATAACTTTCAGCATGGAGTTTGTTTATAAGGAGGTTACTTGTGATTCTACAACCGCAAAGGGCAAGAAAAAGAAGAAAAGCGCTACTGAAGCCCAGAAGCTCCAGAGAGCCGCTGACGCTGGTCTTTGGGCCCAAGTATACGAGCATTACCGTTGCAGAGGCAACTACTGCAAGCAAGGACCTCACTGTTGGTCAGACGAACGTGGAAACCATCATAGTCTGCTGTCAGGCCAGCTGGAGGATATTGTCCGTAATATCAAAGACAACATAAAGGAAGGGGAGACAGAAGAGGATGTCAATATCGACATCGAGATCCCATCCAGGATTCTCAAAAATGTCGTGGATAATAGCCGCAAGCGGAAAGCAGATGGCTAACTAACTGTCGTCATTGTAAAACCCGTGTCTCAGCCAATAGTGAGGGTTGCGATACCAGGGACATGCTAAACTTGAGGAGTACTGTACCTGGAGCCTGACACAAGTTGACAGCGACAGATGGCGAAGTGCACTGCAGACTGCGAATAAGGTTGCAATGGATCAGTTCCTAGAATTAAACACTATTCTGCAGCACCCAAAGGTAGTCGCCGAACTAATGGTGAAGCACGGGGTGAAACCAGGCATTGCACTGCAATTTGTAAGCAACGTTCAAAGATTTCAACGGGAGGAACAGAAGTCTTAATTAAGCGCGAGAGGATATAGTATTTTGATGGTACAGTATTTTCTAGGAACTGCTTTATAGTATTTGAGATTTATTTGGGACACTGTGTAATAGATATCCCTGCATGATGAAAGTGATTCTCTGCAATGTGCACATCGTGACCTACCACATCAACGCACCACTCCAGATACATTTTGAACTCCCTTGCAATAAAATCCTCGTTTTCATGCCACTTTTTCTTGATAAATTTCTTGAGAACTCCAAAGTACTCCTCGATAGGGTTAAAGTCAGGCGAGTACGGTGATAAGAACTCTAATACTACTCCTGCGTCTCGGCACATTTGCTTGATTCTGTCCGAATGGTGCCAAGAGGCGTTGTCCATTACAATTACAGATTTGGGCCCTGGGTATGGGTTACAGTGATGCAGCAACTGGGCAACAAAGTCCTCAAATAAATCACTGTCTGTTGATCCCTGGTATACTCGCCTCAACACGATGCCATCTTGCGCGTATGCTGGGAGGATCTGCCATCTTTTTCCGCGACCAAACTTTGTAACCTGAACTGGGGAGGACCCCTTCAGAGACCACCCCCAACGTCTATATCCAGCCCTTCCATCGCAGCCAGATTCATCAACAAAACAAGTTGGTAAGACTTATATTGCGACATCTTATGTAGATAGTAGTCTCGAAGGTCGGCACTCCGTTGTTGAGCTATACGATGGATCATTGTTCTCGTCCAGCCGATTGATCGCAGAAACCGACCGAGCGATCTTTCCGAAATCCTTTTGCGAAACTTACCATAGAGGAAATCCGCCATCTCAGACCGGTACAGGTAGGGCTGCTCAAGTAGTAGATCACAGAGGGCGTTGTCCATGGCTGGTGTAATGCAGCTACGACGGCTGGCACGCTTTGCTCGTTGAATGGGCATTTCGAACTGCTTCAGGCGGATTCTCTGGACGGCCCGTACGCTGCACAAGGCTACTGAGGCTATTAGCTTGGTTTTAAACTCTTCTTTAAGCAATGTTTTGATCAAAATATGCTTCGCAGCATCCAGTTGCGGAGCCATGATCGTGGCTGACACAAAGCGCTGACACGAGAGACTGCTGAGGTTTTGGAGGAAAGTTGGGCGAGGGGAAGGAAAGCCAGTCTTGAGGTGAGTCGCCAATTTTACCTTCCTTGGTACGTACCTCCCTCGGTACCTGCACAGTACATGTATCTGCAAAGCCACAACAAGCCACACGCCTACCCCGCAGTCCCACAGCTAACTAAAAATTTCACGACACCCAATTCGCCTTCTACTGTACCACCCTACATAATAACCATTAATCAATTGTAATTGATTTCTAGCGCCTCTCGCACGTGCATTATGCCCCATAGTGCCACATACTCCACAGCGCCGCTGTTGGCCCTTAGAACCTGTTGAATCCTCGGCCCGGAAGCAGGGATCAGGGCCCTGATACCAAAGATGTGTCAGCGAGCTGCGTGATCGTCCGGATACTGGATCTTCCGATTCTAAAAGCTTCGATTCTGAAACTCCAAGAAACGGACTGAAACCAGGAGGGTTTCAGGATCCGAACCACGAGCACAGGGATAGAGCCCGTAACAATATATATAGTAGTTAGAATAGCTTCAATTATAAGAACATGCATTACAAAATTATCACTTCGATCCCTACTGCTTTGTGACTGTATTTTCGGTTTATATTCTCTACCTACTCCCACGGGTCCTACGGATATTGTTCAACAGAACCCACCTGCCAAGCGGTCTCACTTGCCACCTCCGTTCGGACTTGAGCATCAACCAGCTCGCTCGGGTGACAAGTTAGAAGCCTAGACCAATAATACCACCTAGTCCCCTAATCTCTTAATTGGATTTCTCACCCTTGTACTCTTCCTCTGGGGCGTAGAGTTCTTTGACGACGCTTGTAAAAGACTATCAAAATCTCCAAACACCCCGCCACCGCAATGCTTATTGCATGCAAGAGAAATAATACGCTCTCGTCTATCTCTTAGGAATTCCTCGCTATCAGATGGTTCTGCTAGTGCCTGTACAGGAGCTGAGTACTCAGCAAATGGGCATGCCCAACCATTTACAGCGTCGAAAGAGTTCTTGCTTTTGGCAAGAATCCAGTTTGGTGCTGCACTCAAATCTGTCCGAGTAATGGGCTCGAATATTGCTGTCGATTTTGTGAACCATAGCCCTTCAGCCTCGTCTCGTCTCTGCTTGCGTGTCATTTGTGGCTGTACCTGCAAGAAGTGGGACCTCGTGCCGAAAAGAACCTTGCAATGCTTCTACCTTCTGGAACAACCTTTTTTGGTGGTACATGGGCGAGGCCAAAGTCGTGTTTGGCTGGGGCTATCATTAGATTTCCTTCAGAAGAAGACTGGCAACATTGGGTGTTATCTGCATTTAGGCCACCCCTAAACGCATAGCCTCGTTCCTTCAGACAATCGGCCGTAAAAACGCAGGCTATATCTAACATGTCTGTGTCGAATTTCCTAATTTCTACCATCAAGAGCCAAGTGATGTCACCCTCTCGGACGATAGCTTAGCATCTTTGCGAGCATCCAAAGCAGCTGCGTTAACTTAAGCACACTTACAGCGTTCGTGGGTGCACTTACTATGGAGTTTGCGCTCAATGAACTAGACAACCCCGAGAGCATTTCTAAGGTATTGACTCTAGTTGATACTCTCTTTAGAGCTAACTCGCCCTTATTAAAAAAGATCATTGTTGGCGTGTATAACAACGACCCAAGTAATTTCATAACAGAGATGGAGAATCGTGGATGGACAATCAAAGCAACAAAGGTGCAGTTTAGTCTCGCTTTGTAAGGGCAAAGATTGTGGATGATAACTTAATTAAGATTAATTCTGCACATAACTTAGACATGTGCTACTGCAATGTTGACTTCCAATATTTTTGTGCGATCTATTTTCCCGCATAGTGGGTTCTTTCCTGCGAAGGGAGTGACGTTGGTCTGTACGTTAGAGACAAACTTGGGGCAGTTTTGGAGTAAGTAACGTCACAATGAGCTTCACGGGGATGTAACATTAAAAGCAGTATCACAAAAACATTATGAAGCTAAGTTATTAAGTTAGACTATAAGTAAATCTCAATGCAATGCAGCAAGCCTCTTGGCCTCTAGCCTTTCAGACCTTCGGGGCTTATTCGGCTTTGGTATGCTATTGTCAGACTTACTGTGACTCTGATCTGGTTTGGATTGTTTGGACGCCTTTGTTTGATGAGGAGGACCTTCTTTTCCACCAACCTGGGGGCTATTGTAGTAGCGCCACATGGTCTCCCTAACCTCTAGACTTCTTCCTTTCTTGTTTATAACATATATATTTTCAACGTCACTCTTTTGACCTTCAATAATACTACAACGTTGAGATGACATCTTTATCATGGGTATAAGTAGAAGCTAGTCCGTTATATATATCCGTTTCCAAATTAGCAAGGCGCTATTTATGACGCTTTACACTGGGCGGTATTAATGGCCACATAAGTACTTTAATGCCACTGCAGCTACTTCTAACCCCAACTAAGCAGCGTTGTTTCCTTGCTGATATTATATATTAACTTGTGATTTGCAAACCACGGCCAATTGTAATATTTAGCTATAGGGCTATTGCTTTACTGCACATGCCTTCACAGGTGTACCTCAACAGGTTGCCGCGGCAAAGGCCTGTATTTATAATGCCAACCCTTCAAGAGGTTCCTGAACCTAACGATAAAGGTTTCAGAATGCCGAGAATTCCTGGAGAATATCCAACTAATAGCCCACGTTTCGCGACCGAGAATTGGATTCTCTCTACTCCTCGAACCAAAACGCTCATGGAACTAGATAAGATTCCTACCCGTCACAATCTGCTTGCTATCTTTTTTAGCTGGCTTTTGCTTGGTGGCTATATGGTTCTACCGGGCACCTTTGCATCACTCCATAATTTAGATGTAGGTAAAGATAATACTAACAGAATTGGGAAGGTATTCAAAGCCGTTAATAATAGACCATTATTAATTTCCGGGGGAGCATCCTGCTTCATTGGAGTCATTGGGATGTCCTCCTTGTCATGGATACGGAAGAAAAACCCTGACTGGTTATTGAGTCGCATAATAACGTAAGTTATTGAGATATGTTTGGGATATACTATGCTAATGTGCCATCGCCAAAGACCAGGTCTTCTCCATTCCGCCGCTGGGCTGCTTAACACTCTGATTAATATATATACAATACAGCACGGAGTGTGGTCAGTGACGGCCGTTATTACAGCAACAATTACAGGAAGCTCTATAGCTATGCTTGCGTTATGCTTCTATATGATACGTGTCTGTTTCAAACGCTTAAGAAAAGGTCTGTAGCGACGAAGACTCTCGGCAATAGATTTGCTTGGCCGTTGGAAACCAAAGTCGTGATGGGATTAGGGGAGGATACCGGCGCTGCTTGAGGAGCGTCTAATGCTGATAGCGCTTGTGGATTTGAGCGTGATATGACTTGTTGTTGTCTTGGACCTACTGGCATTGCTTGTGCTCTAGGGGTCATCTGCTGTGGACTGGCATATCCCCTGCACGAAGGTCCATTCAGAGCTTGTCAATATTCTTAGACTCCCCTTTAAAATCGCCGTAGAGTGGCACCCCGCAATCATATTTCCACTCCAGCCGTCGATACCTAACTTTCTCTTGGGGACGCATAAGCCAAAGCGCACACCAGTAAACTCGTCTTGGCATGGTCGCTGCACTTGAGACTTGGGTACAAGAAAACTCCACCATTGACACGGACGCGCCTGATTGCCGTCAAGATCATAGCCAGAGCCCTCAGGACAGACTTTACAGGCCTCGAGAATCCCTGCCTGCTTTGGGCCAGATTAGGGGTTTCGGCGATCTCGCATTAGAGATGCAGCAACTCAGACAGATGTAAACTCATACGAATAACGACTGATGATATACGCTGACAACGAGACAGGATTTACAACCAGAGCCAGGCTCTAAGTGACTTTTCCAAGATAGCTGACGACGCCCACGACAAAGTTGACGAGGCGTCTGCTAAGGTTAATATTACTTTACGGTACATCTGGCACTGACGTAGTCATGGATATTGCTGACAGCATTTAGGAGGGCCGCAAGACTCAAGGAAGTATATGATCAGCTCATTCAATGGTCTGTAGACATGCAAGGGGCCGTTACAAGGGAGGCACACCGTAGCGGGCTCACAGTGGTGGATGATTAGATGGGGCCACCAACAACATGGGGGCCAAAGAGGCATCTGAGAAGATATGAAGTTTTGTTTCTTTCCTTCCACAAGGAATATTTTACCGGCATTTTAGACCAGCCTTCATTTAAACGATGAATAACATCATCGATGCATTTATTACCTCAGGAAAAGCTCAAAAGGCTCAAGGCCAGACTTTCCAATCATTCCTCGCCTCTTTGGCAGTGTCAGTCGTTTTATGCGGATTTGTCACCTCAGTTCATGTCATCTTCAGGGCACAGTGGCTCCGGTTATAGTAAGTTGCGCATGCTTTTCATACGGGCTGGTGGCTAAAGTCCTCATTGCTCTGGGACATATTCGGATGTCGAGCCGAGATGGCGAGCCGTGGCGGTGTGGCCGCAGATGATCTTTCTCCCCATGCCAGACCCAAGGTCGGACCAACTATCTGGCCTCGAGAACTATCTATTCGATCGATATATTCATACACTATTGAGGATATTTATTTTATTAGGTTTGTCGTTGCTGCCTATCCTCCTGCCGATAAATCTCAGCGGTAAAAGCGAGACCGTGGGGGTGAAGGGATTGGATCGATTGAGTTTCTCAAATGTTGGGTTCTCACACCCTTACCTGTACTGGGCGCACCTCGTTTCAGCAGTTTTTGTGGCTATATCTGTGTGTCTGATTTTGCAAGCGGAACTGCGGAGTTACAGCCGATTTGAGGAGTCCTTAGGCGTTCAGTCTACCGGATCTAGCATCCTCATTGTCTCTTCGTCGAAGAAGCCGCTTGATCCCAAAGCAATTCGAAGACATTTTAGTGCCATGTTTGGGGGTGTGCAGGGCATTACGATAAACCGCGACCTTCGCCTGCTTGATGCTAAGATTTCCCGTCTGGATGCTTGGATCGCGAAGCTTGAGGCGGCCGAAACGGAGCTGGTTAGAAAAGCGAGCCGCTCCAAGGGAATGCCTGCTCAGCCGCTATTGGCTCAACACAGTTTTGTGCTGTTGTGGAAGAGATATTTGCTCGAGAGTGACCGACCCACGATGAGCCCATCCACTTCTAGGTGGAAGCAACTTTTTGGACCCAGAGTTGACACCATACAGTATTGTCGTTCTAAGATTGTTCAATGCAGCCTTGATATTGAGCGAGATAGACACCGGCCGTACTCATTTCCGTCTCTAAACTCTGCGTTTGTTCATTTCAATCATCGACTCTCAGACCCACTATCTGTTCTAATTTTGGCTACTCAAAGCCCGTCTTTTTGGACGATTAAGCAAGGGGCCACGCATGATGATGTTATATGGACGAATCTCCCTATACGTCCGTGGGAAAGATGTATTCGGACAGGCACAGCCTATTTTCTTTTTGCTGGGCTCATTTTTGGATACGCCCTCCCTGTCACAATCACAGGTGCTGTGTCTCAAATCGCATATATCGTTGGCATAATCCCAGAATTAGCCTGGCTAGAGACGCTCCCAAGTTGGATGGTACCTGCAATTCAAGGTGTCCTCCCTCCGATTATGCTGGCAGTATGGATCTCACTGGTGCCCATGGCTGTACGCGTCCTGGTAAATTTCCAGAAGTTACATTCACATCAGGCCGTAGAGAGCTCGGTGCAGAGGCTTTATTTTATCTTCCTCTTTATTCAGGTCTTCCTCGTCGCTTCCTTGTCCTCTAGTATTACAACAGTGCTTGCGGGACTTGGAAGCAATGCCAAGTCGGTGCCCCTCGTCCTTGCACAGAACTTGCCAAAGGCTAGCAATTATTTCTTCTCCTACTTCATCTTGAAGGCATCTTCAACAATCAGCATTACTCTCATATGCGGCGAAAAGCTTTTGAATCTTCTTCTTTCGTATATACGAGACAAGACTGCGAGGCAGAAATGGACGAGGAGCGAGGCAATCAACGTCAAGCTCTGGGGCACCTTTGTGCCGGTATATACAAACCTCGCATGTATAGGTATGCGCCCTGTAGACAAGCTGTGTTAGGTGCTAATTATTAATGCTTTAGGACTAATCTATTCAGTGATTGCTCCCCTCATTTTACTGTTTAGTGTCATAGTATTTGGGGCGCTATGGATACTATATCGAAGCCACCCCCCAAAGCTGTCAGACTCGGTATTATGTGGTCGCGGCCAGTTTTATCCCACCGCTATACGCCAGCTATTCACTGGCTTGTATTGTATGGAACTCTGCCTTGGTGGTTTATTTTATCTCGTCTGCGATGGAAACGACGAGCCTGTCTGTGCTGCACAAGCTATCGCCATGATATTCCTAGTATTCTTCACTCTCGTATTCCAGTGCACAATGGGTTATTGGGATGGGCTCAGTTGGAGACCAACCTCAATCATGGGTAAGATTGTTGGTTATCACAAACAGGAAAAGGTGGAAAGTAAGCAGGTCAACAGATTTGACACCGCCCGTACAGTGTGCTTTTCTAAATGCGGGAATGCTGGCAGCATATCGAGGTGCATCATATGGGTTCCAAAGGATGCTCTCGGAATAGCGGCAAATGAGAGCTATCATTCACGAAGATACAATAAACGCCTGGTGCTTAGCACCAAAGGAGCGGTACTTAATAAGGATGGCAGGATAGTTTTAAGCGGCGGGCCTCCGCAGTAGTTATTGCAACGTCACTAGAGGCATCGCCTAGTATGCATGGAAGCAATACGGCTGGGCTGGGATATTGAGCCTCTGTATTCCCGGACTATACGTACTATATCATTTACCATGTACTTCTTTCAGCGTATTGATAGTGTAAGTTTCAACCCCCGGGTTATCTGTCGACATGCCTAAAGACAAAGCCTTTGAAGACGGCTAACAGCTTCTTAAATTGAAACAGACGGAGATGACAAGTGCATATATCAGCGATTTTCGCGCGCTTGCGTTGGGAGTTAGCTATAATGAGGCTGCTCTGAAATCTTTCTTCTACGTGAACGATGAATGAGGTTACGCGACCCCTATGTCCATCCCTTGCGCCGTGTTTCTTCATGGCACAGCCATATACAGTACTTTCTTGATAGAACTTTCAAAGTGCCAAGCGTCTCTGACTTGTCGGATTCAAAGGCTGGAGGCAAGATGAGGTGTCAGTACTTAGCTTACGTAACGATGCGCCTGGTAATCAGGTGCCTACGCAGGCGGGTGGCCAGCAGCATTGTGATGCCCACTAATGGACCCCGAAACAAAAAGTGGTTACAGTATACAGTATCGGGATTCGATTTTGCTCTTAAATCTCGCTAATCAATTTTAAGCTAGACTTTTGCAGAAGCCATTCTACCTTTTGAAGGCCTCGTTCTTCAGAGGGCCCCCTTTCATTAGGGGGTCCCCTTTCTTTAGAGGTCCCCCTTTCATTAGGGGGTCCCCTTTCTTTAGAGGTCCCCCTTTCATTAGAAGCCCCCTTACGTCTACCCGAAATAACCTTAGCTACTTAATAGATAACAAAACTCTTTGTAAACAGAATTTTATATTATACAGACAATTATAAACAGACCATGGCAAGGCTCTTTAAATTAGCAATCTTGTTATTAGTATGCAGGTGTTCGTTTGGATATACGTCTTCACTTCTAGAAAGCCGTACAGCCTCTAAGCCAAAAGGCGATGGCTATCGTAATGTTGCATATTATGTGAACTGGTTTGTCTCCTTGTTGCCCTTCGATACGCGTCTGAAACTAACAGCTACAGGGCAATATATGGGAGAAAGTTCTTTCCCCATGATATACCAGCAGATAAGATTACGCATGTGCTATATGCCTTCGCAAATATTAACCCAGAGACAGGGAATGTGTAGGTCTACCTTATACAGTAAAATTGTTTTATCTAACTGTCGTAATAAACTAGGTTCTTGTCAGATCAATGGGCCGACACTGATATACATTTTGAAGGTGATCCTATAGACGACACTAGTGGTAATCTCTATGGCTGTCTAAATCAGCTCTACATCCTTAAAAAAAAAAACCGGCACCTAAAGGTTCTGCTTTCGATTGGCGGCTGGACCTATTCAGCAAACTTTGCGACTCCAGCTGCGACTGCGTCTGGTCGCTCCACCTTTGCCTCATCTGCAGTCTCACTTGTACGGAATCTCGGACTTGATGGGCTTGACATTGATTGGGAATATCCGGTGGATGCTACTCAAGCACAAAACTTTGTTCTTCTGCTTCAAGCTGTTAGGGATGCCCTTGATACATACGGCAACTCACTTAACACGCCATACCACTTCACGCTCACGGTTGCATGCCCTGCTTGTAAGGATGCCTCCTTACTCGGGGTAGTTACGGCCGTCACGTGGCGCCATCGAGACTCGGGGCCGTTACGGGTCAGTCGCGACTGACAGCCTTAGGCACATAACGTAAGGAAGCCTTAGGCAAACAGGGAGCTAGCTGAGTCGGAGCGGTTTCGGGTATTTTAAGGGAACAGCCATACAGGGTGACACCTTCATCTTTTTTGTATCCTTCGTAGTAGACCTATAGGATAGAATACAGCATCACCTCCGACTCGCACTCCCATATGCACCTACGGAGAGCCGTATTCCCTGTGTCCTTACACTGCTGGCCCGTCCAACTATGAAAAGTTAATGATAGCTGAGATGGACCAATACGTCGATTTCTGGAACCTTATGGCGTACGATTATGTCTGGTCTGGGAGTCCACAGACAGGCCACCAAGCAAACCTTTTCCCTGCGAACGATAGCTCGACGCCATTTGATACACTAACTGCTGTCAACTATTACATTTCCAAAGGCGTTGCGCCGCAAAATATAGTACTTGGTATTCCTATATATGGCCGTGCTTTTGATTCAACTGCCGGTGCTGGATCACCATTCGTTGGCGTTGGCCCAGGAACCTGGGAGCTAGGCATTTATGATTTCAAAGAATTGCCTTTAATAGGGGCCAAAGAGCAATTTGACAGCAAGCTAGGAGTGAGCTATAGCTATGATGCTACGAAGAGAGAGTTTATTAGCTATGATAATATTGAAATGGTAAATCAAAAGGCTGCGTGGATCCAGAAAAGTGGACTTGGTGGCGCCATGTGGTGGGAGAGCAGCGCCGATGCCTTGGGAAGCAAGAGCCTAATTAGGAGTGTCTACTTAGCATTAGGTGGTCAAGATGGTTTAGGCCTTGAGATGACCTCGAACAGACTTGCGTATCTAGATTCGACTTACGCCAACCTCAGAGCTGGAATGCTTGACAGCGAGTCCGCTTCCGAATCTACTTTTGAATCTACCGTGTCTGCAGCTTCTTCATCGACGACAACCGGCACTGTCACATTGACAACTATCATCACTACACGCACCGTCACAGTCTTTAAAAGTCAGGCCAACTAAGCACAGTGTACCGATTGTTGAGCACGTACGTAGCTATACCATTAGCGCTCTAGTTTACATTTAATAGTACAAATGGAATGATATATAACTTTCGTTTCCAATATTTACGCTATAGGAAGCTCATACCTCGTCTGCTTACGAGCTTGTTAAGAGTCTAATTACAACAGTACCCCTCTGTATGTAGCAAGAAGCCCTATGTGTCGAGAAAAACGATGGGTACTTTAACTTAAAGCATCTCAGAACCTTTGCACGCATCGATATCTCCCATGAACCCAGATAAGGAGCAATATCAAATTCAGGAAAAGTGGCAGAAAAACAAATCAGGCAAAATCAATAAAGTAAGACTTAGAGAACAGTATAGCCAGTTACAGCACTTCTCCAGGCATATTCAGAAGTTGAGCAAATTTCATATTTCATAAGCTTAACTTAAAGGTTGTCGAAATGTTCTCAATGAAGTACAACGAAAACTGTGGCTGAGTCATGTGTGTGCTGCGCCTCAACCAGAGAAATCGCGAGCCCTTACCCCGCCTCAAATATAAGTTCGGCAGAATTCGTAAGGTTCCAAGATGATCCATTTGTAAGCTATCTACGAGGGCAGGTATGCTGTTCTCGGCTAAGTCGAGTAGTGTAAAGTTATGTAATCAGGACAGAGTCCCGTGACCGGCTCCACACCAGCCACCCAGGCTGCCTATAAATACTATATAAGATATTCAGACTCCTTGCTCTCAGACCTACCACATCAAAAGCAACCAACTTGTTTGCAGGCGTTTCTGGACGAAACTTAAGAGATAAACGCACGCCATAACACCTTATATACCTCTACAATATGGCACCACTTCATGAGAATCGTAACATCTTCGACATTCTACCGTTTGAGATCATCTTGCACATCCTTAAGTTCATGGTCGTTCGGAACTACACCGGTCTATCCTGCGCTAGCCACCGTGCGCTTGAGTTGGTAGACGCTGCAGTAGCTGCAGAATATGCTACCGTCGCAGTTAAGTTTGATGGACCAGAAAAGACCATGACTGGGAGGATGATTCGCTGGGTAAAACGCTACGAGGCTGATATGGCTATGTGTGTCTGTTATGCTCCACCTGAAGACGATCTTTAAACAATACGCCCGTACGCCAGAACTATGATATCTCAACAGTATTGAGGAAGTACCTATACTGGAGTGAGATCTTGCGAAATGGAGCCAAGGGGGGCGACACGCCGGCCTATCCTAGTTGACATCCAGGCTCAGATGGAAACATTATTCTCGAACAATCCAAAACATGGATACGCTTGGTCCCTAGCTGATAATATAAAATTTACATCACTCCATAGACTAAAACTATTGGTCAATTCCTAGCGGGCAATGAAAATGTTATAAGTTAGAAGTTTCTCATTTTCCAGCGGGTTTTTTGAGGCTCAACCGATAGGGTCCCCCCCACACATTGGTGCTAGAAAAAGCTTGCACACTCTTGGCGTTTTGTGAAGGAATAACCAGAAGTTATAATTATGGCTGTTCATTCCAACAAGAAACTGGTACGCCTTAGACTGATGGGCCCCTCAAGTCTGATGGCCCCCTCAAGTCTGATGGCCCCCTCAAGGCTGATGCCCTGAATGGTTCTCCAACCTCCCCTTAAAAGTCCTGATTATCTGCAAAATAAACTTGTTAATACATCATTCCGTGCAGTTAAGCAGCGTTTTCTTTCCTCTTTATTAACAATGGCTACCGACAAGCATACTCAGGGTATGATGACCAAGGACACTGCTCTGGCTGGGTTCACGCTTTGGCCAAAGCAAGAGGTTTTACGAATCGAAGCGCTATCAGACCAAGAGGTCCTGTCAGAACTTGAAGGAATTGTGGATGGTCGCAATTATTCCTGGCACAGCATTAACGAATTGATGAAAAAACAACTATATAAAGGTGCTCTCGAGTTTACCTTTGAAGACGGAGACGTCATATTCGAGTGGAATATCCTCTGCGATGAGAAACGGAACTGGGAGCAAAACAGCCTTCTCTCGTCTAGTAGCACTGAGTTCAATAGAGACTGCTTGATTAACCTCAAGATACTTCCTGCTAAAGCAGGATTTGGCTACGAAGGTCAGTAATGAGAATCTTATTATAATGATAAATTCTTCTAACATGCCTAGGTTCGAGTCTTGTGGTGGCTAATTTAGATGAGCCTAATCTTTTGACAAAGGATCTATGGGTGGCTTCTGAGGAGTGGGAGGCTCAGGCATTTAGATGCTTCCAAGTTAAGCCCGATAAGGAGTCTGTAGGTGAGAAAGATGATGACAACAAGGATGAAGATAGCGACAATAATGAAGATGACGACAACAAGGATGAAGATGACGACGAGGATGAAGATGAAGATGAAGATGAAGATGATGAGGAATATGAAGATGATGAGGAATATGAGGACCAGGAAGAAAGTGATAGCGATGATTTTGATGAGAGCAAATACTTTGATTCGTTATATGAGATGTTTTAGTAGATAGAGGTTGTTTATTTGATATAAGTTATCTATTAGTGTCTAGAATTAAATTTTGCATATAGTCGACAGAAGCTACATCGTGTCAGTAAAGTTTTCTTAGCTTTATTAAAAAGTCTCACCAGGTCCAACTAAAGCCTGTGTTATTGGATAATGTAGTGATCACGGTCCAAAAAAGGCCCAAAACGAGTAAAATTGTTGGCTCATTAAGTGAGAGACATCGTAGCATCCCAGACAACGACAATTTGACGAAGTCCTTAGTTACCCACTCTATGACACAAATTAAAGGCGCAACAAGAAAAGTGCCCATTAGAAGGTCTAATAGAGATAGGTATAAAAACGAAATGGCTTCCATCTTATTGCGTAAACTATTGTTAACCCTTTATTTTGAAGGGAAGGTTGAAGTTCAATAGGGCTAAGAAAGACAGATATAGCTTAAGAGGTCTGAGAAGGGTGCATTCTACATTCTTACTACACATATACTATTTCAGATGTTGCGCCAGCTTTTAATAATGTACAAGGGTAACTTAGGTGAGGTGCATGGATAACTTGGTGTCATACTGACATTCGTTGCACTCAGTTTGCTATCAAACTCAAGAGCAAACTTAGAAATCTCCTCCTCAAACCTACAAGTCACCATACATATCTTGGCTTATCACACCAACAACAGAAGCAATACTACTCAACGATTGCTGCAAACTCTTCTACTACATCTGTTTATGCTACATACATCACGGCATATCATTTGGACACTCATTGAACAAGTTATTAAGAAAATCTCCTCCTTAAGGGGGTGGGCCAATACTACCACATGGCATATCTCTACCAACTAGAGGCCTAGGAACATGAACGATAGCTCTAGAAGCTTCTACAACCCTCTATGATTCATTACACGTCATCGCTCCTTAGTTACCCACAAGATTGGTTAAGTTATGACATAATTTGTCTATAGGTACTCTGACCTTGGACCTCCTTTTCACTTCCTATAGGCTAGGAACCCAAGAGATGGTTCTATGGGATTCTCTTACGTTCACTACATGATTAGCAAGCTAGTTGTGGGTCGCACTTGATTTCTAATACATTTACCAAGCCTGGTTAGTCATGGAAAGTCATGGAAAATGAGAGAACTACACTCCTTTGGCATAAATAGGATTGCCCTTTCCTTAAGAAAGGGCAAGCAGACAATACAGTAAATCGACTAGCACATACTTCTACGTCTTTTCCAAGCTTCCAAGCATTGATCTTGTTATTCTCTGTTTTTGAAAAGTCAGTGAGGTGCTAACCTCTGACTTACCCCTGAGTTCTCAGACTCAACATTTGTTGCAACTTGTCTAAACCACTTCACCACATCATACACCTGATTGCTGCGTTGTGGAATAGTCTAAGCTACAACCCTTTGGCTCTGTTTCCTAAGACAGTGTGTTGTCTTAGTAAATTCATCCCTTCCTTGGGTGGCTAGATTCTCATATCTGGTGCACCCACCATTACACTTGGGCGCAAGGGTAACCTGCAAGGGTTACATGAGCGATGTGCAGGGCTTAGTAGGTCTACGTGAGACGATAAAGCTAATCTCTACATCACACATTCATTAGACAAGTGACTGATTTGTACTATTTTTTGGTCTCCTACAAGAGGCTACGGATAACTCGAGAGACTCGCAATGTTTCCCTAGACGTTGACGTATCGTCAGGATGCGGCTTGACTAAGGCTGGTGCAGCAAAGCTGTCATTGTTGAAGTCGAGTCCGTCATAATGAGATCAATCGATAGACGTTGTGCTCAACCTAGTAGAAAAGATGGGCTGATCAATATCCTGATCGGGGAGCCTTAGATGCGGGAGCTGGTCTCAGAGCTTACGTCCTGCTCTGTCTCTCTCCCGCGCGACTCCGCGTCCGGTGCTGTGCGTGGTGTGCAGGCGGCGGGCGTGTCTCAAGAGCTGTCTCTGCGCTGTCTCGCTCACCTGCTCGATCGCGATGGGAGGGCGACGGGGGGTGGTGGTGGTGGTGGTGGTGGTGGTGATGTGACGTTTGTGTAGCTGTGGGTTTCCGAGGGCGGTGGTGGCGGGTCTGCGGTACTACTCTTGTGTCTCGGTCATGGACTGATGGTAGACCGGAGAGTCTGGATTGGTATCTGAACCTGGGAGAGAGGTCTTCGTGCCTGGTAGGTGTGCGCGCCATTAGCTCTCGCCGCCGTTGTTTTCTAATCTTGCGCGCCTGGGCGTAGCATACGTACCGCTCTACTTGGCAAAGGGACGGCGACAAGCTCTAGTCTAGCGCTATACGCACCACAACCACCAAATATATGCCTATGTCAAGGCAGTACCGGCTACACCACCAGGTTGGTAATCGAATCATCGTCCCGACCGCACCGAGATTCGAAGAGGGAACGCTCGATCTGCCTCCTGACGTCGAAGCCGAAAGCTCAGAGACAATGGTCTTCGACCCCATGGAGGCAAATCCTCTTAAAGAGGTCATCAATACCATATCCACCGACGGACCCCTAGAGGTACCCCGATAGGGGCGTATACGATGCCAACATTGGTTTGTAACGGAAAAGTATCACGTGATTGCGACGTACTGCGGAACGTCACTGCTAGCGCAGCTGTCAACAGTAGCGTACCCGTTCCCCCACAAACCTTACCTAATTAGGAAGTGACAGGTCAACTCCTCTAACCTTGCAACGACCACCTAGCAACAACGAGGCTAGAGGAGCACCAGCATCACGGAAGGAGGAGAATTACAATACAACAAGCAGTATTACATTTACTACAGCACCCTAGAGCCGATACTACGTCTATTTAAGACGATGGGGAGCTAGAACTCGAGGTACCGGAGCCGAGCTCGCTGACGCGTTCTACAGGTAGAAAGCGATGACGACGTGAGATACCAGCTCCTCGTAAAATCTGACGAAGCTCAAAATATCAACAGCCAGCTAACGAAACTGTTATCCGGAAGAGGGCACGACCGCGGAATCGATACGAGCAAGCGCTCTGCCGTCTACCGAATCCCAATGCCGAATAGCTATCAGGAAGCTATCGGTGATGGAACCCATGGAGCTGACTGGATTTTGGCCGCTCGGGGAGAGCTGGCGCAGCTCTAGTTTTCAGGACACGGGAGCTCTCGAAATTCCTGATCGATAGGACGGGTCTTGCTGTCGATGGGAAATTGACGGCATATACACGCCATTGTTCGTTTCAAAGCCACGCTCGTAGCCTAAGGCTTCCGTCAAGTCCTGGGAGATAATTGCCTAGAGACCTTCTCTATCAATTTGGGCGAAATCCCTTCGCCTTTTACTAGAGCCTGCGAGAAATAGAGTGTGGTTGGATGGGATTTGCTAATACTTGGTCATGATAGTTGACATAGAAGGCTCAGAGACAAATTATATGAAGCTCGGTTTATAAATCATACTAATTCCCCATTTGGCCGTGCAAAGAAATGAAGAGAGAAAGGATCAACGTTTCGTGATGCTGCTGCAACAGTGCTTCCTAGCCCCTCCTTACTCCGTGGACCAGAGGTAGGCCATCCTTAGTTATAAGCCCTGCCTTGAGACAGTCTTCATATGCTCGCTCGAAATCTAGGTCAATCTGACCTAGGTTATCTTGCATCTTGACCAATGTTGCCTCATGCTCAAAGATCTTGCTTATGAGTTTCTTTCGGGACGAACGGAGTTCATCATACTTGGCATAAGGAGGGTGGCGGATTGTCCAACATAAAACCTGGAGGTATTTGTCGTCTTCTGAAACTATATTATTAGACAATAAACATATAGCTGTGGTGTTTGTAACTTGCCCGTCAAGCTAACATCTTTCTCGACACATTTCGCGCGCAAACGCTCGACCTCTTCTGCAAGCCCACCCCATTTTTGTAGTATCTGAGCCTTATCGTATTCGTTGTTGTCGTTGTGGTATTCCTCAAATCGGACATTATTTTCTAGTTCACCGACTACTTCGCGATACTCTAAATAGAGATCAGATTCGTTTTTATCGTCTCCATATCCTTTATCGTCTTCATATTCTTTATGTTGTTATATTAGCAAGGTACAGTATTTGAAGTAGGCTTAGGCTACCTGAACCCGGGATGGTTGGAGACTTATCTCGCAATTCTCGCGCCTGAGACTCGTTTGTTGTCATTTGGCCCATTAGCGTAGCGCTCGCCGAACTCTCTGAATTTTTGCAATATAAAACTCTCAAAGTAATAGACGTCTAGTGTAACGCTGACTTCTAAACGATAGAAGACACAGAGGTTCTCTTGCGTAAAGGTTTACTTATCAGAGGAGGCAGGGGATCAGACACAAAGGCTTCAAGTAACACATTACTAGTATATAACAAATACTGTATTGAGTTGAGCACGAAGCTCCTATCTAAGGAAATACTATCTACTTATATAGTGGCGTCGTGCCTAGTGGACTCTTGGGAACTCACTTGAGTCCTCGGAGTCCTGGACTCTTAGGACTCTTCTCATCATCCTGCGAGTCCATCACGTGCCTAGTGGACTCCTGGGAACTCACTCGAGTCCTCGGAGTCTTGGACTCTTAGGACTCTTCTCATCATCCTGCGAGTCCGTCACGTGATACTTTCGGAACTACTATTCCCCGCTGCCCCTCCAGGTACCAGGGCCGGTCTCATGCGACCTCCCTCCTTCCTGTCCTGTAGTTGGCCAGCCTTCTTGTTCCGTCGTAACATCTAGTATTTGTTAGTTTTGATATGGGTATAACGTTTGCTTTATACATACTACCGACGATGGGACGCAAGGCGCTGGTGGGGCGCTATAGGTTTCAGAACCTAGAGACCTCGCTCGGTGAACGAATGTGGCATATACTCCAGCCAATGAAATGGAATAGGCTCAAAAATAAACCCAATTATACGCACGTTAATGCCTTACTTATTGCCTCGTACTCGAAGCATTGCAGCCTTAGGGCAATTTACGACTCGCATGGACGTCAATTGTCAAACTCGCACCAACAGCAACAATAATACGATAACCACCTTCCTGCTACTCACTCCTATTCTACAATGGCGCCACAGAAGACAAATTATATAAGTGGGGGAAGCTCAATTTATTAGTCCGCGGAATAGTGCAGAATCTTATTATTCCGCCATCATACTGAAGAATAAGAACAGAAGGTATTACGCTTCGTGATGGAACATGAAAGTTACAGAGGGAAAGGGCTTGCGTCCTGGTTGTGAGGGAGACCCAAGGGAAGCAGCTTTGTGGCCTGGCGCAAGATACTGTGAGACGAAAAATAACGGAAAAGCCAACATCATATGATGATTTAATACAGGAGTATATGAGTTGATTATGTTAAAATCTAAATAACAATTTGAAGGCAATAACAAGGCAAAACAAAACATAGCTCGATGTCAACCACTTGCAATTATGCGGGATCGGGTCCAACTCGTCTTTTTTTTCGTGAAACATACAACTCTGCCTTCACATCAAAGCACCATGACCAGACAAGCGTTTTCAGTTTCCATCAAGTCTGAGCGAGGAAATCCTACTTCAAAACACGAAGAAAAGATAGAAATCATTATCGGATTGAGGACCTGTACAGCACTTATTAGCCGTTAGTGTAAGAGCACTCTCTATGCTAACTTACCTCACGTATTTCACGCCATTTCTGCAACACGGATGGTGAGGTAAATGATCCATGAGCCAGACGAGAAAGTTCGCAAGCAATAGCATCGCATTCTTCTTTCGACCATCCCTCAAACAAAACATGACCACGCCAGACAGGGGTATGTTCTTCCGTGAATATTGTAGTGCACGAAAGTAGAGCGTGATATTTCTCTGGCAGGTGGATTAGAACAAATAAAGCTACAGCTTGAGCATTAGGTATTCCAGAGAGTAGTCGCTCCATCTGCTTCAAGGAAAGTACGTTAATCCCAAGTTCGTACTTTTCATTTCGAAAGGTTATATAATCATTTCCAGGCAAAGCTCTCTCGCTCGGGTGATCTGGTTGTATTTTCGACATATAGCTAACAGCAAGGTTCAAGATGTCAGCATCGCTGTTGCCGTTGGGCAGTTTGACCGATTGCATAGTTGACAAAGATTTGGCAACATGCTTCCACATGACAACTGCGTCTTTGTCGTTCTGAGGCGCTTTGATCGCTGTCATAGTCGGCATAGAACTGGCGGTTGCGCTCTGGGTCTCATTTAATTTTTGCGCAGTTGTCAGATCATAGTTGCTAGCTTCAGCTGCGTCTAAGTACGCAACGACGTTGCTTAAATCGTATTTTGTTTCATCAGAAAGCCCTTTATCACCCTTGCAATTTTCTATAGCAGTGCGGATAGCTTTGTAAGGGCTGTTATCTGTATGTTTTGAGGTTTCGCTACCCCCCTGGATGTAAAGTTAGCGTTATGCCCTTATGCCTTCTGAAAATGCCTTACCGCAATTACAGAATCAAAAAATGCCAAATTTGTACAAGCAGAGACCGCCTGTTTTATCCTTTCTTTGGTGTTGTTCTCTGCGTTTTGGAGGAATTGAAGGCTTTTCTGGAGAGCAGTTGCAGAGTGAGGATGCGAAATATTACAAGGGCATAAATCGAAATTCCTCTGCTGTAGTCGGGACTTGAGAGAGCTACTAATCGCAAACTAGATAGGCTATGTTAGTTATATTTGAACAGTAGGGATGAAAGGAGAATACAAACAAACATATCTCGCCAATCAGCAGCGATCTCTCCTGCGGTTTTCTCGCCATTCGATGTTGATGTCGCCAAGGCTTTAAAGACACGGCGTTCCTCATAGCATTCCTCACAGTGTTCCTCGCAGTCTTCCTCACAGTCTTCCTCACAGTCTTCCTCACAGTCTTCCTCCTCACAGTCTTCCCCACGCCTAAATGCAAATCTGCAAAATCTCACCCACTGGGGTGATAGCAGTCTCATTCCAGGGGCTTCAAACTGCCATGCGCTATGGCAGAGCAGTTCGTGATGTTCAGGGGAAATCATATCATGGACATTTTCAAGGGCATATTGCACATCCATATCCTTATCTTCTGTTCCCGCGCATAGCCCTGCATCCCATAACTTATGCAGAATAGCAAGACTTTGTACAGAGTAAAATTTACTCGGAACTGCAGATATTTGTTCAGGGGCAATAATAATCCGAGGCCGTACTTCCAATTGTCTTAGCAGCTCAGTTATAATCGAGGCATCCACTCCCAGGTCCTGGCTGTCAACACTGATCGTATCTCCATCGTTAAGAGTGTCATTTCGAGTTTTAGAGTCAGTGGTGGATGTCGCCTTTTGAACTTCTATTCTCATTTCGCAGTCTTCTATTCTCATTTCGCAGTCTGCCTTTTCAAACTTCAAAGTGATAGCTTCGTTGTCGAATTCCATCGCAGGTGTTGCGTGAGAAAGGCTGGCAGAAACGTCGTTTTGGCTATTAAGCTCTGTCTCACTGCAACGAACCTATTTTTATTAGAAACAAGTAAAGAGGATGTATCTTGGATTTAACATACTTGTGGCGTCAGCCTCGCCGCCTTATTTCTTTTGCTTATATCGTCATCACTCTTCCGCTTCGTAGGTTTCTTTGGTTTCAAATCGGCCATTTCAAAAGATGGAAACAAGAGGTTTGACGTATCTGAGTCTCCCAACACTGGGTTTTGGGTTGTGGTAGCAGAGTCTGGGTGCAACAAAATTACAGGAACAGAGCCCTCCCCGGGAGGCCTTTGCGGGAAATCCATGCCAAATATTATCAAGTGAGTTGAAAACTTCCCTCGGCGTTAGAGACAAATCAATCAGACAGGAAGAGGGGGAGGTTGCTTCTTTATAAGTCAGACGAGCATGCCGTCGTTCATATCTGCAGACGCTGACAAAACCGATTTACCATGCAGTAGTGGGAAGTAGGCCGTAAATATTGTACCACCATGTCATGATCCGAAACAAATGCCAACCCCTTGTTTCGCGCAATATGTCCGGCGTATGCACTAGCCCGGCGCGGGAAAGGGCGCCCGGGGATTCAAGACCTGGCTTGCAAAGCACCTACATAGATGAGGGGAAGCAGACAGGAAGAGCGTTGATTACAGAGGTGTGCTGCCCCGTTCCAGGGTGTGGCGCGAAGGCATGGAATAAACGAATGGAACATGTGGGGGGCGGATGCGGAGTGTGAGCGGAGGGAGGGCGGTCGAGGAAAACGAGGGGCGGCTATGTGGGTTTTCAGCCGCCTTTGGGCGGGGTTTTACTGATCCAACCTTTGAATTTCCTCTTTGGCTAATTACTTATTACCCTTCTTTACACGAAAATTTACCCAACATCATCACATATCGCTTCACGTACATCACACACAAAAAACACCACAACATAACAGCAAAATCATAAATTACTCCCTGCCCGACATCCGATGCTACCTTGCACGTTCGATCAACAGCTATCTGCATATGAACCGTAAATACCCAGATCTTGTGAAAATCGTTCATTTTGACGAAGATTGTCGATACACTTAAAAAATGCCCGGCGGTTCTTCTGCGGTTGCCGACAGTCACCTCGGCGTCCTGGAATGGTGTAGGGTTCTAGTATCATTTCATCCTGGATTCTGAACCCACAATATATAATTGCCATCATTCTGAATGCTGCATCAACGTCGAGATAAGTTACCGCATGGTCCAACATGCCTATGCATGTCTCGATACTAATATATTAGATATTTCAAAGATAAATATAGATTGGTATATGCATACTGTTGAGCGCCCTCGCTAATGAACCATGCCCGCAATAAAGGACGGCTATAATCCGACTCCTTTATGCACGCATAACAAAACGACGTTGTTTGATGAATGAGATAACTGGCAAGATCCTCTTCAGTGTCCATTTGAATTGTAAGTGTAAGACCTGTGAAGGCCTTCAAGACGTCAAATGTACAATTTTGGTCACGGGCTAGAGGCTCGATTCTCTCTTCAAGCTTTTGCTTTAAGATAGGTTAGTATATGAACTCTAATTAGGGTTAATAGATTTACCTTGAGCTTGTCAAAACTTAAGTCGAATTCAGCAACTTCCAGGTATTTCACCTGTATGCCATACCTATTTGCCATTCCTTGTTCCACTTGGTAGTCTCGATTCTTGCTAAGAGCAAACTGGTGCAGGCCCCAGGGATTAAACCCTTGCTTTGCAGAAGAAAGAATAGCGCATTCAGAAAATGACAGGCTCTGCGTTACCTGCCGGAATATAGGGTCTAATTTGCCAATCAATGATTTCTCAATCAATGATTGAGAAATTTCTCGCGTCATCAAAACATCAGGCCTGAAACAAGGAATAAATATATCAATAACGGCTACTAAAGCTTGCTTTTGATACGGCGTTAGCGTGAATTCCTATTAGATCACGAATTAGAACATGGGCTTTCGCGAGTGGTTTCTTTCTACTCACCTTGGAGCTCGTATCTGAGCTGCCTAGCATGCTAGCGCTCACGCGTTGATCAGACATCTTAGCCTCGGTGCTGGAGCTTGAGGAAGATGGGAATAGTGACAGAGGTAAGCAGTTCGGCTTGACTTGACGACGATGTGCGGTCGGCCGGGCTGTGGTGGTGCGGCGATGCGGGGCGTGCTGGCTTGGGTGGTGTGGGAAAGTGGACATCTGTTGGCCCCTGGTTTAGGCGGTGGTGGTTGTGAGCTCAGGTGGGCTGAGGGTGGCAGCGGGGGGTGGCAGCGTCTGCGGCGCGCGGGTGGTGGTAGTGGTGAGAGAGGAAGAGAAAAAAAGCTTCGATTGAGTCTGGGGCACATCTTTATATCAGGATTGAGAAGGCGGAGGGAGGGGTGGAGGTGGAAGAAAAGAGGGGGTCGGGGGGTTTGCAGGGGTGAGCAGCAGAAGCGTGAGAGCATCATAAAGTTTAACAGTTTCCACACGTGTAATTTAAATGAAATACGATCAATATATGAGCTAATTATTGTGATGAAGCTTCTAAACGTTACATAATGAATTACTAACGCTAAACGTATGAGTATTACACAACGGCCTGCATTGCTCTCGGTGGCCGAAGGTACTGAGGATGGGCAGGTAGATGGTTGCTTCTCTGCGTACCTAGTCGAGTAAGGGTCACATTGCTCCCAGCAACCGAAGATGGCAAGGAAGGTATGGCACGATGTTGCTTGCGTTCTAGAGCGACCTTGAGTTTATAGAGCAAAAAGCAGAGTATTGGCGTGATAATTGTATAAGTTACTATTTGTTGATATAATCAATATTTGAGGAATTGCGATAATTGTATTACATACCAACAAGCTCGAAACAAGGTCAACTATACCCCAACGATATAAAGGTTGCGAGACCAGAGCAGCGATAATAGTGATGGCGCAGAAAACCTTGCCGAAGTTGGCAAATATATTGACTCTTGGTTGAGGAGATTGGGGCAAGTTTAGATATACGTAGAAAATGGTGGTATATTCTGCAATAAACGACAGCATAAGAACACTGATATCAGTTTCAAGCAACTCCTCTGAAGGTTGGCGCAGTAGTAGTATATACAGCTGAAACTGGAGTGCGGAACAGACGACAACAGCCAACGTCGTGAATTTTGTGCCGTCATACAGCTTCTGACATGAAATCTTTATAAGATTAGTACAGTGATTTAAAAGCAACGTGTGTCATACCTGATAGCTGGTCCCTACAATACCCATAGAACCAATGAGTATTGGTCTTGGGGTGACAAACGTATACACGATGCTCCAGATGAGGGATACTGCAAGAATGAACAATATTGCCGACATAGTTAGGAACCACCACTTTGGTGGTGGCTTGTGCCAGGGTTGGGGGGGTGTAGTTCCAGGAGGTTCGGAATTATGTTTGCCACATCTGAAGAGTAGGGCGAATTCGAGTACAGCCAAACAGATGGCAATGACCACAAATATCAGCAACTGGGTCGACATGTCGACGATGAAATAATGGCCGATTTAGCGAGGGCTGATTTAGGCACGAGGTGCATCCCAGTGACCGGTGTGAGCGGTGATCAGGTGTACTTGCGTGCAAAGGCTCACCGAGAAGAGAAAGTATGCAGGAAAGGTAGCGGTGAGGAATGAGGAATGAAGAGCCACACCGGTCGCTGCCGTCATCTTATACAACAGTCCGAATCGAAGCACCCGCATTCATTTGCATGGATTGAGATGGATAAACGCGCAGAACGATAGCATTGGTATGTTATAAACACACAGTGATTAATACGCCCGCTCCGAATCGAGAAATAAACCCCTTTGTAGAGAAGTCCAAAGATAGAGATATACGACAAGTCCTCTATTCCATTCAGTGGCCGCCGTCGCTGGTATTCATTAGGAGTGATGCATTAAACTAACCAGAAAAGAATAATCCTCAATGACTCTCGGGTTCTTAGGTTTACTCCCCGCTCCTGTTTGACTGGTCATCGAACAGGATTCATCTCAATGTGAGCAACGGTAGTTTGGGATTGGTTCGCATAGTCGGGATTGCGAGACCCAAGACAGGCATTGCTGGTAGTTTCCAGACTAACTGCTTACGAGTCACTAAGGAGCTGCTCGCTTAGAAAAATGCTATTTTTCTAAGCGAGCATCGACACTTCTTTCTTATTGGTCGTAGTAGTGCCTCAATTCTTAACCCACTTACCAAGATCGTCTTAGCTCGAAACCTCGTTCGAAGTTCAGCCTGTCCCCCTCCCCGCCATTCTATTACCTCAAACCAACGATCCTTCATCAAGTACCCCTATGCGGTAAGCCGATCCGTGATATAGTTTCGGCTCAGACCGCGGTTGGCTTCCCGCTTTGGAAAATGGCATCTTCCTAAGCGAGTCGATGTGGAGCTTGATGTGTCTCGATCGGACCTGTCAGCTGCTCGCTTAGACAAATGACCAAGGCAGTGCAGTTGTGAGTATTTTACATCTGTCCTTCACGAAGTGCATCCATCTGTCCTTCACGAATGCATCAAAAAGAAAGGACGTCGAGAACAATGGACCTTAGACTGTTTGCATATATTGAGAAGTTAAAGAACGAAAATGAGTTTTTGGTTCGCCACCATCGCCAATGCTCTCTTGGAGATCGTCACTTTACTCAACCCAATTATGTACAAGAGGGTTTTACACACGACCGAGAAGCAGTTTTGACCGTCCGCCCACCATCGCAGTCGCATCCACATCATCCGCCAGACTTGTCTTATCCTCCTCTACTGCAGTTACCTCTTCCTCACCCGCCGCAGTTACCTCTTCCTCACCCGCCGCAGTTACCTCTTCCTCACCCGCCGCAGTTACCTCTTCCTCACCCGCCGCAGTTACCTCTTCCTCACCCGCCGCAGTTACCTCTTCCTCACCCGCCGCAGTTACCTCACCCCATTCCATCGAAGTCACCTGATTCCCTTCAACCAACTCGTCACCCGAAATCAATTCGTCGCCCAAAGAAGAAATTGTGGGAGAAGTATGGAGACGATCTGCGCTGGCATGAGGGAGACAACCAGGCTCGGATGGTGGAAGACAACCAGGTTCGAATAGTGGAAGACAACCAGGTTCAGGTGGTGGAAGACAACCAGGTTCGAATAGTGGAAGACAACCAGGTTCAGGTGGTGGAAGACAACCAGGTTCGAATAGTGGAAGACAACCAGGTTCAGGTGGTGGAAGACAGCCAGGTTCGAATAGTGGAAGACAACCAGGTTCAGGTGGTGGAAGACAACCAGGTTCGAATAGTGGAAGACAACCAGGTTCAGGTGGTGGAAGACAGCCAGGTTCGAATAGTGGAAGACAACCAGGTTCAGGTGGTGGAAGACAACCAGGTTCGAATAGTGGAAGACAACCAGGTTCAGGTGGTGGAAGACAGCCAGGTTCGAATAGTGGAAGACAACCAGGCTCGGAATAACGAAGACTTTGGAAACAATGATGGCGGCCTCAACGAGCGTATCAAGCTAATACTCCGAGGAATATCGCTTGCGGATGCACAAGACCCTCTAGAGACGCTGAGACAGTGCTCGAAAGAACTCGGTAACACTAAACCACAAAACCCTCTAGAGCTAATAAAAAACTACAGCATTATCAGTAACCACACAAAACGTCTCGCTGAGCGTGCAAGAAAGGTACACGCCTTCCAGGAGCTTATCTTTGTCTCGGCGTGTGAAGTCTTACTCAAGAACGGGTACAAACTCGAAGTTATTGATGAATTGATGAAGCTGTGCATTTCCGACTCAAGCACTAAAAATCTAGAGCGTTTAAGGGGGGGAGCACGATGGTTTTGTAGCCTAGTTTCCTCACGGAACGCTGCATGGGAGCACCGAATAACGGAGCACTTATTTAACTGTGAGTTAAGTGAGACCTACCTTCCTAAGAGGAGCTTTAACGAATTTGTCAAGGTGCCCTATCCGTGTCCCAGTACAGCATTTTGTATAGTAATGCGAAAAAGTCAACACCATATGTCTTGAAGCACTTGGAAGGAATACCTGCAACAGGAGGTCAGGATGACGTCGTCGACGCGGAAAGGGTCAATAACTTCACGGGACCGACCGCAGGAGGCCAGGATGTCAACGGACAGGCTCAGGTCCGCCGAAATGAGGCTAGCGACGCGGCGGGAGGCATTCACGACTCGGAGCTATCGAGCGACTTTATATACATGTGTATGCCGATTTTTGTCCAAGCTGTGCTTGGTAAAAGATTCTCGTACGTAAATCCCAAGCCTCTCTTGTCACTGACTAATTTGGCAACGCAGGCTACTTAACATCAGTAAAGCTCTGACATTTGGCGAACACTACCATACTATTGAAATGGAAGATCGCAACCCTTACATCACAAAGAAAATGGAATGGCTTTTCGATAAGTACGTTTCAATCCGGGATGAAGCAAGCCCGGAGCCTCGAAAAGGGAAACGCAAACGCACGAGGAATGATTCGAGTTTGAAGGGTAAATCCAAGGGTTTCCGGCAAGCCGTACATAGGGAGTCGTCGGCTCGAGAACCACTCGCTTCAATCGAGCCTATCTGCAATAACGCGATACCATTTGCAAATCAGCATGAAATGGAGGGAGGTGATAGCCACCATACAATTTGGGACCCTTCCTCTACAGAGGCGCCATTGGGGCCAGAACGCATAGCGGTGCACAACCTGGTTTCTGGTTGTCCTTCACCTGATGGCTCCGTGATATCAGCCCTCCCGTCGATGAGCAGCGAAGTTGACTGCCGCGATGACGAGCCTGGTGTTGCAGTTGGCAATGACTCCAATCAAGGCTCTAATCAGTTTGGGTGCGTGGAATATGGCCAACTCGATGCATCACAACAGCTGTGCGGAACAGTTGACGCACCCATTCTGTTCCCTAACAACAATCCTAACACGCTAAATGCTGGAAACGATCAATTGAATAACGGCGACACATATGGCTTAAACACTTCTGCTGTCGATTACAACCCTCATAACCTTGCCACCTTTGCCTTCGACTACAACAACCCTCATAACCTTGCCACCTTTGCCTTCGACTTTAACAACCCTCAGGACCTTGCCACCTCTGCCTTCAACTACAACAACCCTCATAACCTTGCCACCTCTGCCTTCGACTACGACAACCCTCAAGACCTTGCCACCTTTGCCTCCAACTACAACACCGCTTACAATCAGCCGCAGTCCTGCCCGCCACATTAGTACATAACTACTCGAGTACGAATAGCAAGTCCAATTTTGGACTGACCATTACCGCAGTGGTCATGTAGGTGATTTCGCCGGGAACTAATGGGCGTCCATCAACAGTCGGACGGTATCCGTCTTCAACTCGAATAGGTATAATATATGCAGAGCCTTCGGAATTGTAGAATTGTTGAGATTTTGGCCCGGGGATCCTGACAACAGAGTATCGCTATTTTAGAAGTCAGAAGCAATATATAGTATGCATTGTATGGATTTTACCTTGTTGAGGAGACCTAATTCAGTGAGGAGAGAATTCATTTTCTCGCTCAGCTGTGAATGTACCAAATTTTCCAACTCTCGTGCATTGCGAGCAAATTCTAGCGTAGATAGCCAGTCCGCCAGTGGTTCCAACAGATCTACGGCCTCATTGCTCAGCTTGGTCTGCTGAAGATGTGATGTTCCTAGCCCTGGTATAGACATCGTGAAAACTGTAGAGGTGTCCCCGTAAATGTCGTAATATCTCGGTATCGAGGTGGGATGTTCGAAACGTAACCCCACTAATGATTTCTGTTATGGCGGTTCACGCTTTCCAGCCAAGGTCGCAAGTGCTGTTGTAAAACTTGACTTATGGGCATGAGTGGACGTTCCTTTTGCGCAATATGAACTCGCTGGCAAAGGCTTCCGTGATATCTACAGTATCTTGCAAGCTTCATCAGTCGTGATGATCTGATGGAATCTGCGGTGTCATAAGGTAGCCGAAGCGCTTGGGCAGAAAACGCTTGTTGCCTGATATGGCCCCTGTTCCTACGTTGTGGCCTTAGGCGCAAATATTATCCGTGTTTCATTCCCACGCCGATATTAACCACCAAGGTTCCAGTACCTAGTTCGCATATTTTCGGGCAAAGCTGGTTGCCGCGGTGGGGTTGCTGTGTCAGGCGACCGGACGAAACGTGCAAACACAAATCCACATGGAAATTACTTTATGACTTGATCCGCATCAAAGTGGAACTAAAATATGCATACTATGTAATTGACTCAGCAACATTGTACGCCGTCGGTGGGCAGGAGAGCTCTGAAGTTTGGCCGAAATTTACCAGTGGTCGCAATGTGACACTCACTGCAACCTCGTTGGCTTGGTCAAAATGCACTCACAGCTCATGCGAAGCAACAAGGCTACCCGTCCATCCCATGTTCGGAGAGTTGGTGATAAACCCCCACTGGATTATATATAAGGCGGCTCCCCATGAAAGTATCCGTTCTCCTCTGTCAACAGTCATAGCTTAGTCATAGCTGGCCCGTTGGATTTGATGCTATCACCGGTATGTTTTCCCTGTTTTGCGCAATTCTATTTGTTTACTTTTTAGTTCTTCGTTATTCTGAATTCAGTGTCCCTGGTCATGGCCATCTACGGCAGATCAAACACACAGGTGAGTTGAAGCTATTGGCCAAGTATTATTCCTATTTTTCCTCTGTCTTATTTAACTGTTTCAAGCTTGCTTTTGTTCTGTCTTTTCTCGCTCTTGCCAACACTCTCTGTTTTCCTCATTTTCCGTTTGATGCGAATCAAACGGCCTTCGATCAAGTTCGCTTTAGCAGACTTGATAGCCCAGTTCAGGTAAGTCCGCTTTATCTTGTGTTTTCTCCTTTTCTTTACTTCCGTTGATCAACCAACAATGCTCAACAGAGCTGGCTTTTCGCAGCTCTGCACGGTTTGTCCCTTGCTCCTCCCCGCCCCTCTCTTGTTTACAGCTGCTAGCGCCATGATTGCCCACAGGAATCTCATGTTCTTACTGCCGGGCGGACCCTGAGCTTCTCGACGCTCTTACGAAGCTTTACACACCGAATATCTCGAACGAAACTTGGAATCCTCGATGCACAAATGCCAGCGGAACACACCAAAGGATACACTAGATGATAAGACCTAGCGAAGGTCTTGAAAGAGCTTGGAATACAACTTGGCCTGGGGTAATTCGGGATGTGAAGGGGGCGGGGGTTCTGGAGTCGTCCGTTGCCGCTGGCCAAACGGGGAATTACGACATTGGCAAGGGGCGGGGGCAGAATGGGGGGTGAGGGGGTGGTAGATATCTGTATGTAGTAATAATAAGAGTCTCATCTTGATTGCCGGTCTTTTGCCTCGTGAGCTGTCTTCTTGGCGTGACTGTTTTTACTCAGGACCTTCTGCACACTGTCATGGGCCAGTTATGTCTCTCCCTTGGTTCTAGATCAAAGCAAGCATACAGTCTGCGCGCAACAACAGAACTAGTGATATATCCTTCAGTCTTGACAGCTTACTCAACACAACGTACTTTTACGCACCTCACCTACTTTTTGTATAGGTCATCAGAACTCTACAGCGGCAAGTGTTTACATCGAAATAATATTGCTTTAACTAACAGGATTAGCAAAGATGTGCACACATTCGTATACTGCTTATACCGTTTGCGGCTGCATTCTACCAGGTGGTTGGTTGTACTGTACCCCCAGCAATCTAGGCGACAATTGTCCAGACAAAAAGGAGGAACACTATGTCAATGAAACCAAATGTGGAGACTGCTCATTGGGCACCCCGGAATCTCAGTGATATGGGAAGTGGTAATATGGTCGGCGCTGATTGGGAAAGATGCACATGGAAGATAGACTAGAACAAAATAGGCTTCCGCTACTTTCAAGTATTAAAGCTACTTCTGCCCCATCAAATGCGAACTATCTTTGACATACTCATCAATTCAATTGAGATAACAACCATGGCACAGCGTATTCTCATTACATGCAAATCGCATAAGGTTCCTGGTCCGGATAGTGAGAAAGCTACGCTACTAGCCAACCAAGCCTGTCAGAAGGTTTGGGGTCGAGACTTCAATGAGGGTCTCGGCGACCGCATAACATTGGAGGGTGAATTTACGTACGGCGTACGGTGTAACCTACTTGTTGATAATGGTCCCCTGGATAGTGAGGACTACACTACCTCATTTTTCAGATGGAATGGGGAGGCGCTGTAAGCAGTGAAAGATACGAAGGCCCTAGTCCGAAGCTGATAGAATAGTGTCCTTACTCAATTACCAGCGTCCATCCTTAAAACGTTGGAAGAGCGGTTTCAATTCAACCCAGCCAACAGACCTAAACGCGTAAGCAATCTTCCTTCGTGTTCTTCAGTAATGTTCAACTGAACTTCTGTAGGTCTGCTACACAGATGAGGAATACAAGGATTCGGCCCGAAGAAATATGACGAACTTGTGAGAGGTAAAGCAGAGAGACGGGAGATTGCAAGAAGGTTCGATCCTGAGAAGTTGCATAACCAGTAACAGCCTCAAGCCAATTAATTAGGGCTTCTAGAATAGTACGGATTGGATTTACATGCTCTTTCATGCGGCGAAGAACTATATAGGCCATCTAGCCCAAAATATCCCCTGATTTACCAGGCTATATGACAAATTATATATCGTGATTTTAGATTCTTCTATCTACCCATCAAAATATCAGGATTCTGAACTAAAGCGATGAACTTCAGCTTCAGACTTCGACAGTTAACATGACCACGGACTGCTACTTGGAGTGGATGGGCAGCCGATCTCGTCAACAACTTGTCCTCAAAATATCGCTCGTGAAACCTTCCGCGTCCTAGACTCGCCAGGTGGGCTTCTAGAGAAGCCGTTGGTCAAAGTCGTCCTGCGATCTTTGTAGCAGGGGGGTGCGGGCATGGTTTGTGAAGGCGAAAGCATTTTCATTCGAGACGTCGCCCAGGAATAATTTCAACCCCTTGCCGATTGAAAAATTGCATGCGCGGCATGTCAAGACCTCATCCAATATGTACGCGCTTCCTCGCAGGTTCGCGTTCAGCCACAGACATATCAACAGAATTAGTGATGTCAGACATTACTTTGCGCTTCAGCGGCGATGTGAAGCTTTTTGGCAGGCGCGCAAGCTGCTCAATATTGTGTAAAGCGTCAACGATCAACTCCGGCTCATTCAAAGACAGGTATTTCTCTGTAATAATGAGCGGGGATGTATGTGATTTGTATGGCTCGTCAAATTTCCGTAAATATGATGACGTGATTGTTGCAGAGTATTGTATGATGGATTTTCTGTCCGTCGTCGGAGAGAATAAGAATGCCTGGGAGGGTCAGAGCCGCGACAACTGGAAGGAGGGAAGACTATCTACCTGAATATCTCCATCTGGTATCGACAACCTGGCACTTTGAGCTATCGCAATTAGAATGCTAGCGTTGTAAGGATCGAAAGGCAGCTTGTTCATCTTTTGAACTAATTTATATGCTACATTCAGCGGCTGTTTTTGGCGTGTAAATTCTTTCCGGCGTTTGCGTGATATCCAAGTGTTGTCGATGAAGGCGAACATTGGCCTGGAAGTTTCTCTCGCACAAACAAGGAGGGGGCAGGAGACGGTAGCAACATGTAAGCTGTCGTAAAGCAGAGGAAGTTTTGGACTATGGAGCATGCTTAGTTTAGAGGACTGGCTCGTGTATGATATTCCATACCTGCTAAACCTGAGCTGGTTGACCGTGAGAACCAGGAGAGAAAATAGACGTCGGATTGATTCGTCTCGAAGGGACTTTACCCTCACACAATCGAGAGTATCAAATTCATGTAGAATTTGATCCTTTACTGGTGGATATCGACGAGAACGGTTGCTTATAGCCTCTGTGGGCGTCGTGATAGCTTGTGGAGGTGGGCAGTCGAGGAAGGCCAAGTGCTCAGCCGTCCAGGACTCGGGGCGGACAAAGAGGCGCGTAGAAGGGTGAGTAACTAGCAAATGGCGGAGAGATTCTGGTTCTGGGGTGCAACTCTCCCGTATGGCCTTAGCCATCATTCCAGGGCATTTATGTTTTTTGGGCGTCGGTGTGGATATTGATGTTTGTTTGCGATGGGTACAAACACCGCGATTACGCGATAGTTGTATTGGTCACATGACATGATCCCCCAAGGTTCAGGCACAGCGACAGACGCAGATAAGGATGGGCCGATATAGACGCGGCGATAAGGTTGGGCTTGATATAGATAGTTCTGTCCTCTTATTTAAGAAAGTAAACAGCACGAATTTAAAATTACAACATGGCATATTATGCATCCAAATCATGCCTACAGTATCCTTCTAGTGTTACAGAGTTTAACGAGAGGTTTCCAGAGAACGAGCACCATACCATTCATAATCTAAGTGAAGGAAATAGAAAAGCAAGTGGTAGCCGATGGAATACTTCGCATCTCCAAGCCTGTCGGGTTATAATGTCCCAGTCGGTGCATCATCTCCCAGTTCTAGAACCATATGTCGAGCTTGCTAGGCATCGGATTAAGAATACAGGTGAAGTGTACCAGAGTCTTATCGCAGTGACTCCGAAAGACTTGAGGCTATGCTCGCATCAGCAACTGCGGGCAAAGGGCAATCACTTTGGGGCCTTCTATATCCGGCTGGCTGATATCGCTCGGTTACCTGCTGGAGAGCTCCAAGTCCGACCTAGCAGAGTGGTCTCTCCCCCAGATAGGTCCGGCTACGTGTCAGGAGAAGGATTGGGATTATCATCACCTATCGGATCAGAGCGATTGGTCTCCTCGCAGCCGTCATCATTCTCTCTATCTGAGAGTGACCCTGTCGAACGGCCCGAGCATGTGCTTCGTACAAAACATGAAGTGGTCACCGCTGGGATGGCAGCCGAGTTCATTTCAGCGGTATTAGATATCTGTTCCGAGCAGAAGAACGCAGACTCCCGAATAGAGTTTAACCCAGCTCCAACAACATATATTATAGAATTTCAATGGCTCCAAAGTGTCTGTCAAGATGACGGATCCTTAATTCGGAGAAAAAAGAACAAACTACATGGGGGTTGGGTTTCGCAAGGCCACAATTTAGCTATGTTCGAAGCCAAAGCTCTATACACGTCCTGGAACGAAGATGAAGATGTCGCTCAGATGTCTACTAGTGTGCGGGCCCAGCTAGCTTGTGAAATCTTTGGCTCCATCTTCCAGCGGCTAAATGCCGATGATGACCCTGACGACTTAAGTTGCAAAGATCGTCAGTAAGTCTTACTACCTGTTGTGATTTGGTATGTTGAGGTGGCTAACCGTGCGCAGTGTATTCCTCATCTCGGCGCATCAGACGACCCTTACATTCACACATACTACTATCAACAAGGAGTACCTGGATTACCTTCAATCAGATAGGCCAACAGACAGTCTACCCTTCTTAAGTCTCGTCTCTTCAGAACAGTTCGATATTGAAAAAGGTCCGGGGCGTATTGAAGCAGCTATTGGCATTATGGCTATAGTTTCCTTTCTGGACGATACAGAGGAGACTGAGACTTAACATGAGACCTTTGCAATGAAGTGAGGCAACGTCCGGCGCGAAAACCCTCAAGAAAACTGAAGGGAAACGATTTGTTTTGGAAGGTCAAACATGCATTGTGCTTGCTCCGAAGAGTTGTTGTACTTCCATAGCGAGCATGTCTAACTATGCGTGCAATACATGATCCTTCTTCCGCTTTGGGTTCACTTTCGTGCAATAGTGTATCTGTAGGGAGTTGATCTCTCTCTTAGGGAAATACTCCCTCTGTATTTCCTGCCACGACATCCCCCTTTCCTCCCTCAATTCCAGCAGTTGCCTGTCGTCGTCTTCGGTATATCTTGTCCCTGTGGCTTTGACTGATGCAGATTTTCGCTTCAAGTTGCGTGATTTGACACTGGCTGTTACAGACTGCATGTTTTGCTGAAAGGCGAGGTAACGAAGATACTTTTTGGGGATATATACTGGAATGAGCATATCTGGATTGACAATATCGTCAGTACAGACGCTTTGAACTAGCCGTTCTTCTGCATCGCAACCCGGGGAAGGCGATGAGACATAGCCGTTATTGCGGGTTTCATTGAGTTCGTAGTCAGCATCATCTTCGTCATTATCCTCGCTGCTAGTACTCTCATTTTCTGAATCTGGTGGCGATAGGCGTTGTCGCTTTGATTGACTCTGATGAGCAGTCTTGGCGACTATGGAGGCTCTGTTCCGTTTTGGATATCGGAGGCCCTGCGTATTTCCCGCGCCGTCTCGCGTAGCTGCAAGGCTCGATTTTCTCATAGCATTGTCGCCTCGTGTTTGGGTACAGGGTTGCATGACCCCATGTGCCTCGTCGCGGTCGACGATGACAGTACAGCCCTGAGGTACGCTTTCGTTTTCGTGTCGATGTTCTTCATCTGGCTTACTAAAACCATCACAAGATGATATCTCCGGTTCCCCAGCGAGTGTAGAATCCCCGCCATCCTGACTGGGGGAGCTCCCGGCAAATGTAATCACATCGAAGCCATGTGGAGAGCAAATGAGAGAGCCAGCAGAAACAAGTGTTGATACCTCCTTACTAGCTGGCTCTTGATCCGTCCCATCATCGTAACCTCGGGATTCAGGAGCAACTGGACTCCTCTCGTCAATACCACGCTCAGCTGCACGAACGTTTGTTGTTTCCGATATGAAATTGCGGGAGCTGTTGACCTCGTTCTCGAGATCAATTGGCATGGCTAAGTACACACTATCAGCAGGATGTTGCAGTACTGTGAAGTTGCATGTCTACCTTGATTGCCGGTAAGGCTACCATGTATCGCCGAATCGCTGAGATCAGGAAATCTAGGAGTATCGTCCACGGCTAGCTCACTAACTTGACTTTCATCTTCCAGATTGTGGATATTTAGGGTAGTTCGTCGGATCTCTGACGCACGAGAAAAGTCGTTTCCACCTTCAAGATGGCTACTATAGCAGGTACTCGGTGTTCCACCCACTCGCTTCGCTCGTAGGTGGCGACAGCAAGTTGTGCGTGCGACAGCAAGATGTGCGACACATAAAACGAAGAAAAAGACGCCTTATATATCAACTATATAACTATATAATTAAAACATAAAATCAATAGAACTACTATCACTATCGCTACTGCCACTATTGCTACTATCACTTTGATCCTTACTATACCGTAAAATGATCACTTTTGATTTCAACCCTTCCTTCTTCCGCTCTGCTACCCGCTTCCTCTCAACCTTACGCTCTTCAATTTCGATTTTACGTGCTTGCGCTTGTAGCTGCTTTACTACTTGGTCCGATTCCCTTGCTGCTCTTGCGTCTGCTTTTGCTTGCAACTTTGCTTTCTTCTCTTCCCGCATTTTCCGTGCATCTGATGCATATAACTGCCCTCCTTTCTGTAGTGATTTCCGTGCCCTTGCCTTTGCTGCCTTCTGCTCTACTGCACGTAGAGTCATAATATCTAGCTCGGTCTTATAGAGCTCTGCCCGGTGTAGAACAACTGTAGTTCCACGTGCAAATGATTGAAACCCTTCTCTTGAAGGCGATGAGAAAGCTTCCTCTGCTCTCTTCTGCCAATGTTCAACCGCTTGCACACTTTGCATAGTTGTTTTCGGTGTTGAGATAATATTATATGAAGCAAATGGCTCATAATCAGGTGTTTGATTCCGAGTCTCTTGTATCTTGTCAATTACAAGTGGAGGATTATATGGATATAGTCCTGTATTTCTCCAACCAGATTGAATTGTACGGACAGTTAGAGATTGCCGTCGGATTTGCGGGAGGTCTGAAAGGAACGTACGTAGCTTATACTCATAGTCGTAGCTACGTACTGCTTGATCAAGTGCCTTTTGATGAAAGTGTTTGCACTGCTTAAAAACCGCTACATCAAGAGGTTGTAATAGATGTGTTGTATGAGCAGGAAGGCAGCAAATAACAATGTTATGCTCTTCTGCTAATGTAAGAAAGCGCTCTGTTTTATGAGAGTCATGGCCGTCAAGTAATAAGAGGCGAGTATCATCTGGTGCCATATGCTCTGCAGATAGTTGGATAAAATGCATAAGGTATTGGATTGCAATGTCGTCGTTTGAATACCCGCTCTCATTTACAATAATGAGAGCATTTGGCTCAAGGTCATCATTGTACCATGAATCCATATGAAGTTTGCCAGGGATAATGATAGCTTCTGCAAGTGCAGCACCACTTGCATTTACTGCCTCAATTACAGTAACAGAGAGCCGATTCTCAGGATTATCAACAGTCCACTGCTTTACACCGATTGGTACAATAACAGCCGTAGACTTATAACACCCAATCATATAGCCTGTCTCATCAACATTCCATAAATTATATGGCTTAATGTTATGTTTTGTAATAAGGGCGTTATATGTGAGAAAGAATTCCTCAAACACCTCTTTCTTTTGTGCTTGCTTCCGATGTGTATTTAACGTCTTCGTGTGAATTGTATGAAATTTGGGGTGTGCTTTTAGAAAGCGTTGTAGCCACCGTTGTGATGGTATCGTACGATTAGGTCGTAAGTCTGCAACTGCCCGTAGTATCATAGATCGGTTGGCAGGGACCCCGCGCTCAAGTTGGTCGTATATGAATTGACAGACCGCGGTCTCTTGCGATTGAGATAAGACTCGATTGCTACCTCCGTGGGGTAATTGAGGAGACGTAGTACTCGTAATACGACGTCGGAGTGTCTCACGGTTGACATTGAATTTATTTGCAACCCAAGCAATTGTATATGTACTTGGTTGTTTTAAGAAGAACTGTTGGGCCTCATTAAGGCGAGCAATCATAGTAGGATCGTTATTTTGAGGCATTGTAGATACTACGTTATGAAGAATACTATTATTTTTTCTATATATCAAAATAGCGGTGTACGCACATCTTGCTGTCGCACGCACAACTTGCTGTCGCCACCTACGAGCGAAGCGAGTGGGTGGAACACCGAGTAGTACCGATCTGTACTCGACTTCTCGCACCATCTTCCTTTCGTCGAGTCTTGCGAGGAATGTAATTATAAGGGATAACGCGAAAAGTATCCATTTTCAATGCCAGTGAAACGAGAGGAGTCCCACTGTCGAAAGAAAAACTGTAGAGTGAAATGTGCAGCATTGGGGCCCTCTTATAGACTCAACATAGGAGTATTCCCTTCTTGTCATTTTTGCATCCCCACCTTTGATGAGTTTCAGCGACAACAGTAGCGAATAATGCTCTTCGTATCCACTGTACCTAAGCTGGCAAATATCAAGGTTTCCCTCAATTCATCACCATCTATAGCCAGGCAAACCTGCCCAACCTCTTCAAAGCCTCGGCATGGCTTTCCGACCTCCCCATGCAGGCACCTCGTAGTTTCGAATTGTCGTGTTCTGCAGGCCCGGATACAGTACAATCACGACGTCCGTCAAGAAGGATTGGGTAATCCTTGAATAGGGGTCAAATGGCGTCGGAAATGGCGGCATCAGCTGGACCAAGTATATCGACATCCATGCAATAGGGGTATAGCAGCGTAACCCGTCCCCTGCTCCAACTATGCAGCCTTTCGGACTTTGGCACACCAGGTAATCCGAATTTAAATGTCGCCATCTCCTGCCTCGTAGATATCTTCTAGCGGCTCACATTTGTCGGTGACCCCGAACTGGGGCTGTGCATTGCGAAGCTGCTCGGCTCGAGGAGGTCAGGTAAGTCCCCAGTTGGACTAGTACCAGCACAAGCACTGCCCAACTCAAGGCAAGTCGGATGAAGCCCCAATTGGACAAGTGTCCGCATTAGCACTTTCTCAACTCGAGGCAGTTCGGAGGAAACCCCAATTAGAGAAGTGTCCGCATGAGCACCTTCTCAACTCGAGGCGGTCCGGAGGATTCCCAATTGGACTAGTATCTGCACGGGCACTGAGGCAGTTTGAAGCTCCTATTGGAGTAGAATCCACACAAGCAACCGCTCAACTCGAGGCAGGTTGGGCGAAGCCCAATTTGGAGTTGTATTCGCACTTCGCAACCCGAGGAAGGTCGGAAGCCCCAGTTGGACGGGCATCCACATGAGCACTGCCCGACTCAAGGCAGGCCACAAGAAGCCCTAGCTGAACTAGTGCGCTCGCATTAAGGCTACCTTGGAACCATTTGGAAACGAAAGGAACAGACATCAAGGGAAATAACGCAGCAAGAGACATGGCAAAAGCAGAATAACCGTGTCATGGCTGAAGCTGAGCTGTGTCGTCATGCTCATTAGAGTGCAGGTCTATGGCATTTCCGAGGGGAGAGGGCAACAGCGACCTTCATGTCTCGCTGTCTCCGTCGCCTAAATCAAGGCTGATAGCAAGGCAGAGCGAGAGGTAACTGGGGTTCTCTCGCCCAATGCAGGGCCTAGGTTTCTGGGTACGAGATGCGAATGATGAGCTATCGAAACTGCTACTATATTGCGAAACACACGAGTCAGCTGGATGGATGATGCACGTCGTGAGAAATGCGGGTCTCAAGAGGCCAGACCTACAAAGAACGAGCGAGATAAGGCCGTAGGCCGCAAGGCCTCTGCTCTGCTCGATGAGCAAGAAATGGGGGCGGTTGATCGAGAGGTGTTAAGGTGAGTTAAGGTGGAAACAGCGTTGGCTTTATATTTGGGGTAACGCTAGCGTCGGCGGGTACGATGCGTTCAAGCAGCGAGGGCGCTAGAGCGGCCACGTAGGCTTAGCGGCGCTTTCCCTGTTGCAGCCTCCCTAGTTTCCTAATGCAGAATCGCCGACATGTATATAGCTATAGTTTGATAAATATTATATGGTTACGTTAATTTAATAGTTATTAATTAATATAGTTAACATTTGCATAACGTTATTATTTTATATTTTTATATTTAAGTTAACGTACATGTATAGCGAAAGCGCCAAACAAGCGAAAGCGCCAAAATTATCTACCCTCACGACAAACATTGCGATAAATCTACCACAACATTAGAAATCAATTGAAACTACTCGGAGTCCTCTTCCTCAGAGGTGTCTATTACAATCTGACACGTGCGCGCATTGTGCCCAGTCTCACCACACTTGCCACAGCGACGGGCACGGGTTTCTTCCCTTGGCTTCCGACCACGGCTTGCCCTTATTTCCTGCTCTACCTGCTGCACAACATCCCTCTCATCCTGTAGCTCTTGCGCCCCTTGTTGACTAAGTGATCCTCCTTGCTGTAGTCGTGTTTTCCTAGCTCTCCGGCGCTTGCTTAGTACTTCATTTGCCTGTCGTAGGTTTTGGTTCTCTCCCTTTAGCAGTGCTAATTGATGCATTATTTGCGATGCACCCTTTGTAAACTGGTCAACAGCTGCATAGATTGAGGTTGGAGAGCTATTTTGATGGCGTGAAATCCGAGTTTTAATAAATGTAGACTGTGACATAGCTTCAATTGGGTTGTTTGGTGTCTGAGAAACCCAAGGTTGAGCAGTACCTGGGCGGGAGCTTGGAGGCGTTGGTGTCCTTAACTTAAGATCAAGTGTAGATATCACTCTCTCAGGGTCAAATGGAAGAAGCCCTGCCCCTCGGAACCCGCCTCGAATGTTACTTTCCGTCATTGTAGTGTTAAATGCAGCGTGGAAGGCAGGAAAGAAGTCATCCTTTGTAATATGAGAAATATGAGCCTGCATCATATCTTCAATTTGCCGACCATAGGCCTGCTTTAACGGGCCGAAACAGCCAACATCAAGTGGCTGGAGTAGATGAGAAGAGTGAGCAGGCATACAAAGCGTAATAATGTTGTGTTCCTTGCAGTACTCCTCAAACTCATCTGAGTGGTGGCTCTCATGACCATCAAGGACTAACAAGCGATAACCACCAACACTCCGGGCCTTTGTATGCTTCTCAAAGTGCTGAATCCAATCCATGCCTCTCTCGTTTGTAGTCCAGCCATTTTCAGTAACAGAAATCACCCAATCGCTTGAAAATCCACTATTCTCATACCAAGATGTAAGGTGGTTTTTGCCTGCAACAATGATAAATGGTGGTACTGCCCAACCTTGAGAACTAACGCCTTGGATTACTGTAACCCATTCCCGATTACCAGGCTGTACCTTCTTTGCTTTTGCCCGCCCGTCTGAGCTTGTTACAACCATAGCAGTTGAGATAACGCCCATCATAAACCCAGTCTCATCAAAGTTGTAGATATCTGCTTCATCGATACCATATTTCGCAATTGTGTTACGCACAAGCTCAAACCAGCCATTAATAACTTCTGGATCTTCGCACTTAGCCCTCTGGTAGTCGTATTTGCGCTGAAAGCGTGTCTGGAGCTCTACACGCCGCTTAACAAAGTTTGAAGCCCAACGCGACCCAACGCGTGACGCGTCGCATGTTGCAAGTAGTCGACTTGCCATATCTTCAACAACAGACAGCCGAGGAGGAAACCCTTTGGCAGCTAGGTCGAGTATATACTGAACAAGGATGGACTCCTCTAGGTTAGTTAATTTCCGTGAGTTGGCTTGGATATCGCGTCGTGAAGGTACACCTTCTAGACGACGACCTAGCTTGCGGTGGTCCACAGAATAGATCCTAGCAGCAACTCGAAGGCGTAACTTTGGGTCGCTTTGCATAGCCTGGATAGCTAGCACTAATTGGCTTTCATCGTTTTTATGGGGCATGTTTTGTTGTTGAGGAATTTAACATTTAGTTGGGGGGTTTGGTCACCGCATCATTTTGGCGCTTTCGCTTGTTTGGCGCTTTCGCTATACATGTACGTTATACTAAGTGTTTAAATATGATAGCGCGTGCCAAGCGTAACTAAGCTATGTCACGGATGCAACCCGGTTTGTTTGGAAGAGCTGCTGCATCAACATTATCCTCCTTTATATTCATTATATAACTGAGCCAGAACAAGGTTTGGTGAGGACTACCCTTATATACTCGTGGGATTATACTCGATTCGTGTTCGTATTCACCCAACTCTTTCAGCCACAGTCCCTGATCTGCCACAGCCTTGCCAAGTGTCACGTAAGCGAATTACATCATAGAAACGTGGGAGGTATTAATCCCCATGGCGACCATGCATGGATTTGCGCCGTACAACCGCACAAGGCTAATGACGATCTCCCGCATCGTAGTGGGGCCTCAAAGCTTAGATAATGACTCTGTTCCGGATAGTAGGGTCTTCCATATTGATGAAGTTGATATAATAGATCTATCTACAATATCTATACTATATTACCCCGCATAGGTTGGGCATCATTCGCAGTTGGGCCGGCCCATTCGCGAATAGGCCGGCCTGCTCGCGGAGGTTCATATTCGTGGTTGGGCTGGCCCATTCGCGAATATGAATTATTCGCGACTGGGCCGGAACACATATAATGTTCACACGTGATACCTACTGACATTGTCGCGCCTCGTTGACTTTGAACTTCGAGTTTGCAACCCGTCGCAACCACAACGGCAATGTTCTCACTCATTCATCTTAGTTGCTCGGAAGCATACTCGCTATGATGTTCTTACCAACCGCAACGCTCACTCTTATCTGGCGAGGTATAGCTAGGTTGCTACGCTTTAACGAACAATCTGTCGCCTTTATTCCCAAAACCTACGAACAACAATCTATCGACTCAATCCCCAAAATCTACGAAGAGCAATCTGTCGACTTCATTCCCAGAACCTACGAAGAAGATATAAGGAAGAGAGGAGTGGAGCCGGCAGCTCGTTCGCTCAGACTTGTGTACCATTCCGCTCACCGCGAATGGCATGTCAAGGTTACCTTTAAAGGCACGCTTCAAGCGGTCCAGACAAGCACTTTTGCGTCAAAACCTGAACGGCGAACACAACTCGTGAACCTCTGCCTCTGTATTGACTTTGACCGCCTGGAGCTCCTAGACGACACAGTCACCGAGCTTATCATTACATACCAGCAAGGTGCGACCACTACCACTCGATCATGCCAGACGATACATTTCAAGTCAACGCCAGACATAGAATCAGAGTACGCCTCTATTGCCAACCGACTATGTGTTATCATACGAAAAGACCCATACCGTGTACGATTTCCAACGTTCGAAAATACCGTCGATCCTATTCACACAAGAGACTTGTCGCAAATAACCAAAACACAAGAGTTTAGCATGGGCGTCTGTAAGGCATGCGTGAATAGTGATGAGACTACATATGTATACAAGGAAGTGGACAGGCCCCTATATGAACCAAGAGATACTAACGTGCTGGAACAAGAGTTGCATAACTTGAAACTATTGCGTGGCATTGAAGGTGTCGCGCAACTCGTTGCTGCTGTTGTTTCCGGGAATCCGTACCAAACTATAAAAACCAGTAAAGTGGATAATCAGACTGTCTTGCGGGGGATTTTACTTGAGTATCATTCGAATGGCACGTTGGAGGATGTACTACGGTCGCAAACGAAGAAACGTCCCTGGCGTCAATGGGCTCTTCAACTCACTGATACACTCAGCAAACTTCACGCATACTGTAATGGTAATTTTGGGATTATCACGGGGCAAATATTTGAATAGATGTACACTCTAAGGTTTTACAACTTGAAGGATGAAATCACACTTCGATGAAGTCACACTTCTTTTATTACTAATTTATAGGTCCTGCATTTCTGGATTGTCTGAAAAAGGGGCCGTTGGTGGATAGGTATGGGCTGCCTGTGGTGTAACCAAACACTTCACGGAGGCACGCTTCTAGTTGTCCTCTCATATTTTCTGGGTAATCTGTGTTTTTCAAGAACAGATCAATGAATAAATGATATGCACCTCGAATTTTATTTTTGACAAATCGTCCAAACATGCAGGAATATTCGTGTCAGTCATCAATCCATTCTTTCTCCAACTACCTCCGCCCCTAGTCGTGAGGGAGGCTCTTGCAATTCTACCCTTGTCCAGTAGTGTGGTAATATAGGACCCAAGTGTCCAACATGTCACGAAGCTTAGTCGGAATAGTAATAGTCGTAATCGCAATCGTTGATGATGTCCCTACAGCTAGTGGGACCGTCATCATACCAACCGTCGCTCGCATCGAAATCCCAGTCGTCGCATTCATTGAAGTAGTCACGGGGAGGAGGGACGTAATTCCACTCATCCAAAGTCTTATTCTGATCGTCACTCCATGGAGCCACTGCCCTATCTGGGCCGTGGGGTTGGTACTCCAGTTTCTGAGACTCCGCGACACGCTTTTTAGTTTCTTCCTTGACTAAGTCCTGCCACCGAAAGGCCCGCATTTTCCAGAATCTATCCCGTAGCTCGGGGAGATACTGGACATCACCGACACAATAAGCAATAATCTCTTCGGGGATTGGGCGCTGATTGAAAACCTCACACGAACCGCCATGTTCAACCTTAAACAGTCGTTCCCCTTTTTCCTTTGCCAGCTTCCAGTTGACTAAGTCACTACCATATAAGGAAGCGTTTTTCTCAACACACTTGGCCAGACCGCTCAGGAATTTTCTGGACCTTGTATCCATCCTCGTAGCACTCTCCATAAGCTGAACATCCTCCACTCCCTGTAGCCTCACGCCGAAATGCGTAAATAAGGCGTCTGAATCGTTGCGAACGTCGAAGATGACTTTTGGGATCTTGTCGTCTTGCAGGATATCCTTCAGGGTCTTCTGTTTTACACCGGCAGTATTGAACGCATGTGTACCTAGCAAATGCACATCGAAGAGGTAGACGCGTCTAGTCGGTATTCCCGTGTCGATCATAAGAGTGAGGATGGAAAGGGAACCCTCACGGCAGAGGTCTACACCTTCGAGATCGATGTACATGGTCGGCGAGTATGGGACTGGCGGTGCATGGCGGAAGACTAGCCAGTCTACCAAGTCGCCGATTTGCTCTGTCGTGTTGATAATCTCTGTTTGGATGTCCTTCATATTGATTCTGACGGAGTCATAAAAATGTCAGCGTGCAGATGTGGTCGCGGGGTTTCAGCATTTGGCGCAGTCGTGCAGGAGAATAGCTTCGCCCTCAAGAACGTTTTCTCGTTATCATTCCGACCAGAGTGGTGGAACCGGGCAACCTGACAACGAGTGTTCTGATTGCCTACATTGTTTTGGTCAGCCGACCGATGACATAAGCTGTTGTGTTACCTTGACGGCTCAACCAGTTCCCCGCTTCAAGTTCTTGTCATCACCTCCGTCTTTGATCACCCCACCACGATGACAGTGAATTTTTTCAGCTTCACCCCGGAGATCCGGCTTAAGATCTACTCAGAGCTTCTTGTCCTTTCCGAGCCCATTATTTTCGTGGCAGACTATGGCCCTCCGTCACCGCCCCTGATTCGATCCAGTAGAGTCGGTTTGTATCCGGCGCTCCTCCGCATCAACAAGCAGGCGCATGGGGAAGCTAGTCCCCTTCTCTACTCAAACAATTGCTTTCAATTTCCTAACGTTTATAATCGGGCACTGTCCGCCACAGATAGTGCTCACATCGCCCCATTCCTTCGACAAATCGGATCTTACGCAAGCCTTGTTCGCCACATCTGCATTCCCTTCCCTACATTTGGCGATTACCGGCATGAGAGAGCTAGGCTTCACGAAGCACACATCGAAAATCTAGCACTTATCCGAAATACCTGTACACACATCGCTACTCTCGAATTATTGCTTCAACTAGATCGTATGAGCTATGCGTTCAGCGATTCGCTTTTCGCAACAAAAGCGCTAGATTTGCTCGGCACGCAATTTGAGACCATCTTGTCGCTGAAAAAGATCATTGTCAATTTACAGATATATGGCAGTGAGGATCTAAGCGATTTGACGAAGATGATGCACGATCGTACGTGGACTGTCGAGATTACAATACTCCCACCAAAGGTTTGGATCAGTAATAACGAACGGGTCGAATTTGATAACGAGGAGGATTGTGAAGCGTATAATAACGAACAGCTCGTCCTCGATATGCGGAGAGAGCGAAACCAAGAGGACGAGCGGTGGAAGGAGGAATATGACAGGAGGAGAAATGATCCTTATTGGAAGAATGATTCAGACTACGATTAAACAGACTTGTCGCTTCCACGGAGACGATGGTTTATTCTGTATATTGCAGAACACGAAGCACCGGTGAACGTTATGGATATACTCAGCATATACCTTTGTGCACGGGTAGGAGATACTTCATTGCTAATTCCTTCCATTGCGCAGTAAAAGTATATCAAAAACTAACTGTAGCATAGCAACTATTCGCAAGGCCTGCCTCATCCGACCAACAATACAATAACGATTCTATAAGCCCGCCGCAACAATCTATCCTCCATAACCTGCGCCTATACATCAGCGCCACTGGTGCAGTCATCCGCGCCAGTTCTGGCTGTGGCTCTGGCTCTGGCTCATCTGCTTCTGGTACAGCACTCTTACGCTTCCGACTACCTTTTCCCTTGCCATTTTTTACCTCTTTCGCAGCATGCGCTACTTCTGGCTCTAGCACTTGCTCACCTGTCTCTAGCGCCTTACGCTTTCGACCGCGTTTTCCCTTGCCTTTTATAATGTCTTTCACAGCACGGTCTGCTCGTGCCTTCACTATATCCCCATAGCTCATCACCCTCGCCGTCCCTACCACTGTTGACCTGGTGGATCGGCGAACTTTGACCTCGTTGCTTATTATGGTCAAGACTTGATTTTGATCCCGGAGAAGGGCATTTTTGGCGAATGGCATTTGGGCGGCGTTAGCAAGCTTCTGTACATGCCTTTGTTGGCGCTGTGTACTTGATTGATCCTGTTTGATCAGATTATGGAGCGACATAAGAGCCTCTGCTGACACTGGAGTCACAGGCGAGTTTAGCACTTCGTCTTGAAGACAAGAACCCACCTCATCAGCATGTGGAATGGTTAATTGAGCGAGGGGCTTCAGAATAGATTTGAGCACCCTGTCTGGGTTGAATGGAAACAGACCACTTGCAGCCCATGCAGCAGTGATATTTCTTTTCGTGAACGCCTTATCCCTTGCAGGGCTGTACAGGGATGTGAAATGCTCCTTGCCGATTGTATTTGTAACCCAATATAGTCGTTCAGCTTCGTCGCGATACGCCGCCTTCAAGGGGGCAAAGACTCCGACGTCACAGGGCTGGAGCTTGTGAGAGGTATGAGACGGGAGACGACATAAGATTATGTTGTTTTCGAAACAAAACTCTAACATTTCTAGGGTTTCGTGGGTCCCAAAGCCGTCGCAGATGAGCACCCGTGGTTTCCCGTTCGCCTGTTCTTTGGTTTGGGGATCGAACACACGCGTGAGCCACTCCAAGCTAATCTTGGAGTCGGTGTACCCAGATTCGGACCATGCATAGTGCCATCCAGGGGTGGGGAACGTGGTCCAGTTGCTTCGATGGGTAGTAGCTGGCCAAATAATCAATGGCAACAAGGACCTACCGTTTGCACTTATACACTCGATGGCAGTGACCATCGTTCGCTTGACGCCCGCGCCTCTATAGCCCCGCGAATCGTCCTTACGTACAAGGACTTTGACAGAGCCAAGCAGTTGGACCCCGGATCACGTGCCATAAGATCTAAACACTGGTGTGACCCTATTCTCACACAATGGTGCGACGGCACACCAGATAAATATATATGTAGAACTATAGACATAGTCTCTGAATAATCACACTTGTATCCTCAGTTCAGAGCTTCAACTAAGAATGCATAACATGACTCCCGTCTCGTCTGTATTATACACATTTTCCGACAGAATGGTCGGATCTTTTACTACATTCTCAATCACCTCAAACCAGCTTATAACCTTATTATAGATATTATTGTCGTGACGTTTCTAGTCCATCGCCCTCAGTCTCTTTGCTTTGAGTGCTGGATGACGCTTTACAAAGCCTTGAGGCCAGTTCTTGCCTGAGGCTTGATCGCCTTATCTGTCGTGGAACGTTGGCGGGCGATACTAAATGCTAGTGAACGTATTAACTTTATTCGCACATGATTTCCGAGATCAGATGTTAGTTTCAGATGCTTTTCAAGGGCTTTCTCTTCTGACGGAGTGAGGTATAGTTGACCTTCGGCCTTCGCTTCGTTCGAGGGTCGCCCATGGTCACGGTGGTAGACGGTAGTGAGAGGGACATCTTTACGCTTTGAAAAAGCATCGTATGTCTCTCCCGGCAGAAAGCCCTCAGTAAGGGCTTTACTGGCGCGGTCGTTCATTGCTTACTTACTGGTGAATATGAAGATAGTGACAGGAACACTTCAGTGGCAGATCAGCCCAGAGCGAAAGCAGGCACTTTCGCTCATGGAAAGTTCCAGAAGAAGACCTACAGTTCAGCCTCGCCAATCAGCCACACGCGGGTGTGGCTGATAAAACCTTGCCACATGATGACATAAGCGAGCTCACATCGGAAGACGTGGGGGTCAATTTACGCTAACCGAAAACCACTAGTCTCTTCGACTTCAGGTATTAATTTCCGGGCAAAAGTTTTATATACCCGGTAAGTTCATAAATAAGTTTTATATACCATGCCGATTCTTACTAAGCAGGAAACCACTCAACGTGCTCGGCGCGTTGCCTTCCCCCCTCGCGTTGCCTCCCTCGCCGTTGCTCCCCCTCGCCGTTGCTCCCCCTCGCCGTTGCTCCCCCTCGCCGTCGCCCTCCTCGCTGTCCCAGCTGACTCGTTAGCCGCTGCCCTCACTGAGGCACTCGACGACTCGGCGAGCGGTCAGGGACCACGGTGGACTGCTCCCCCTGGGAGCAGTCGTGGCGCGCGTACCAGACTTGGTAGGCAGCTGCTGCTCCACCTGTGGGGAGCCTGGGCATAACGCCCGGAGCTGCCGACGGCCTCATGAATGAGGCCGTCGAAAGGAGCGACAGCGAGGGGGCGACGGCGAGGGGGGCTACGGGGGGCTACGTGGGGGGGGGATTGGGGGGTTTTTACTAGTCGCAGGGGGTTTCATATTATGTAGGGTATATAAAACTTATCACGTCAAATGCAGGGTATATAAAACTTTTGCCCTTAATTTCCATGGCAACCACGGATGAGTTTGCCCCGCACTGCCACCACATGGCTGATGACGATGTCCCGCGTAGTTATGTGGGTTTAAGAGCTCGGGTACAACCCTTTTATATGTTTTGGGAATAATAACAGCTTAGTGGTGGAGCTATAGGGGGGAAAGTCAGTTTCGCAACAAATGTAAACCCTCTGCAAATTAGGCGCGACAGTAGCAACGCAAACATAATTTTCTTAAAGGAGCAGTCTAGGGTGCTCAGGAGTAGCTGTAGAATATAATATATACTGCAATGTAAAAGATATTGATAAGTGTGTGGGATTTGAGATGCCCGAAGTCAAAGTACCTATCATTTTTTTCGGCACATAGGGATGGACGTTATCATCTTCTCAAAAATCAACTAGGGCACAAGATTAGGCAGCTGGAACATAAAAGGGAAACCGGTTTTCCAAGCGACTGTATAGTAAGTTAAGTTATGTTTTCTAGTGCAAAGTCATGAGACTGTTTGCTTGTAAAACTTGAGCGTGAAGTGTAGAATTGGCAAGAATCGGCTCCGCTCTGTGATGACAACTAGGACCGGTACCTTTAGAGTACAAACCGGACAGGCGTGCACAGCCACACTTGTCTGGAATGGACCCTGCTAAAAATCATTAAGTAAAACACAAGCGATGCTCAATTCGCCTTCTAGTTATCTAGAACAAGTATAAGAAGTTAGTGTCATACTGACATTCGTTGCACTCAGTTTGCTATCAAACTCAAGAGCAAACTTGGAAATCTCCTCCTCAAACCTACAAGTCACTATACATATTTTGGCTTATCACACCAACAACAAGAGCAATACTACTCAACGATTGCTACAACCATCTATGATTCATTACACGTCATCGCTCCTTAGTTACTGGGCCGATATTACCACATAGCATATCTCTACAACCCTCTATGATTCATTACATGACATCACTCATACTACCACATGACATATCTCTACCAACTAGAGGCCTAGGAGCATGAACGATAGCTCTAAAAGCTCCTACGAACCTCTATGACTCATTACATGTCATCGCTCTTTAGTTACCCACCAGATTGGTTAAGTTATGACATAATTTGTCTATGACATAATTTGTCTATAGGGGTACTCTGACCTTGGACCTCCTTTTACTTCCTATAGGCTACGAACCTAAGAGATGGTTCTATGGGATTCTCTTACGTCGACTACAGTTACCAAGCCTGGTAATCATGGAAAGTCTTGGAAAATGAGAGAACTACACTCCTTTAGCATAAATAGGATTGCCCTTTCCTTAAGAAAGGGCAAGCAGACAATACAGTAAATCGACTATCACATACTTCCACGTCTTTTCCAAGCTTCCAAGCATTCATCTTGTTACTCCTTGTTTCTGAAAAGTCAGTGAGGTGTTAACCTCTGACTTACCCCTGAGTTCCCAGACTCAACATTTGTTGCAACTTGTCTGAACCACTTCACTACATCACACACCTGATTGCTGCGTTGTGGAATAGTCTAAGCTACGACCCTTTGGCTCTGTTTTCTAAGACAGTGTGTTGTCTTAGTAAATTCATCCCTTCCTTGGGTGGCTAGATTCTCACATCTGGTGCACCCACCATTACAGTTAGGTTTAATATAGGAAGCCAATTATGCTCTGTATCATTTAAGGGTGCCAATTATGGCACAAGCCACCGTATAGATTATATACACTGTGTGATAATAAATTGTAAGGATCTATAGCGCAAAATGATAATGGTTTGTGGATGCGTCGTATTTAACTGGATATCGAAAATTGCCTCTAACGGCCATGGATCGAGCACGGAAGAACTATCAGTTTCTGAATGGAGGAGTAGGTTTAATTGGTCTGGGGCACCATCACCACCAGAGAGAAGGAGTCTAAGCACCAGATGCTATGATTTAGCAACTCCGGGGAGAGAGATTATTATGGAACCAAGCGCTAACTCACGACTTTACACTCTAGAGATAATTGATCAAATAATTAACTAGGCCTCCATTTAAGCCCTTAGTTTGAGAAATATAACATTTCAGCTAGTGCTGCCCAAAGGAACACGTGAGACCACATAGAGACTTGCCTAACCCCTGACCCAACAACAACGCTGCTGTGAGGCCCTGAAGTGCTCGACCCCAACTGACTCGGTTTAGCCGTTGCGGTCCCGCAAAGGCCTGTAGTCATGCACTTGTTAGTGGAAGTATTGTTTATCAGTAGTGTCCGACTACTCCCAAATAGTAGCGGGGTATTGAAAGAGGTGCTAGAGGGCTGGGATGATAGTAAGCTTGAATGAGAGACTGTATTTGCGCTTGAAGATCCAGTTTGTAAACCTCCAACGGACATAGTTGAGTTTGAAGGAATGATAGTGATAGCTGCGTGATGGCTCGTCATTGGTATGGAATTTGAGCTAGCGTGGCTATTATCATGAATTTCTATCGTCGCTTCTGCTTGTAATCCAATACAGCTATGAGTAGTAACAGATTGAGTGAAGCCGGAAGTGAACATGTTGATGGACATAATTGCGCTTGCCAATCACCTCACGACAATCGCTCCCCATCTTATAAAAACTATAACTAGTGTACAACGAAAGCCAATATTTGCTCATGCACAGTCTGAAATTGGCTTATTGCAAATATAAAAGACCATTTGCCTTCCCTCTTAGACCCAAATATATCTGGTCTATGCTTGGATCATATGCAAATTAAACATGGATTCACTCGTCTCCGATTATACTAAGAAGATAGAGCTAGAGGGTAAAAGTTCTAGAACTTCCAAGGCAGAGCTTGAAAGTCTAGAAATGAAAATATTGGAAACCTCTACAATCGTGTATAATAGCAAGAAAGAGAACGAACCACTCGAACTAAAAGGTACCACGCTAGAACAATTTCGCTTAGGTGTAGAAGCCGGGGTCAGGGCAGAAATTGCCCAAAAAAATGCAGCTATAGAGGAAGCTGCTGAAGCAAAAAAAGTAAAAGCAAAGGCTGCTAGGGAAGAAAAAGCAGCTGAAAAAGCTGAAAAGGAAGCTAGGGAAAAGGAAGCAGCTGAAGCTAAAGAAAAGGCAGCTAAAGAAGCAGAAGAAGCTACAAAGGCAAAGGCAGCTGAAGCTAAAGCAAAGGCAGCTAAGGAAGCAGAAGAAGCTACAAAGGCCGCAGAAGAGAAGGCAGCAAAAAAGGCCAAAGAAGAGGCTGAAAAAAAGCCCAAGGAAGAAGAGGAAGAAGAGGAAGAAGAAAAGGAAGAGCCGCCTTCTGATGACGACAATGACGACATAGTTAATAGACTTCGACATGGGGAGACTATTAGCAAACTAAAGGAGGATATTTCTATATCAGTAGAAGTTCTCTTGTCAAAACATGAGCATGTTGTTGGCCACAAGAAAGGGTTTGGAACACCAGTTATTGTTCTTAATAAAGAATTTCCCCAAGCAAGAATTTGCAGAATCAGGAAGGACATTGGACATGACAAGAGTAGTCCCAACATTATGCTACGGAGACGTGGGGGCGAGCTAAAACCTAACTCTGAGGAGAAATGGGCGGTTGACGACCTTGATGCTGTTAAACTGATAGCAATAGATGTCCCAGATGATTATAAATCATCTCCGGTAAATCGAGTCAAGCTAATTCCTAAGATGACGGGTACAGAAAAAGATGAATTCAAGGCACTTAATATGAAAATTCTGACACAACCAGATGTACAACTCTACTGCGAATGGAAGGAGCCGTTAATATTAGACAACGGTAACTTAGTTTTCTCAAGTTGGGAAAGTAGGGCAACGTGTCGTCTTATTTGGAAGAAGAATGCGGATAATTACTTGCTTTATGTGGCCAGATTGATCGAAGGTTGGTATCAAAAGGTTTCTGGTGGGCAGTATAAAGATGAACCAATGCCGACTATTGAGATATTTCGGGCAGGAAGTTCAATGACGCCGGGATCGGACGCGACACCTACACCTAAGAATACAGCTGGGCGCGAAAAAACACCTGGGTCGCAAAAGCGTTCTAGCAAAAAAACGGAGAAATCGCGACGGTCGAAATCGCCTTCAATACGCCTGGGGAGGAAGTCTCGGCAGGGTACACGACATAGGTCTTCGCAACTTCAGAGCACAGAAGGAGAAGACGATGATTCAGACAAGGATTCAGACAAGGATTCAGACAAGGATTCAGATGATTCAGACAAGGATTCAGATGATTCGGACGAGGATTCAGACGAAGCAGAGCTGGGACGTCGAGAAGAACTATTTCTGAAAATCGAGGGGAAATACCGGACTAAAAATAAGATAGCGCCAAAGGCTAAACTAACGGCTACACAATACGACGCTGTAGAGGCCAAATATAAAAGAGCTCTCAATACAATTTAATGGGAAGGTTTTGTTTTTGCTTTCATGTTTTTCAGAGTTTCAAGGACCTTAGGTTTATTCTTTCCTTTTTGTTTTAGTCTAATCATCTACACTCTTTCAATCTCCTAGGCTAACTCTGGCTTCCATTAATTCGCTGGAATATGTCATCAACGCCTTTAAATTGGTTACTTCATTAATTTTTGTTAGTTTAAGTTGTTGAAGCCTCTGACAAGTTTTGGTCATAACTACTAATACGAGCCCTGCTATCGCCCTTGCTGCCCTATTAGAATACCGAAGTTTGTAGCTTAGATAGTGTTTAATTAGTCCTCTAGCCTATTAATATCAAAATTTGCTTCTAAAATCCATGCAACTCCTAAGCTCTGCTACAAAGAAGACCTTGACATATAAGTTTAGCGGCTTGTTCTGGCTCTACCAGCCGGCATCCTGCATTGTAAGCCACGCGCACTTTTTGGCTCCTCTATCCTAATTTAATGTATAACTAAATGCAAATCGTAGGTGTGGCTTGCTACCAATCAGCAATAGGCAGCGCTCTCGGCTTATTAACACTGGCATACTATAAGAGTACAAGTACGACGCCTAGTATCTTTGCTATCAAACCTACATCTTCCCAATCATGCACATCACTTTAGCATAAGCCATCGCCTTGGGAGGCTTCCTCCTCATCCCAGTTCTTATGAATCTGCTTCCTATTCTCCCAGTTGTTATACCACCTAGATGGCGCTCTGTGCATAAGGGGATTAGGTACCTAACATATCCTTACTATATCTACCGGCATCGATTTATAGGCCCGTGGACAAGAGCAGACATTATTATCCACCTTGTATACATAGTTGCCAACTCCTTCTGCCTTGTGTTCCAACCTCCCGTTCCGACCATTATGCAGGCTGGTCTACGAGCTGGTAGCCTCTCACTAATAAACTTGATTCCCTTATTTCTAGGCCCACATATAAGTTTTCTTGCTGATATCTTTGGTGTCTCATTGACTGCCTTTCGCGCATTACATCGCTCCGCTGGGCTAATGTCATGCGCAATGGTGATTTTCCATGCAGTTTTCATGGTTCTGTCACCTAGGAGGTTCATATTACGCGGTGTGAAGAGAATTTCTGCAGTAGTTGTAAGTCTGCCTTGATGCTTAAGTGCCGTGTTGCTTACTGTATGTAATAGGGCGGGTCCTCTCTTGTCTTGATTACTTTACTGTCTTGGTATCCTCTCCGCAGGCGGTGTTACGAGATCTTTCTCTGGTTGCACCATACACTAGCAGCTGTACTTGTTGTCTCTGCTCTGCTGCATGTCCCGTCAGAATTGGTTCTATACATCTACATCAGCCTAGGGATCTATGCGACAACCCTAACAGCTGAAGCGCTGCTTTTAGTACGCCGCAATGGAGTATTCATAGGAATATTCACGAATACTAGGTGGGGAAAATTGCCTAGAGTTGGAGAGATATTCAAATATCCAGTTGGCGAAAATTCAGATGGCTACAAAAATCCGGTCCAGTTTATAATACACTGCCCGAAGCCATTGCAAATAGATGCGGGACAATACATTAATATCTGGGTTGGCTCTCTTGGAATTATGCAGACCCATCCATTTGTAGTAGCCTCCTGGACAGGTAACCAGCAGACAAAGTTAATGCTCATCATTGAACCTCGCCGTGGTTGGACTAAACGGCTCCAGTCGAAGGCAATGGATGTGAGCGGGCAGACTATGGGACTAGGAAGGGTCCTATTCACTGGGCCACATGGTGCTTCCATACCAGTGGGAGATTACGAGTACCTCTTCATGGTCGCAAGTGGTTATGGCATTGTAGCACAGTTGCCACTTTTAGAGCGACTGGTACACGGTGTACTTGCCCGCGAAGCTCGAGCCCTTCGAATTCGCCTCGTTTGGGAATTTGAAGACACAGGTGAGTCTGACTTACAAATTGGTTACTTGTCTAACTCTATATAATAGATCTCTACGACGCAGTGGTTCCCATACTTAACTGGGTCTTGTATGAGGCTCAGAAACTAGGCAAGAACTGCGTATGTTTAAAAGTATGCCTATACGTATTGTCTTACTAAGTCTGCTAGGCACTTACAATTTCACTCTACTCAACGCAATTGGTCCTCCTTAATAAACTCAGCCAAAGAGCAATGGTATATGACACGCATATCCCACTTGAAGGAGCATTCGACGCTGAAATAGCGCCGATGGACGCTAGAAAAATGGGAGAAAATGAAGCCGCACAAAGAGCAGCAGAGGAAAGAGCTCAGGAAATAGGAAGGGGACGAGAAGAAATTATGGAAGAAATTATGAAGAAGAGAGTAGGGAAGGTTGGAAGATGGCAAGGCAACATCACGAATGAGGCTCAAGATGTTCAACAACCAGACGAGAAAATTGACGAGTTAGAAACCTTACCCCTGTGTACGAAATCACCTAGAATGCTTATTACAGGTAAGTCTGCAATGCCATAAGGCAGCTTTTTGCTTACAGCATATAGTATCTGCGTCGACAAAGATTCGCGATGAGCTGAGATTGATTCTACATAGTTCTCTTAGCAAAGACATTACTCTAACGGAGCTAGATTATCAGCCATCAGATAAGAACTAGAGTCTCTGCAAAATTGTGATCTATATTAGAGTAGGGCTATTTTTGAAGCCGTAAATTCTACAATGAGGAGCCAAAACGGGCTGCGGGCATTAGTTAGTAATAATTACCATAAGACAACTTCAGACTTCCCATTATTTTTAGACTTCTCATTATAATCCCATAATTCCACTACCGCTAAAAACCAAAAGAAACATGGTATTGGAAGTTGACCTCGGCTCCGTAGCAGATTATGTGGCGCATGTAGAGCTGCGTCCATTAATAGATGCATTTCGCCAGAGAAAGAGAATTGTAATCATTGTGGGAGCTGGAATCTCAGCATCCGCAGGAAGTAGGTAGCCCCTCCCTTCTATCTAGAGTCATTAATCAATGTAGTCGCTACATTCCAAGATTTGCCAGTGAAAGGCAGAGACGTGTTTAGCATGAACTCATATAATGACGATGCTTCTACAACGCTTCTTAACGAGACAATGTGCAGAATGTACAGCAGTATAAGATCTGCAAGCCCAACTCAGTTTCACCACGTTATTGAAGAGCTTGCTAAAGAAGGCCGCTTGCATCGTTTGTACACTCAAAATATTGACGGATTAGACACGCAGCTACCGTCCCTCGGAACTAAAATACCACTGCCAGAAACGAAGCCATGGCCGACAACGATTCAGCTACATGGAGACCTAAGGACTGTTAAATGTCAAGGGAATCCAACACATCTAGGTTCGTTTAACCCAGAACTTTTCAAGAAGGGAGCTCTGCCATGTTGCGCTATATGCAAAAACAATGAAGGAGAAAGAACCAGGCATATTCCTCTCATGAGACCTAGAGTTTGGCTCTATGATGACTATAACTATGCAGATACGACAGCTATTGCCATGGTTAGTGCCTCAGATCTCAGGTCAAAACCCGATGCGGTGATTGTTGTAGGAACTGCACTTAAAGTCGAGTCAAGAAGAAATTTTGCAATAGATATGTGCGCAGCAGTTCGAAAATGCGGTGGTTTAAGTGCCTGGATTAACCTTGAGCCTCCTTCACAACCACTTAAATGCTTCGACATAGTCGTAAAAGGCGACTCTGACACCATAGCAATGCATGTGTCTAGCTGGTGGTTGAAGGATTGTCCTAATATTATAAACAACGCAAACATAAAGTACCTACAAGATAAGTACAAGCTGTTCATTGCAAGGTCAACAGAGGAAGCTCGTAGGCTTTTGGAGCAGGACCAGAAGAGGGATCCGACAGCACTTGGCACGACGCAGAACATACTTCTTGATTCTGGGGAGGCAGCAAAATTGATTACCTTTAAAGCCATCAATCACAATGCTAAGAAGGCAACTCCAGTGTTGCCTCATAAGACCCTACGTACACAAGCACCCTCATCTATAGTCCCGCCTAAAACTTCGTCTGCATCCTCTATAATCCCACCATTATGGCAGTCTACTTCGTCCATAGTCCCTCATTTGTTATCATCTGCATCTCAGAGCCAAGCCGCACAAGCGTCAGCATCTAAGGTCTCACATAAACCAGTTTCTGCACCCATCGCTTCACTTGCACAAGCATCTGCATCTAACGTCTCACTTATCTCCGCATCCCAGGCCTCACAATTACCGACGTCTGTCTTATCAAGTGCGCTGTACCCTTTTACGACGACTCCGGCCCATAGTGGTCTAGAAATCGTACCAAAAATTACACCTGGTTGGGAGTTAGAAACCTCAAAGAGGCTAGATAGTGTTATTGTCCGGGGAATCAAAGTTAAGAACCACCGAAGTTCGTCAGTCCTTACAACAATTACGAACTTAGGTTATGAGGTTAATATAGCTTCGTCACTTTGGCGTCTTAAACATGGAGAATACCTTGATGATGAGGTTATCAATGCGTATATTGAACTTCTTCAGAGGTCTAATCTCCCTCACGGTCAAGGTATCCAAACCACCTTTATCTTAAGAATGGTGTTAGAAAGGCCATGGAAACCTTTTATAAAGCTGACGGACACAGGAAAGTATTCTATATTTATTCCTATTAATCATGCTTTCCATTGGACTTTTGCTGTTATTAAATCGCAGGAGAAGGGCGCCATTGTGCAGTGGGGATACTTCAATAGCCTTGGCGGGGAACCACCCCAAGTATTTTTAGACTGGATTGGTAATTGGTTTCCCAAAAAGCAAAGGGTTCCAGCATTACCAAATCCCAAGCAAAACAACGAAGTTGATTGCAGTTTGTTTGTCCTCCTCGGTATTCGCCTTATGGCTTCAGGGAAGCCACATCTGTCTAACCAGCAGGCCATAGCGATCATACCCGAATTTAGGAAGAGAGTCCTAGCAGAGCTCTTAGCTTTATGTCTCGATCCGTCTAGCGCCCAACTTGAAGAGTTCAAACAAAGAGAGGCGCTCGTTGACAGGCGCTCGTTGACAGCCCTCTCTCTCAAGAAAAAACCTCTTAAAGGCAAGAAGAATATGTCAGCAAGTTTATTTGTGTCCCTATCTCCTCCCATCCTTATAGAATCAGACACTTCAGATGATCTTAACGAATCCGAACATGAGGTGGATCTTCAGGTTTAGCCACTCTCAACTTCCAGGGAGAGCCCAGCTCAGCCAGCTGATTTGTTTGGAGAAGAGGTATGCATAGTCAAGACACTAAGAGAGGCTGTCATCACTCAACGAGCTTTACAAAAATGCCAGGATAATTTAGAAATTAAGAGCATCAAGCTTCATCATTTGTGGACTATGATTAGCGCAGAGAAGCGGGCTCTAAGACAACATCATATACACTACGAGTTTTCTCGTCAGTTCTGGGCTGAGATGGAAAAAATGAACAGGACTCCACATCAACGCGGCCCAGTGCCTAAGACAACAATCTCTCGGGTGATGAAGGAGCTTGCAATTACTGATATGAATAACTGGAAATTCGTCTTGCAACGTGCACGGAGAGCATCAATCTGGACCGAATTAGCTGATATATTCAAGGACTATCTAGACCATCCTAGTGTTGCACTATGCGCCGTTTCAAACTCTACGTACAGTCTAGAGACGTTAACTATAGCCAATCGGAAGACCTTCTTCGAGACAATCCGTGCGAGGGTAAGAAAGCCAGGAAATGAAGTTTTAACAAGGTTGAAAGCTGCAAGCCCTCTGTTTATGGCGCTAATAAACGGCCGCTTACCTGTAGACGTTCTTCCCATTGAGTCTAATAATCACCTGCTATTTGAAGAAACGGTTAGGCTGAGTAATTAAGACATTCTTTCGTAATTGAAGCATGGATATAGATAATTAAACAGCGACATAAACTTTCTCACACTCTTTCTTGGGTATAGCAATTACCAGTATTTCTTGCGTCGCGATATGTAATTTAAGCTCTACCTTAAATTTGAGCTATGAATTCCAATTTTATACATAAAGATGAAACTTATCATAGCTGTTTGCTACTGTTGGTGGGTTTGGGGTTTGGGATGTGTCTTAACAAATATGAAGGGATACCACATGTCGCATACGTCGTTACCCTCCAAATTTCATAAACTTAGGGTTATGATATTTTTTACGTTGAAAACCTCCTGTGGTACTGTAGAAAGATCGAACGTGGCTATAATCATGTCTAGATGCTCGTTGCCATGGATACGACGCCGCTTACTCTTTCTTGCTGCATAGCAGATAAAACCCTCATGGCACTTTCATTGAGCCCTTGCAGCAAAATATGGAGTACAGTACTGTAGTTTAGTAGCGTGTGCAATAAAATATTTGCTAAAATGCACATAGTATTTATTGGCTTATAGCTATATAAGGGGCTGTAAATTTCTGCATTTTAGATACATTATTGAAAGCTCTACAAATGGAGCATCTTAATGCCAGTGCGAGCTCGACTTAAGCCATTTGTTGCTGTTTCATTAGCATATAGTAGTAAAAGTATATAATATCTAGCTGATTAGCTCAAACATAACTTTACCTTCAAGTCGAGATGTTCCTCAGAGAACTAGCTGTCTTCGCTTTCTTGAGCTCTGTACTTGGTCACCATCTAGCCACATCTTATAAACACCGTCACGATGATAGGAGTGTTAATCCAGGATGCACTTGTAAAGATTCTTCTACTAGGCAAGCTTTTCTCTTATTATGGTGAAACTTTCTAACATGTCTAAGTTCTTATGTAGCTCCTAGTTCTAGTGCAGCTGGTATTGAATCTACTACTTCGGCCCCTACTCCAACCCCTACTACTACAGTAAACGACGCTACTGAATTCACGTCGTCAGCTTCTACTACAGTTGGTAGTTCCTCGTCACCTACTAGGACCACGGGTACAACCATATCTAGCACAAGCACTTACTCTTCTCAATGCTCTTCAACTCCCATTAATGGCTGCGCGAATAGCAAAAATATTATCGCTCAGTTTTCCTTACCCCTAAGTAATTGTTTTTTTAAGTGTGATCTAAATACAGGGTGCATTAGCTATGTAGTTAATACAGACACAAACGGAAAATGGAGGTGTGATCTCCTAGACAGCGATGGCTTAGTGGCTTGGGATCAGGACCTCACTAAATCTAATCCAGATTTGTGTCGACGCTATAAAATTTATCATTCTAAATGTCCTGATTTCAATACTTCCCCTTAACCGTAGTCTCTGCTTCGTTAATTTTTCTCTATTAAGCTAGAAAACAAAGTCGATCTACAATAAGTTAGTAGTAGTTAATTTATGCAGTTATTATTCTTACCTTTAAAGTTAACGTCCCTTCTACGTTGAGGAAGTAGGAAAAAATGAGGCCCTCTGCAATCAGGTGCGACAGCGACGACGTGATCGTAAATTTCAGAGTAACCGGGGTTTGGTCTGTTCAGGAGTGGTCACACAACACGACTGACACAAAAATACTGGAATTTTCAATGGACTCACAAATTTAGAATCGATTGAATTCAAAGTACCAATAGTTTGTCCCGTCACGGGGTGTCCCGTGATGCAGGGATGCACGTTAGTCTACACGTATAATAGGCGTCCTAATTCTATGAAACTTGGTTTGTAAACAAAGTCTCCACAAAGCTGTTAAATTGATTAAGTAACTTATAACGAACATTTTGATACCTTCGTTTAAGAATACACGTATTTGGGTGGATGATGCTACGCGGATGAGGAGCTTGGGTGATTAGATTAGCACTAAGTTATCTTAAGGGAATAAGTACATTAAGTGGCTCTTCGTGTCTCATACATAATGTGGCCGATTGGTAAGTTAGACTGGTAGTTTGATGTGTGGGGATAAACTTTATTGGAGATAGATAATTCTATACCTGAAAACTAGTTGAACGAAAGCATTATATTAGAGATTACATCGACAACAACTCATTTAGCTACAGATTCCGCTAGAGTGAAAGCCATCACAAAAACTGGGTTTTTTCAAAGGCATCACCTGTGGCGGTGGACGCTCCAACAGTTGAGATGGAGAAAAAAACTTGCCTCCCTGCTCTTCTCCTGAAAGCTCTATTATTGCAGGGCATGCCGGCAATATGGGAAGCTCTACTGGCCTAGCTACCTGTTCCTGAGGTGGATTTTCCGCACGACCCATACAATGCTGTCCATGTTGACATATGTAGGTGTGGTAATGATGTATTTCGTGTATAGTGACTGTCGATACGGGAAGAGGTTCAGTCCTTCTTTCCATTTTGAAACACTCCCGGCATAGGCCCGGTGCTGGGCGAGGCTCGCTAGGGGGGTGTCTTACATGATATGACGGGGATCTTGGCCCACCACAGGCTAGACATCTGTACCTTGGTGGCTTTGAGATTCTCATGTTCAATGTAAACTCTCGACCTTTTGGTTTTCCTGCCATTGGTGATGCCCGTTGCTTGGTAAATACCCCATAAGTAAATGCGCAGTTCTTATTAAATGTGCAGTGGTGGCGCTCTTTTTGACGATAGCCAAAAACAACTCTCAACGAAGCCAAAATTCCTGTATCCCTCTTCACCTTGGCACCTGGGCAGTTCACAGGCCCACCACATATGCAGGGCGCCACTCATAGACAGACGATCTTTTCGTGACTGATTCCACAGATATGGGAAGGCAACCACCATCACATGGACCAATATGGTGCCGCATTTAACAGCCACGAAATATGTCGACGCGACCAGATTCAACGAGTCGCATATTGCAAAGTCGAATTTTATGGGAGCTTCATCGGTGAATTTAGGCAGCAGAGTTGGCTCTATGTATAAAGTAATGCCTCCCTTTGCATCTCGATGATTATTTATCCCAAGCCTTGCGTGAAAATCAGGTTCAAGAAGTCTCCAACTAACTTGGCCTATTGTACGTGTCCCTTCTATTTAACATACGTTCTACATGCTGACCTTGCCAAGATTTCAACCTGAACGTCCATACCTTCACCCCATCAGTCCCATCGCCACATCCCTTAACTCGGAAGAATGTGCGACAAGGAAGTGTCAAGTTATATCTACAAATGCGGGTGTCCGATCAAAAAATTCATTCGAACGAAAAGATGCACAGCCGCTCAGGAACGTGGTTCGGACTGCACAGGCAACGATCTGAAGGAGAGGGAAATCGGCTCATCAAAAAGGAGGGACGATTGCCCAACGCACAACGATGAGGGATATTCGCGCTAGACCCATCGAAGAGACAGGGACAATACAAATCAGTGACTGAGCTGGGCTGAAGCCTCGCCAGTCGTATCTGTTTGAAAAATAATTAGAGAAGTTCCATAGTATAAAGTTGACTTTACTTAAAGACGCCTACCTTTTAACTTCTGTACTTCAGCCTTGATTGATAGCCATATCTCCTTGGCTGAATGAACCTCGCTGTGCCAACATCTCTTGATCACTTCTCCGCAGGGTATCATGTCCACTGGTGGGAATGTCCCTTCCCCAAATAAGGCCTCTACCTCCTCATCTGTACAATGCGCATATGGTTGCGTGCCGGTCATAATCTCGTAGATAGTTGACCCCAAGGCGAACACGTCTGTCACTATCGATGAGGGTGCCTCCCAAGGACGTGGAAGGCAGAATCTGGCGCTCTCAACCGCCGAGAAATACGACCCGTCAATGGACGAGCCCGAAAAGTCTATAATCCGCAACCGGAGTCTGGAATCTAATAGAAAATTCTCAGGCTTCACGTCGCAGTGAATAATATTGTGGGAATGTACAAGGTGTAATGCTTCAGCAGCATCACAAGCCCATTGAAGTCGCTGGTCGAGGCTCACGTCCGCAGCTTTTGTCTGTAAATATTCCCTTAGGTTGCCGTTTGGCATGTATTCGAGAATGAGCCCGTGTTCCATGGAGTAGCCCACCATTTCCAGGAGAAGGTCATGCCGCGGAAGCCTCTGATAGATTTTGTACTCGTGCTCGATATCTCGAAGACTCTGCTTTCTTGTTGAATCTGGGTAGGCTGTCTTTCTCACATACCCAGAAGGTAGGAGATATATCAAGCCTGTACTCCCTCCTGAGATAACGCCTCTGCGAGAATCAGCTCGCTCGCTGTCGTATGTGTCTAACTATCTTATACTTCAGCAAGTTATTTCGCCAGAATACCGGTCGCTTCTTACCTGCAAAATTCCGAAATCAGGAATATCCCGACCAGCCCCAGTTATTTCCGTTAGATTGCTTGAAGTTTCAGCTCCGATGATACTGTCGGAAGTCAGCAGTTGCAAATGTGCTTTCTAGGAAACAAGGAGCTTCGGGTTAAGCTCCAGTTTAACCCATACCATATTGGAGTTTGGGGTTCATGCGTCTGCTCTTTGGGTCTTTCATGGTCCACCTCTTCAATAGTGGAAGAGGTTCTTTGGCCACTCTCCACATCCTGCTCTATCGAAGCCTTGTCACTGTAGCTCATGTATAACCATGATATCGTACTGGTAATCCGAGCCAAAACGGTCACAGGAATTCGCCACGACATTATCCATCGCCACCAACTAAACATTCTGCGAGTGAGGGTCGCGTTGTGAGGATTGCAAGACTGTAGCAGGGATCGTTGGGTTACTTTTTGCATTCAGAGGGCTTGTCCGTAAATTCGCAAGAGAGCGGCTGAGCAATACAGTAAATAAGGGTAGAAATCCCCTGAGACAGCCCCATGGGGGAGGAGTATGTTACTCAACGCAACCTTTGTGGAGTGGATAATGGTTGGGAGATGGACGAGGGTGTCGAGTCAGTGCACTTGGGAAACGCCACCTTTTTCACGTGATGAACCAATGGACACACCTTTTGTGGACAAAAATGTGACAGGTTTAGACCTTTGATTAATATCACGTGACAAACCACTACTTCGCAGCATGATCCAGAAAAGTTGAAATGCAGCGACGGACACAGTGCAACAGACACTCAAGAGACATAAGTTACGAGATAGTTAGAGCATTCGTGTTCTCAACAAATGGTTCGAAGCTAGCGTCGACTTTAATTAGCTAAACTAACAAAGTTCCCAGAGTTACGAGCATCATAGTAACGCCATAACATCTAGAATTTACGAAGAACAAGGGAATTCACGGAAGATAAAACCCATACAATTAACAAATAATTCTATTCATCATCAGATTCAGAGTCTCTGTTCTTTAACTCGTTGCAATAGTGCACTTGAAGCGATCTGATGCTCCTGTCCGGAAAGGCACGGATAAAAGCCCGATGTATCTTTTTCCACGGCAAGCCCTTTCTCATCTGTATCGTTTTCCACTCCTTGGCTGCTACAACGCGGCTGCACTGCTGTATGCTCTAGGTCTGTGAACCTCGAACTACTTCCCAGCTAGGACTCTTTTGGGGGGAGCTCCTCCACTTCCCCAGATACTGGTAGGTGTTTGAGTTTTGTCGAATAGCGCACAGGGATCTGCACAAAGGATCGGCGATGGGATCAGCGTGCTGCAGGGACGGCGTTTAATCCATTCTATTCCGCTCATTCGCTCACTCGCGCAGAAGTACCAGGGAAATAATGAAGCATAACTATCATCGTAATTTTGCTACTGCGAACCCCCGGCAAAAGTAACCCCCATTCGTGCTTTATGCTTCTCTTCGTCGATAGTTACCATGTCTCAGCCTCCTGTATAGTTCATTTTTGTCATCTCCATTATTCCTAGTGTATTACTTTCAACCTAGATGTTTGAAGGTAATATGAATCTGTATTGTGCCGTTATCCCTCAAACATCCGCCCTATATGTAAGTTGCTACAAACGAGGCCACTATCTCAATTTCTCATCTGATTCTCAAGTTCAATCACACTCTACATGCAACAACTTCTGCGTAATAACCGTTCTTCTTGACTCCTCTCATCGATCAATTTATCTATTTCACCCCCCACACTCCGCAAGACACTACAACCTCCCTAAGCCAAGTACCACAGCCCTGGCTACGCAAAGATCTCTAAAATGAAAGTTTAACGCCGTCTTGCTACGCAACAAGCAATTGGCATGCCTGTAAGCATATATTACTTCGCATCCAAAATGCCCATACTTGACGAATCCCAGGAAATCCACAAGGAGGTCACTAACACCGTACTATAGGACGTTCACATTCGCAACAATCAAAGGCGATCCCGAGCAAATAGGAAGGCATATGTCGAAAATTTGGAACGGAGAGTCCGGAAATACGAATTGGAGGGCGTCGAGATCAACCCTCAGATACGGGACGCAGCGTCGAATGTTCTCAAAGAGAACCAGCGTTTGTCTCAGAGATTATATCGACACGAGATGCTGAACGAGACACTGAACGAGACGCTGAACGAGACGCTGAACGAGACACTGAACGAGATGTTGAGGAAGGAGGGTGAGCTGGCGTTTGAAGATCGCATGATCTACGACGAAGAAGCTCCGCAGCAAGAGTACAGCATCAACAATTTCCCTGCTGAGCTGCCGACACTATGTAACGAGGAAGCTTTACAGCAAGACTACAATTTCCCTACTGAGCTACAGACACTATATGACGAGGGAACTTTGCAACAAGACTACAGCATCAACAATTTCCCTTCTCAGCTGCAGACAATAAGGGACGACTACAACATCAACAATCTCCCTGCTGAGCTGCAGACACTATGTAACGAGGGAGCTTTGCAGCAAGACTACAGCATCAACAATTTCCCTTCTCAGCTGCATACAATATGGGACGGCTACAGCATCAACAATCTCGCTGCAGACACTATGTGACGAGGAAACTTTGCGGAAAACGACTGCTGCCAGCCTTTTCTCAGCCAAATCCGAATTTGGAAACGGGCAAATTAATAGGATTAGTGTTGACAGCCAAAACGATGATCCCGCATTCATAGAGAAAATTATGAAGAGAAGAGACGAATGGATGACATATGTGGGAGCGACAATGGGAAGGAATGGTGGTTGGTGATAATTAGAGTCAGCTCGAGTAATTAACAATGCAGTTGAGGAGGGAGAGGGAAGGAATATGTTGATGCGGAGGAGGCGAGGACTACCGCTCCAGTCCTTGCCTCCTCCGCATCAACATATTCCGAGCGAGGACGAGGAGATGGATAGTGATCATGGCAGTAAGTCGAGGTGCGAGAACGGGACATTGGAGGTGGAGGTTAATGAGCGAGGGGGATAGTGAGGACTGTAAGTCTAACTTATAAGTTGAGAGTGGATCTTTGATAGAGGATATATAAATAGTTTCTATGCTAAAGTAATGTACACATCCGGCAGTACTAGGTTTATTACCAATGCTAAATAATAATAAATTTATTTATTGGTCAGAGGGCGATTCATTCATTGTCGTAGCAACCGGTATCATTGCTGCATAATTCTCCTTCAACTGTTGCGATAGAATAATCAAGATCCAGAGCAGTTCCTTCGATAAACATTGGGGGTTTGGATGCTGGAGGAGGGAGTTAGATTGCCAAATAGACTAATCTAACATGTGCTACAGAACATAATGCGTGCGATATCCATTTGGCAGGAGAAGTGCAAAATTGCTTCGAACCTACATTTACGTCAAAAGCCGTTTGACCAGGACCAATTCATTGCCCGGATCGAAAAGATCTCGGATATTGCAGATGATGAAAGTCAGCCCGAGCTATAAACAGAAGCAGTTGGGAGGGGGGGATATCTTACTCATAATGGAATAATCTATGCATTTTGGCAACAGTAAGGGTTTAGCAAAATATATATGCAATTTTCTATCTTGTTACGAACCTTGTTCTCATACCATTGTACAACAAGCTGCCCGCTCTAAGAGGTCAAAACAGTCGTGTGTCAAATCTTGCCACGGGATTCACACACACAACTACGTTCCCTACTACTCCCTTGAAGTTGCATTCGCATCCAAGGAAGGCACATCTTAGTAGCACATCCTTCGTTATCGTGACGAACAGTGGACAGTTCTAATTGTACATAATAGCGGGTCGCTATTTGAGACACCCATACCCACGCTAGCAAATCATTGCATTGTGTCAAAAGGGGGTCATGGTGGGGATCAGTAACCTGGGTGATAGGGACAGGGGTGATGGGGACACGGGTGATGGGGACAGTCGCTGTTGAGGGTGAGGCTGACGAAGGGAATATACACCATGTTGGGTCTGTCATTGGCACAAGGCTGGAATTCTGCATAAAATGGACGGTGAGTGAAAAAAAGTCGATCAACAAGGGCAAGGGGAGCTACAGGTAAAGGTATTATTGGGGTGGAGCTCGGAATTGGGTTAAAACAAGGCACCAGAAATAGCGCGCAAAACGCCGCCAACACACAGCTCAACGCGGCTGGAAAGGGGCTATTGCCTGGTAAATAAAAGGGCGTTAGATAGGGCGGCAACACTAGTAGCAGTGGTCCCATTCGTCAGTGTGAATCGCCCATGAATAAAGGCAACTCGTACGCTGCAGAAAATTCGATCCGCTTTGCTTGTCGAGTCTCCAACTTTGAGGCCCCAAACTGCACCTGCCCACCCGTTTCAGATAAACATATCCTCTTGATAAACATTTCACCAGCCATTCTTAGGTTGTTCGTTGGCATCATTCGCACTTCTGGCCAGACGAAACCACTAGAGTAAGTCTTTATCTATATCTGAGATTATCGAGGATCAATTAAGGCGCAGTCATTCTCTTTGGAAAAACTTAAAACACCATCCCTCTCTGTATCGACAAACAGCTATCATGTAACACCGGCTAACTATATATTTCAGCGGAGTCATTAATCACAGGCCTACTCCTCCCAGCATGACGTCCCACCGACGCAGGCCCTGGTCCCAAGCCGAAGACGCCTACCTCACCCAACTCGTGCAAACCCAAGGACCCCTCAACTGGGTCCGCATCGCCTCCCTCATCAGCTCCCGCTCCACCAAACAGTGCCGCGAGCGCTACCACCACAACCTCAAGCCCACCCTGAACCACGAGCCGATCAGCCCCGAGGAGGGCCTCCTCATCGAGCGCCTCGTATCCGAGATCGGGAAGCGGTGGGCGGAGATCGCGAGGCGGCTGCATGGCCGCAGCGATAACGGCGTCAAGAACTGGTGGAATGGGAGTATGAACCGCAGGCGCCGCTCGGTGGTGAGGAGGAGGACGTCGTCGCGCGCGCAGGAGGATTATGAGGAGGCGCAGGAGATGGAGTCGTACTCGCGCCACTCGGGACATCATCACCAGCCTCTCACTATCACTTCGCCTTACTCCTCGGGACGGAGGCACATCGATCAGTCTCTTCCTTTTCCAGTGGTATCTGAAGCCTCACGTGCGTAGTTGAGGGCGCTTTTCTTTGATATGTTTCGATAACGAGTCGAGGTCTTCATCGGAGTATCCTCCACTAGTTCGGTTAGTTTGAAGCATGCAGGATAAAAAGAGACGAACTATATGTCTAATAATGACTTCCCGCCAATACACAAATATCCTTTTCCTGTGCCGGCCATGGCCTTCATAGCCCTTTGTCCCCTTATCCCAGCCTCTAATAATTTAATCGTCCGTAATACGGATTCCATCGTCTCCTCTGTAATCGACGAGCTGCTATTGTTTCTCCCCATGTTGAATAATACGTTACTTGAGGCTCATCTCACTAAGCGTCTGAGCATCCTCTTTAAAGAGTGCTGTTAGAATAAGCAGTTTCGGACACTCCCGACATGATCTACCTATGCCATCCACATTTCTTGACAGATCTATTGTTAGAATAAGCAGTTTCTGACGTCCTCGACGATCTCTTTTTGCAAATATCTCACCTGCTCTGCCATCCAACATGATCTACCTGCCATCCACATTTCTTGACAGATCTATTGTTAGAATAAGCACTTTGTGACCTCCCCGGCCATTGCCTTTTTCTAAATGTCTCACCTTGTTTGCCACCCGCCATACGGTATCCACCCACACTTTTGAACTGAGAAATGGCCGCTTTTAACCTCCCCCTACTACAGTACTCCCGCCATAGCTTTTTCTTTTTTCCAAGTCTCACCATGTGACTCATCTGTTAATATATGCACAAGTTCACGCCCACTCTCGCCTTCTGTTGAGCTGACGAATGATATCCCAAACTCACCACCTCAAACCATAAGCAGTAGCGATGGATAGTCAGGATCAAGGAAATAATTATAGCATCATATATTGTTTTGAAAATACAAAATATAATTCCGAATATGTGAATGTTACAGCTATGAAGGGTGCTTTTGAATACATGCCCTACTCTCTTGGACCCATTCGCGATCAACCTCTCGCTGGTCCTTGCCCAACTTAGACAGCGCACGCTCAAGTTTATTCACAATCCACGAAACCTTATCTTTAAATTCCGTCATAGGTGTCTCTCTCCGTCGCAAATATGCCACGTCCTGTGTGCGACTGCCATTACGCCTCTGTAGCTGCTCAATCTCTTTTGCTGAAGTTGGGATTTCATTTTGCTTCGGGCCTTGCAAGTTTTCAGAGGTTGTTTCCATATCTATCGTAGAATCAAAATATAGACTGATGATCCTGTCGACCGGGCTTAGCTGGTGGGTCTGGCTGGGTAGAGTCCGTTCACGGTCAACATTTTGCTCAATTTCGTCTAACTTGGACAGTACATCGTTAAGCTCTCTGGCCCACCATGAAACGTCGCTTTTGAATTTCTTTCGAATGGGCTCCATCTTCCGAAAATATGTAGCTTCGTGATTTAGACTACTACCATGCCTCTCTAACTGCTCAATTGTTTCTGTAAAGCTAGGGACTGGGTATTGTTTTGAAGCTACCAGCCTCTCGTGAGTCGCTTCAATGGCTGTAGTAGAGCCATGATGAAGTTTGATGACCTTGTCAACTGGGCTGAGCAGAGGTGGTCCGTCTATGGAAGACCTGGCATGAGAGCGCAATTGCTGAGTGCGGCTGCGATGAAAATCACCCTCCATGGCAAAGAAGGTTATCTACTGGCCATTGTAATGAAATGCCTTTTGAGGCCTCAGGGGAAGGATCAGTTAGAAGGGAAGAAAAATGGAAGACGAAGGGGCTGCCAGAACTGACTCGCCTTGTACGCAGCACATTCTATGCATACACTGTCATCAGTTCCCATTTCACGTGACATTCATATGCATGCAATGTCGTTAGGTACCATATACTCTCATAGTGATTTACTAAGAATGCTGTTATATGGAGCACAGCTTGCTACTGATGGTAACCGCCCGTATTCCGCTTTTGCTAGGTTTCAATCTATCCTTCTCATTGTAAACCCTCTTCTCTCCCTGATCAGTATCCCGCTCCGCAGATGTTTCGTATGGTGTGGGGTGCAGCAAGAATTGTAAGGCCGTCTTGTCCGGTTCAGCGACGTCAGACATCACAAGGTATGGATCGTTGGGCGACTCAATGGGGGACCCAATGTTGTAATCGATGTCATTTGGCGGGTCTAGTTTCATGGTGAAGTCCTGGCTGGGTAGTAGTTGGTAGGGCTGATATTGGCCGGAATGTGTGTCGTTAAATTGCGGCAGCATTAGCCCATGTTGGACAAGTCCGTTCATAACCGGCTCCGGGTGATGTTGAGCTTGGAGCGTATCAATCAGATGCCTCTGGTTCGCCATGCATTCGTTGGCGACTCGATTCTCCTCGCAAAGTTTGGCTAGCTTGTCCTCAAGCTGAGTTATCTCGTCTTCGCGTCTGGCTATCTGATGTTGAAGTTGGGCCTTCTCGCCATCGTACGTCTCGCATACGCCCCTGAACCTCTTCTCAAGATGAGAGCAAGTCTCGTGTAAATCATTGACGCACTCATCCACATTTCGGCGATTCTCAGCCACGGCCTGGTAGCCACGGAGAAGTGCATCGGTTCGGCTGGAGTTCATTTGGTAGAGATCTGCCTCTGCTTCTGGCGTAGACCTGGGCGTGCCGTTGGTGTTTTCGAGCATTATGGGCGTTTTCTGGGAAGTTAAAGCTGGTGAAGGGAATAGATAGATATGTTGCTGATAGCGATCTTTGTTGTGAGCCTTTGAGACTCTTATAGACTTATGTACTGATCTCTATCCATCGTATGTTGCGCTCTGGTGAGATTATAGGTTCTGAAGGGTCATGCTGCCACACTGTCTCCATGCTGGCAAACACACGAGAGAACAGTTCGCGCTGTGTGAAAGAAGCTCCCAACATTCCTCGCCACAAATGGCTGCTTTGCACACGATGGTGGCAACATTTGAATGTGATGTCGTTGGTGGCGCTTGTCGCTTACATAGATATCCCTCAGGTTTCAGCAGCAGCAGGGATGTGTATGCATTCTAGCTTGCGCCCGAGCGATTTTGGCTCCCAGCCGTTGATCCATGCTCTGGCGCTAACAGGAGGGGCCCTGCCAAGGCTGCCACCCCTGCCAAGTCTCATCGTGACATGAAAACCAACGCCCTTACCTCTTTTGCTTTGAGCGCCGAGACATACTTTCGGTCAGACGGCACCCTTGCATGCCAAGAAGGTATTCCTGCTTTTTGGCGCCCTTTTATCCGTTTTGGTATGCTGCCCTTTCGGCCCCTTGGCCTTGATATCTTAAGCCAGTAAAGCTGGAAACGGACTGAATGTAAAAACGCTTATGTCCATGTTTAGCACTTTTGCGATCGCCTCAATTTGAACCCCTTTTGCGTATCCTTTACTGCGAGTGGTCGTTGTGATAACACTACCAAGTCAAGTGTTGTGGCAAGAACAGCTTGTGCTACTGCCCTTCCAGAATTATGGCAAACATTAACGACGATGCTGAAATGGCAAACTTTTTTCGCATGTACAAACAATATCAATCCAAAAATGGAAGCCAACAGCCATCTTCTCAGCCTGCGGCCGGGCTGCAGCATCCAACAAACCGAGTTCAGCGCACAACACCACGTCTATCTCCACGTCGCAGTCCTTATCAACCCACTCCTCCACAGAAAGCTACTGAAAATTCCTCTGAATCTCGATACCTACAGGTAAAACATGATCTAGAGTGTATATCGGCTACTCTAGCGGAATTGAAGACGCAAGTCGAGCAAATTAAGCCGGCCTTGGATAGTATGGCACAGTATGTTCCATCTTTACTTTTAAAGCTTCCACTGATAGATTGAATTAGAACTACTTTGGAGGGAATGGGGGTAGCTAATGAGGCGATTGTAAGGCTTGAAGTTATTGGTAGAAGCATTATTGCAGAGGCCTTGAGCTCACAGCCACCAAACGGATCGACATCGCAGCCGCAATCTTCCAATCCTCAGCCGGCCAACCAATATTCACATCAGCAACCAATATCAGTCAACCCTCAGAGGACATACCAAGAACGAAGCGCTGCTCAGCCTCCACCTTCTTTCCCATCATCAAATCCGACACAGCCATATTATGCACCATCATCACAAGTCCCAGCGCCATACTCAGATCCAAGTTATGACTTCCCGTTCGAAATGAATGATAGTATTTAGATCCAAGGCGGATGTGAACCTGGGGACTCTTTGTAGATACCCCAAAATGCTAGCCATTCTCTCTCTGCATCTTTTAATTTTACATCAACAGTGACGACGCTCTTTTTGATCATTGTGACAGTTTCTATGACTTTATTTGCGAGCATAATTGTCCCGTTCCATGTCTTTCTATGAAGTGCGAGTTCCTCCTCGAGCGCCTTGTTTTCTCTCCTGTAGGAGGCGATTGTCTCGTATTCTTGGTCCTTTGCCTCCTCCGATACTTCGTGGATTAGCTGGCTCATGGTGGGCATGCTGGGCGAGTCGTCGCTGTAGACACTAGACGTAGGACGAGGATTTGGGGGAGCCATCGCCAGAGCGCTTGGATCCATAGTACATCCAACGTAATCGCCTGCAAGTCCTACTCTGTCAGGAATGACATGAGTCTATTTAGCCATTTTGCAACAGAACAGATGATGTATTGGCCCCACTCCTGTTTGTAGAAGCCAAAACCAGCCGCTACTAATGCGCCCTTAAAAATGAAAGCATTGCCCAGATAGCAACCAGCTTCTCAACATTTCCATCTCAACATTGCCACATTATGGATCCCAATAGCAGCCTATCTATAAGGAGAACCAAACCAATCGACTTTGGTAGCGTTCACGATACCGCCTCCTCAAGTAGGCCATGGAAATTGAAACGTTTGCTGCGAATTGAATTCAAGAGCCCTAAAGAAGACTATCTGTTCTTCCAGGAACTACAATCAGACCAAGGCACTCTCGTATGCCATAGGAAGGCCTTATTTTGTCTTGCTGTTATACGTGAATCGTTTTCACCAAGACCGCTGCATTTGCTCGAAGAGCTGTCACTGGTCCAACATCCAAATATCGCGGAAATTCTCGATATATACTTTTACGATGGAAGACTAAGCATCGTTACTGAACGTCTGGATATTTGCCTTCTCGATCTCGACTTCAGCAGGCTGCCCCCAGAAGAGTGGGAGATTGCAACGATTGTTGCAGAGGTAATTCTGCCACACGTTCAGGAAGAGAAGCTAATTCTTGCAGATTATGAAGGCGATGACTTACCTCATGAGCACGTTGCCGGTTTCCGAAATCAGCATTGACAGCGTGAGATTGTCTCTCCAGGGAGATGTTAAGCTTGGTACGCCATCTATCCAATTGTCTACCAGTGCTAACCTTCTAGTCAACGACGTACATTACCAAAGTTCGCGAGACGATGACATGCCTAGCCATCAGTATAACTCCGAATTTCTCGTTGAGATGCTAAAGATCCTTATGTCATACGGCACATCTAGCGGAAGATGTTGGTCGCGTGAGGCGATCGAGTTTTCGTCAATTCCAGCTTCCGACTCTTTATCCCTATTTAAGAACGTGAGTCTACAAATGCGGCATCTGTGAGCAAGCCTGACATGTTACAGCACGTCTTCTTAACCAAGGCCATGTCATCATCTAAGTTGGTACCACGTATCCACTTGGCGACGCAAATCCTATGTTGCCAGTCGCAGAGACAGCCCGAGGAGCTTTATGGTTCCGAAGTTCATTCTTTCCTGCAAAGTCCTTAAGATTATAGATATAGCTTTTCAAAAGTTGACAGTTACATGACCTTGCTAAAATTTCATATTGACATTAAAAGCGATGACATATCTCCCAATTATGCGTGCATTGAGAGCTTCTTATATTTCAGTATTCATAAAATTATTGGAAAGTACTAAACAAAACAGCCACATAGTAAACAACAATCTTATTACACTCCTCCAAACAGCAGGGAGTGCAGGTTTTGCTGCCGTACCAACTCCGTCTTCCGCTTCCGAGAACCTCCACTAATACCTATAATTTCAAGGTTCTCGTCTTTGTCGGAGGCAGGTGAGAATATCTCATGTTTGTGATACACCCCGCCATACACCATCGTCGTGCAAAAATACCCTTTATTTAGGACCTTCTGTAAGACGGTGTCACTGTCAATGACATCAAATTGGCAGCCAAGGATAAATTTGAAGCCCGCCTTCAGTGGCCACTTCCCGGTCAAATAATGTTCATACTTGGGGCAAGCTTTTGCCAACATGCTGCGATTGAACCACCATGCCACCAGGAGGTATTGTTTGCCGCTAGGATGCACCCGACACTCCAAGACCCTGCCAGGTTTGTTATGGGGCTCGTCATCGTCGTCGCTGACAGTAGTGATTATGACGTCGTCGAAACGGCCGATGTTTGACGACAGGCTGTTCAGAAGTGGTATCTGGTTTACAAGGCAAAGATCTTGCCAGGGGATATCATATTGATCACAACAGCGAGGTCTTGGATCCGCGCTACCCTGGCTTTCGTTTGAGACCTGATAAACTGGCTCCTCTATGGGAGGGTATATATCATCATGCTCTCTCAATTTAGTGGGCTTTATAAGGTTCTAGAGATAGCATTAAAATGACTCGTAACACTGGTACGGGCAATTGGCACTTACTTTCCCTCTACCCTTGTTTCCAGCCAACGGAGGAAAACGTTTTATATCGCCTCTATATTGGAAGCAGTTTAAGTCATCGTTCCACCCACACACAATATCGCTCTCACGTTGGGATATTCCCGTGAAGTGATCCATGATGAACAAGACTGTATTTTGCAGAAACTAAGAAGCTTCAAAGTTATAGGTCTGAGCAACGTTGTGACACTTTGGTGGGCTGATCCAGGATAAAGAGGGGTGTAAAACCAAAAAGCTTAAAAGTTATAGATGTTAGAAGTACTTAGGGCCGTCTCTTGACCCTGTGAACGCGCCAAGACATCTATTCGTCTCAGGGCGATAGGCGCCAAAACTGGACGCCATTACCCATACGCGCCCACTGCATATGCGAGGTCCCATCACAGCCCTTGTGTCCCCAAGTAGGCAATTACATCAGCCCTTTTGAAAATAGATATTGGAGGAGGCAGAAGTAGATGGATGATGGAACAACTGCTACTTGTTTCCCTGTTTATGATCTGCACTAGCCCTTCCTGCGGTCTATTCCCCGCTCTTACTTTCTCAGGGTTCTCACCCCTCCCCCCTTTGCTTTCGCCCTCTTCGCCTTTCCCGTCCGTTCCTGGTGGAGCAAGACTGTATTTTAAAGAAACCAAGAAGCTTCAAAGTTATAGATGTCAGAAATGGAGTAATACTGTGGACTGATCCAGGATAAAGAAGTCTGTAAAACTAAGAAGCTTAAAAGTTATAGATGTCAGAATAATCTGGGACCGTCGCTTGACCCTGTAAATGCGCCAAGGCTACAGTCTCGACGTACCGCGAAAAGCGCCACAACTTGACGCGAATACCCCTGCGCGCGCACTGCATCTACGACATCCCATCATAACCCTGTATACAGAAGTGACAGGTTCTGTTGGCTACATGGGCCCTTTTGGAAATTGGCATTAGAGGAGGCAGAAGTGGACGGATGACCAAACTGCCACTTGCTTCCCTGTTTATTACTGATCTGCACGAGGTCTTCCTGCGGTCAGTTCCCCGCTCTCACTCCGGGTTCTCGCTCTCTCCTCTTCGCTTCTCTGCCTTTGCTTTCACCCTCCTCACTGTCCCTATTCTCGCTCTCCTCGTCCGTTTCCGCTGAAGTGTGAATATCGCGCTTTCCCCGTCCATTTGCAAAATTGAAGTGAGAATACCCGCTCGATCCTTCTCATACTCTTTTCTACCCTTTCCAACCAAAAACGAGCCATCCTCGCCATCCTCGCGATACGTCAACCACCGCCTGGCAACTTGCGCACTGCACCCTGAGCCAGAGCACCCTCTCCGGCGGTCTCAAACACCGACCTCCATCAAAATTTACGGCCCGACATATATACCAATACCAATATACACCTGGCCTTGAGATCCAAGTCTGACACTGCCTGTCATCGGGGATCCCGTGGTGACTACTGTCTGTCGAGAGAGGGTTTGAGGGATCTTTCTCTGGGGCTGAAGGCACCGGAGCCGGACAAGGCATCTGCACCACGCGACGTATGATATAGCGTCTGAAGTATAGTAAATTAACGTCAAGCCCTCAATTAGCGATGAAGTGAACAAATAGAATCATTCTGGCAGTTAGCCATTGAGCTCTACCTCTTTTGAGTGCGGGGTGGGGAAGCATGGACGAGGCTTTGGCGGCAGGAATGGCGCCTTGGCAGCGGCCGGCGGGGCTTGGCAGCGCCGCCTATGTTCGGCGCTAAGACGGCTAAGATTATGCGAGGTTGTCGCCGCGCATACGATCCTTGGAGTTGGCGTGATTGGCTTTTCGGCATGTTCCAAGCGCTCTCGTTTCATCCGTTATTTGTCACCAAAAGCTTCCATTTGCAGATATACCTCCGCCCAACGCTGCATTGCAACCTCCTATGGATGTAGTTGATCCCGCCACTTGAAATCTGCCGGGTTAGCCGCAGGCGCTACTCGTCACGCCTTACCACTCGCAATATCCAGCTGCAGCCACTATCACTAAGAGGAGGAGGAGCTTGGTGTCATTTCTGCCCCCAAAGTGACAGCGCCAGAACTGATGATTGCTGGCACTAGGCCAAAGCATGAAGCTCCATGACCATGTACTAACAAATCTCTCCGACCTTCCATTATGATGATGCTCCACAGCTCTATAATAGAGCACCGGAAATTCTTAGCTGATAAAGCCGCCGGCCTCGGCTTCAGAAGCCCCTTCATACCATGGCTTAGGCACGTAATTAAAGTGACTGCTCAACTAAATAATGTGAATATGTGTCTGAGCATTTTTTTAAAAAAATGATGCTATCCCTATGTTGTCCCCCGCATCTCGTTGGAATCTAAAATACGACATGGGCTAGCTAGCTGGTGTTGGATGGGCAAGCTATACGGCTGATGGGATCTTTCAGCTGTGCAGGCCAGTAGGCCAGTAAATAGGATTTGCTATAAGTTTTTATCAGCCATCTGGTTACACCTGCGATGGACGTGTGTGTCACCAGGGAAAGGTCCTTTATCTACATCGCCGTCACAATAATTGTTTCAAAAGACATATTCCTCTCACGATGGATGACCGCCAGTCGTCTGCTGAATTCCGTGTTTTAAACGGGCCTTTACTATATCCCATCCTTGAGAACACTGCCCATTCAGCACCTGAACAATTTGGGCTTATTCTTCCGTCCATCAAAGATTTACATTTGCCAATGAACAAAGTCGTCGACGCTCAGCACCAAACGCGACTCTTTCAGGCGAACCATAGCCGGCATCAGAGCGGAAATCAAACGTCATTAGCGTCATGCGCTGCAACCGTACACGTCTACAAATATCATTCCAACAAACCTTACACCTCCGACCAGATCCGCTTCATCCAATGCAAGAGGGACGACGAGAACATACCGTGGAAGAGAATCACTGAGGGGTACAACAAGGCATTCCCAGGCTATTATCGTAGTCAGAGCAGTATTGAGGCCCGTTACTATCGCGAGCAGTCAGCTCCAAAAGAAGATACAGATTTGGCCTCGAGAACATAGATGGAGGATCGATATAATAATGGCAAGGCGGGGCAGAGACAGAAGTATGATACACAAGTCGCTGCGGACAGGCACCCAGCATTTTCGGTCATTCCTAAACGGAAGCTGGAAACATAAGTAGGAGGCTGAGAAACAATTTAAAAGGAGAATATCTCGATAGAGTCGATAATTGATCTCGACTTCAGTAATGGAATAATATTATATCTTAATCGTATTATTCCAGAATTGCTGGTTCAATACGGTTTATGTATGCGTGATCATGATTTGCTGAGATTTGACGGCGAAGACGAATAAAAATTCCTTCTCGACGAGCAACAACGCATCTCCCCTGCATTTTCGTAAGGGGAGGGTACGGGGAGGTAGGAGGAATAGTAGTCCTGCATGTTGCCTGAGGCAGAGGTGGTGGTGGTCGAGGTAACGGCGTAGGATGGCGAGAGCGAGGGCGGGGTAGGGAGTAAAGGTGGAATGGGAGGACGTGGGCGACTCGGAGAAGGTGGAGGAGAGGGGCGCAAGCTGCGGTCACCGACAGTGGTACATTTCGGGTAGGTCGGGTGGGGGGCCGGTTCAACAGCCCATTGATGAGGCGGAAGAGGAAAGCTGGGGAAGAAACTGGGAGAGTTGGAGTGACCGTCTAGAGGATCCAATGTGAGGCATCTTTGCGACTACAGCAACTGGCTAAAACGTGTACGTCTCCAAGCCCGCGGGAGGGACAATGATAACGAGGCTGATTCAAGGGTGCTTGCGCTGAGCGCCGTCCGAGAGTGGATATGTGCTAAATTAGTTCCCCGAATGCCGCCAAGTTATTTACCTCCTCAGTCATGTCTTTCAATAAGTGTGGGTGGCGAAGGTGCATCATTTTGGATGGCAGGGTAGGTAAGACATTTAGAAAAATGCGATCGTCGGGGACGTCAGAAACTGCTTATTCGAACAAAAGATGAGCCAAAAAGTGTGGATAGCGTAGGTAGATTATGTTGGATCGCAGAGCAGGTGAGACAATTAGAAAAAGGCGATCGTCGGGGAGGTTAGAAACTGCTTAATCCAACAATAGCTGTGTTACAAAATGTAGGTGGCGAGGTGGATTATGTTGGATGGCAAGGTAGGTGAGACATTTGAAAAAAGGCGATCGTCGGAGAAGTCAGAAAGTGCTTATTCCAACAATAGCTATGTCGCGAAATGTGGATGGCGTAAGTAGATCATGTTGGATGGCAGGTCAGTTGGGACATTTAGAAAAGGCGATCGTTGGGGACGTTAGAAACTGCTTATTCCAACAATAGCTGTGTCGCGAAATGTAGATAGCGTAGGTAGATCATTCTAGATAGCAGGGCAGGTGAGACATTTTAAAAAAGGGGATCAGAAAGTGCTTATACCAACAATAGATTTGTCACGAAATGTAGGTAGCGAAGGTAGATCATGTTAGATAGCAGGTCAGGTGAGACATTTTAGAAAAAGCGATCGTCGGGGACGTCAGAAACTGCTTATTCGAACAATGGCTGTGTCAATAAATGTGGATGGCGTATGTAGATCATGTTGGATACAGTATCAGGGCAGGTGAGACATTTAGAAAAAGGCGATCGTCGGGGAGGTCAGAAAGTGCTTAATCCAACAATAGCTGTGTCGCGAAATGCGGGTGGCGAAGGTGGATCATGTTGGATGGCAGGGTAGGTAAGACGTTGAGAAAAAAGAGATCGTCGGGGACGTCAGAAAGTGCTTAATCCAACAATTGCTGTGTCACGAAATGTGGGTGGCAAAGGTAGATCATGTTGGTGGTAGGGCAGGTGAGACATTTAGAAAAAAGTCAGTAAGTAGGAGGGCAAGTCAACGTGGCTTATGATGTGATGACAGGGTTGTGAAAGGGAGGAAATGATGTGCAATAGACCCCGCGCAAAAAACCAGTTTAAACTTGCACATGAGAGACGCTGTCGCCCCAGTGCTATCCACTCCCTTGCATAAGCCTGCATAGCTTATTTCTAGGCCCCTCGAATACACATTTGTGCACGGACCCTACGTAGTAGCCCGTTCCTTGTCCTCGCATATGACTAGACCTTGCACATGAGATGAGGAGTCATTTTGGCTCCATTATCCACACCTTAATATGGCATTGTGATAGGCGGGGTCGGCGGGGTCGGTTATGGCTTATGATGCAGAGCACGAAGCTGAATTTTTTGGATAAGGTAAAATCTCTGGCTTATGAATTTTTATATTTACGTCTACATTCTAGTCACAAGAGCCTAAAGATCCTTAAAAACCGATCTTTTGCTATGCCACCACCTCGGCGTAAGAAACGAGCACAAGGGGGCAAGGAATTAGCCAAAGAACGGAAGGAACGCCAAGAGAAAACAAGAAAGAGACCTCCGAGTCTCTTCCGCAAAGCTAAAATACTAGCAACTGACACCGACGCCTGGGTTCATCTTAGTGTGCTTTATGCTTCTGGACAATGCGACACATTTACTTCATCCGACGACCCGAACTGGCCAAATCAGGACATGAGAGTAAGTCAACACTTCTTTTAAAGCTCCTTGCTAATTAAATGCTCAAAGGCGAACTACCCCTTGGGCAAACACGAATTTCTCAGGAAGCAAATCTCTGACACTGGTTTCTGGAAACCAGTATTAGAAGATGGAAACGACACGGACGCCGGGGACAGGCTAATCTCGGCTGTCGCTCCAAGTCGGGCCGACAACCCGCTCCAGATCGTGAACAATACACGGCGAGTCGAAACTGAGGAGATAAATGCACAGGTGCTCAAACTTGAGGAGGCGAATGCACGCCTCCTCGAACTTGAGAAGGAAAATGCACGCCTGCGCGAACTTCAGCAGGCAAATGAGCCGCACAAAAATTCACTTGATGCATCACGAGAGTCAGAAGAAATGATTACGGAAGTAATTGAAGAATCGGAGAGCCGGCTACATTGGAACTCCTGTGCGGGAGTTGGCTCAGATACGGAGCCGGACACATCCAGCAAGACCGACAAACCAAACGGCACAATGATCGATACCTTATTGACGGACCAAATGCCTGAGGATATAGACAAAAGTTATGTGGCCTGTAACGTGGTGGCAACAAGTGAGATGGATGTAGATATACAGGAGGTGCAGAATGAGCTCCAAGTGGATATTGCCCACAAAGAGGCGGCCTACGTGCTTTACAATACGAGCCTGCAACACAGTCCTCAGCCTTCAAACGATGTACCGAGTTGGACGCCTGTCAATGGGCTAATGCAGAGTCAAAATAGTCGACTAATAGATCTCCAAAAGCTCCGCTCTGGCTGGGATTGGGTTTTCAGAAAAGATAGCATCACTAGCAGAGCTTAGTACAAGTGAAGAGCGGTTAATTGAAAGCCTACATTTGTAGCATTGAAATTTGCAACAACTATGTTTAACTATGCATAAATTGACTATGTTGACCTCCTATGTTTGTTCCAATCACATCTGCCGTAATCAAGGTTACACGCATCCCACTTCAAAATCCAAAATTTGGAGCCTAGCGGTACTTGAAAGCAGCTTCTAGTACTTAAAGGCGCCAGTACCAGCCCTTGGGATGTCAAAAAGTTTAATTTCTCATCAACCAACAACTCCGCCTACATCACCACAAAACATCATGAGTTCATTTGCGTTACTGTACTTCCTTTACGGTGCTAAACTTTGCAGCCAGGCTAGCATCTACTTCATTTGGCTGGTGGACTCATCCAACAGAGCAATCACATTCATAGCCGCTACTGTTGCGGTTCTGGCAGTATTTCCGTTCTTCCACGTAATTATTTATGTCTTCTTGGCCAAGCCACTCTCATGTCAAAGTTTTGTTGCATACCTCTGTATTAGGTTTGTGTAGTCTCTCAATGCTGAAATCTGGGCTAAACTCCCTTTAGTCTCATGCTCGCTATCCTCTGGTACAAGCCCACACAGGATGGGCAACATCGCTGTCTATCCTTTGCAGTGGTCACGTCGTTTGACCTCTTCGACGCTCTGCTCTTCCTCTTCCAGCGACAAATAATTCGTTGGCGTGGCGCTCTCTTACCGGATATAGAGCAAGGACATGTTGGTCTAAGCAACAATAATGGCGCATTAACGACACCATCGGGCGAGGGAGATGAACAGACGACACCCGGCACGGACAAATCGCCGAGTGAGTTACGCCGTCTTCAGATTTTGAAGGAGCTAGGCTACAATTACAGCGCTCTCAGTCTTGCCAGAAGTTCTGCAACATCAATTGAGACAAACCCTCAGAGTGTTATGGAGATAATGCGCTCGAGCGGAATAAGTCAGATGTCTGGCAGTCGCATTGGCATGCAACGGCCCAAAAGTCTGGCATCGAGTTATAGAACGGCCCAGCTTGGGGACGAATGCATGGGCCGAGCAGAAGAGGGAGAGGGCAGATTTGCCATTAACGAAAGCATGTATGCTGGCTCTGAGATGGAAGAGCCCCGATCGCAGACTCCCATTACCGTCATCAACACCAACCTTCATCAAAATATACGCACTGACATGTATCTTAATTCCGATATACGCCTCTCCGGTATACACCCAGCTTTGAGGACTGAATCTGACACTACCTTTATATTACCAACATTGGATAGCTCGATTCTGTTAGAATGCCGAATTCAGGAGCAATCGTAGCTTTGTTATAATTATCTGGTAGTTGGGCGCTGCAATAGCCAGAGGCTTACCACTAACTCAGCGTTTCATTATTTCTTGTAGTAATGTCAGAGAGCTCTACCTCTATTATGGAGTGGTGGGCTTTGGCGAGAGGGCGGGGCTTGGCAGTAAAGGCGAGGCTTGGCGAGGCTTTGGCAGCAGGGGTGAGATTCGACAGTACCCACCCCAGCTATGCGGGGTATGTTTGACCATATGACAGCCAAGACAGCTAAGACATCCAAGACAGGTTCACGGCCAAGGCAGCTAAGACATCATGCGAGCCAAGCGCCACGGTAAGACTTTGGCGATTGGCTTGCCGTGGGTGTGGCAACTACTGTGCACAGCAAATATTTAGCTATCACCAACATCCCCATCCTCCAAAAGCAAAAGGGATCAAACTACGTCACCAAAGCTTCCATATGCGGATAAATGTCCGTCTATTACTTCCAACACTGATCTCTAAGCGCCATGGTAAGGCTTCTGCGTTGACTTGATTCGCTTTTCGCGGATATGCGGATAGACATTCACAGCCGGGTTAGCCGCATGCGCAACTCAGCACGCATTACGGCTTGCTTTGGCTAGACTCCTTAGCGCCACCCCTGGCAGGTTGAGCCATGCTGGGTACTTCAGATTCCAACGAGATGCGGGGTACGACACATAACAACAACTACCGGTGTTGGATGATATGCAAAATGCAACGCTGATGGCTTCTATCTCTGAAGTGCACGCCAGTGGACGATGGATACGATGTCTTATAAGAGTCAATCAGCCATCCACTTACACGATGAATGTGAGTACTGCCAGGAACTGTCAGTTATCCTCGTCGCTGTCATAATTCTTCCTTTTAAAAGAGATTCCCTTCACGATGGATGGCCGCCATTCGTCTGCTCAATTCTGCGCTTCAAAAAGGCCGTTGTTGTATCCCATCCTCGAGAACACTGTCCATTTACATCAACAACCTCAAATTATTCTTCCGCCCATCAAAGATTTACATTTGCCAATGTACAAGTCCGTCAACGCTCAGACCCAAACACAACCGGAACTATTCCAGGCAAATCATAGTCAGCATCAGAGCAGCAATTCAGCGACGTTACCGTCATACGCCAAGCCCATACACAGCTACAAACACCGCTCCAATAAATCTTACACCGCCGACCAACTTCTCTTCATCCAAACTGAGAGAGACGCCAAGAACACGCCGTGGAAGATAGTCACTGAGGAGTACAACAAGGCATTCCCAGGCTATTATCGTAGTCAGAGCGGTCTTGAGGCCCGTTACTATCGCGAGCAATCAGAGACAAAAGGAAATACGGATTCGGCCTCGAGAACATAATGGAAAGGCGGGCCAGAGACAGAAGTGATGCACAGGTCTTAGTGTATATCGAGGTTGCGGACAGGTTCACAAGAGATTTTGGCCATTCCTAAGAAGAGCCAGGAAAGTAGGTACGAGGCTCCTTATGATGCGAGGCTTACACTAACATAGTAGGTAAAGTGACGATATCTCGACGAATAAGGATGTGCAGAACCAAGCGCATTGTCAACTTGTAAGGTTTTGGCTCCTTACTTCTGGTTATCCAAGGAGAGTTTGATTTGGGAGGTCGAAGGCGCATCGGAGGCATCAAGTCTCAATTTTGACTTTAGCAATAGAAGAGTTTTTTCTACCGTATCATATTACTGCAGCAATTGTGGCTTCGATGCAGTCCCTGTTTACATTATCATGATTGACCTGTGACCGCTTAACATCTGCAAGCCAGGTGAGAGGGGATGCATGGAAGGAGGTAGGATAGCCAGATTAGCTGAGACTTGACAGTGACAATGAATGAAAGGAGCTGGCAAGCTACGTCACCTGAACGGAAGGATGCACGCAAGATTGTAGGATGACCAGGTCACCTGAGACTGCGAGGATGAACCAAAGACAAATGACACGTCAGCTGGGCATGGAGCGGGAGGAAGTGCATAAAAGGAGTAGGATGACCGCATCAGCTGAGGCATGAGCACAGCGAGGACAAATGAAAGGGGTTGAATGACCACCTCAGCTGGGCTCGGGCGGGGAAGATGCTTGAAAGGAGTAGGATGACCGCATCAGCTGAGGCTTGAGCACAGCGAGGACAAATGAAAGGGGTTTAATGACCACCTCAGCTGGGCTCGGGCGGGGAAGATGCATGAAAGGAGTAGAATGACCGCATAAACGGATGCTTGAGCACAGAGAAAACAGACGGAAGGAGTCAAATGACCACGTCAGCTGAGCTCTGGTGCATAAAAGGGGGTAGGATAACTAGATTAGCTGAGATTCAGGCATCCAGGGCGAATGGAGGGAGTCGAATGACCACGCTGGAGTCTGCCATGTATGGCGCCTTTTCAATCAACTCATGAGATGGAGACACATCATCACCCTCACTAGGCGGAAGCCAGTCGTATAAACACCAGCCAACCAAACTCCGTTCTTCACCCAACACCGCTCCCACCCTCCAGCTAATTACCGCTCCCCAAGGAGCACTGGGAATCGCCGCATCACATGGGGATGGCCTTACCGCTTGGTAGTAGCCACGCCATATAAATCTGAGCCCCAAACAACGGCATAGACATAACGAACTTCAAATTCGCTTTAAAAACAGATATCACAATACCGCACACCGACTGACTGCGCTATCATGTCAGATCTGGATATGAATGGGCTAGCCCCTTCAATCTACGTTTTAGGCCCCGACCACCAAGGCAACGATTGGTATGTCAAAAATATGCCGCGCTGGACCACATCGATGCAAGCCTATTCAGCGGTTCTGAACCTCTCCTCAGTCGACTTTCGGAAACTTAAACGGGAGATTACTTCGTTGCCGTTTGACCAGCATAGCATAAAAAGTGACCAGGACAAGCAGCGCTGGCAGGAATGGGCTTCAGAGTTCTGTGATACTCGTTTCGACGTGGCAAGCCTCGACGGGCATCGCAAGAAATGGTTGATTCAAGCTATCGTGTGGCTTAAACGTACGGATAATAGATGTTCCAAAAGGAGAAAGGGAGTCAAGAACCGTGCAGCCCTATCAGCCCCGAGCGAAGGGGATGGCGCTCGTCCGCAAGTGATGTGTCCCAACAGCTCAGGGGATCCCATTGAGAAGAATCTTGTCGTCAGGTTTCTCAAAACTACCAATGAGATCGAGGAAGCACTACCGTGGTTTAACCTTCCGGACTTGAAAATCCCCCAAAAATCGTTGGGTCCTGCGTTCGTGAACTCAATCGGGCCTACCCAGCAACCTGACATCCACCAAGGACTCGTTCTGACACAAATAGTGAAGCAACTTTACGATGCCGAGGTTTCAGTCCACCCCTGGAATGGTTTTCGCGAAGATTTCGTGGGGCCGGAGGAGTCACAAAAAATGAAATCGATGCTTTTAGACGACGAACAAAATCTTCGCAGTACAATCATCGTGTTAAGTTGTGACGCTGCTATATGCGTTGAGTCAGGCATGGACTTGCTATATTCCCGACTGGAACGATTGCGGTCTTGTTACGGAGCTCGTGTGTGCGCCTTCCCTAGGCAGACTGAAGCTTTGCGAGCAAGAGCGAAGATTAGAGACCTTCAAGCTCTAGACGAGTTAGCTCATACTTACAAATCTTGGCACCCTATCACCTGCTACCCCGTGACGAAGTGCAGTCTTGAGGATGCAGAGACAACCGTACATAAGCACCAAGAAAGCTCTGGCGGCGAATGTGTGCAGATTAAGCATAGGGGTGACAATGGTAAATTAACTTGCATGAAGAAAGACATTCCAGAACGAAAGAAACGCAAGATGCATGCAGAGGCCACGGAAGCCAAGCCCCTGTGGTTCCATCAGGAGTTTATCTCTACGTTTACAGACTGGGGTGAGTTTCGCGTCTTTATCGTAACGAAACAAGAGCCTCACAGCCGCCGAGGTCTTGGGGGCATGATTGTGGCAATTGCACATACTGTAAACAGTACCACAGATGATGATACGATGCATGTTGACCAGGCGACAAATGCCACATTTACTAGGATTGGCTCTGGGCTTTGTCTCGAGGACTTGAAACACTTTGCGATGAAAACTTTCAATGGTCTTCGTGCACGAGACGACTGGAAGCAAACTTTTGAGTCGTTGGAGGTTGGCGTCCGTCTTGACGTTGCAATCTCACCAAACTTCCCTAGATCTTTCTTTGTGAACGAGATTACTCGTTGGTATTCAGCGGCTTTCTTTTCAGACGACATTATTGATGTTTTTGGTGCTCTAATTGGTTGACGTTATATTCTACTTCGTCTAAAATACAGGAGGGGATCACTGACTATATACCCAGTCTCGATCAGGGGCTTGCAGTACTGACAAATTCAACAATTATGGCTGAGCCTAAATATACCTTGTGCGAGGAGTTTGCAAAGGCATTTACCACGTATTTGTCGAAATTATCAGTTGCTTGAAGACTTGCTTCGTTAAACGGAGTAATACTAAATAATGCGTTTCGGATAGTGCTAGCAACTATTAGGGTAGAGGCGGATTAAATTATCATCTAACGTCTGTCCCTGAGTGGCGAAAAAACCACCGTGCCGAAAATGGCATCTCAAATTCTACACACTTATCAATATCTCTTATATTTTTGCATAAATCGTATTCTACAGTTACTCCTAAGCACTTTAGACCGCTCCTTTAAGAAAATTATGTTTTGCGTTGTCACCCTCACGCCTGATTTGTAGAGGGCATGCTTTTTTTTGCGAAACAGAGTTCCTCCACTATAGCTCCACCACTAAGCTCTTACTATTCCCAAAACAAATAAAGGGATTGTAAGTTACCCGAGCTCTTAAAACCCTCAGAAATCAAAGCTCAGGCGGTAGAAACGATCGGAATCTTGGATGTTCTTGCGAGTATCCAAAACAATTCTACCACGTGACCGGATTGGCCCGGACAAAGGCAAACAGTGCGAGGTAGAAGACGCTAACTATAAATGTTCTAGTGTTGTCGCAAGGCAATCTCTCAGCCTCAGTGTGGCTCCCAGATCTCCTGTGTAAATTCTAAGCGAGCCTACGTCATAAGATGTGGGGGTATTAGACACCAACCAAAACAAAGGTTAGTGGCTTTGACTTGAGGTATTGATTTCCATGAAAACCATACATGGACTTTCCCCGCACCTGCGAACTATTCTCTGAGTATCTAACAAAATGTTAGATACTTGGACTTGAAGTATCTCGAAATCTATACGTACAGTGATATCTCATATTTGTGTAGACTCGTGAAGCTTCTAGGGGGTGTAGTTTGCATTGGCTGTGGTGCGCTCATGATGAAACCCAATGCAACGAGTAGGATTGCAATTTACTATCGAACAACCTACTTAGAATGGGAGGCGGCATCTTGTTGTTTCTTGTCGATGTTATCGCGTCATTCAATTAAGTTGGCAGCAGGCACGCGAGGGCACGCTACCGTGTCCCACCCGCGTGCCTGCCGCCACCTTTTTCCAGCCCGCGGGGAGACGGCGGTCGCGTGCCCTCGCGTGCCTGCCGCCACCTTTTTCCAGCCCGCGGGGAGACTGCGGTCGCGTGCCCTCGCGTGCCTCCCGCCACCTTTTTCCAGCCCGCGGGGAGACTGCGGTCGCGTGCCCTCGCGTGCCTGCCGCCACCTTTTTCCAGCCCGCGGGGAGACTGCGGTCGCGTGCCCTCGCGTGCCTGCCGCCACCCTTTTTCTAGCCCCCCTTTTCCCGGGCCGGCTCTCGCGTGCCCCTGCCACCTTTTTCCCAGCCCGCGGGGTGACCTGCGGTCGCGTGCTCTCGCGTGCCCCCGCCCCCGACCGCGTGTAGCCCGCGGTCGCGTTCTTTCGCGTGCTACAAATATCTTCTACAACTCTAGTTGTGCTTTCCTTCACCACACTCTCGTACACAATCCCCTTTACGCACTCTATTGCTATGCCGAAAGCACCTCGCAAGTGTCCCCACTGCGACAAGGTCTCTAATACTGGCCATATTACCGAACACATACGATCATGTACAAAACAGAAAGGTCGCTGTCTAGTTTGCGATAGGCGGTTTACCCGAAAACGAGACCACAAATGCAAAGGAACCCCAGTTAAGGCCCCGACCTACCTCAACCACTTCCTCAATCTTTCCCAACATAATTGGCACGAAAAGGTGCCTAGTAACATACCTGGCCTTACCCCACTTCATTCTGCAAGCGATGCGACTAAGTCCCTGTGGCACCGAATGCCACGTCTAGTCCCTATAAGTGCTGTCTCAGAGCAGGACGTATATACTGCTGTTCTCGACTCTATTAATACCTTAACCTTTCATGCCTACAAGAACGGATCAGCTGTCCATGGAGCAGGACTTGGATGTCATACTAATGCAGAGCGGGACGCAATGATCGAAACTGCCCGATGTTCAATCTACCAGGCTACAGCACGGAGGGAGTCCAAACTTGCAAAGCCTACTCAGTATAGCGACAGTGAACCTCTCTGCTGCGTTTTGAATGTCTGGGTTAAAGGCATTATCTTCACTCCCCCTACACACATTGACTCTAGCTACCTTCTATGCGGAGATGCAACAACAGTCGGGGTTAATATTACGCCTCGAGGGTCCTATGTTGATCTTCATTGCGACATTGGAAGGTCTGGCCTCTCTACGGTATATGGCCTCTGCGAGAAGGTCTTGATCCTATTTCCTCCTACCGAAAAAAAACCTCACTCTATTTGCGTCAACCGCTGGACTCCATAACCGCTTAGCACGAATTGGAGATAAATTGGAAGGGGGCCTAGTTGTTCAGCTCCACAGCTCGTTAGCAATTGACTTGCCCTCTGGTGCAGTAAGTCACACGTCCTGTTCCTGTCCACTCTAACTAACATACCTAGCTACATGCTGTCTTTACTACAGCTGGAGGTTTCCTTGGCGGCGTAAACTACTCTATAGTAGAGGAGTTGCCAATAATGGCACGGGCTATCTTAATCCAGCTGCCTGGTTATGAGCACAACCAGGATGCCATACTCGAAGATATCAGGGTGTACCTCTCCGCTCTACTATCTGGGCTTAGCCTCGACCCTCCCCACGACGTCCTAGCACCTGTCATTAAGAGCTGGTTTACCCTAGAGCACTCTATGGCTTCGATTGACGCTCTGTCCCAGTGGTGCCTGAAGGATAAGAGACGCATTTCAGTACAACTCAACGATCTTCGTCCTCTTCAGTGCAACTGTGGTGCGATAGGGGAGAAGGAGACCCACTTGATAGAGGAACATTTTAAGAGTGGCTAATGCAGCTAGGCCAACTACCTACTACAAGGAATTGCGCTGGGAGGAACCAGAGGGCTGGGGTTTCAGACTAGGCGAACTAGGAGGCATCGTTCTCGGATACAGGATAGAGGAGAAGGAAAGGAGGACTCATCAGACTGTAAAACAGAACCATGCAAAGTCGAGCGTAGGAAATATATCGTATAATAAGACTGGCCATTGGTGTCCTTCTGTCGTTCTTGTCGTGCCCGTGCCTGTCATTCCCTGCAGTGTCTGTTGCCAATCGTTGTGCCCGCTGTTGTGCTCGTTATTGTCATGCCCGTCAGCATCTTATTATATATTCGTGTGTCGTCGTGCACACCGCTGTGTTCGTAGTCGCTACCAAGCCGTCATCGTCTGAGCCGCTATGGTTTATTGTTTTGTAAAGCTTGTTGTGACACAGGGGTATTCTTTTAACCAAAGGAGCAAAAATTAGCCCATTTTTGCAGTTACTGGCCACTTCTTTGCTTCTACTCAAGAGGGCACAGTCCAACTCGGAGTATGTCGCCGCACACAGCCACAGCTCGGCAGCCACCTTTTATTGCCAAGTGACTGGGATCCTGATCGCTTAATTTGGAGGCACCAGCACATATGGTGGCGTCGCATGGTGACATCCCTGGTCCCACAAGGCTGAAAATGATTTTTCAGCGTCGTAGTGAGGCTCGGAAAGTGTTAAATGGGTTGAAAGGTGCAATGAGCTCGTGGTAATGCTGTAGGTTAAGGGGTTCTATTATACTTCGAATTGACGTACTCTGCAATGAGGCGCGACGGTAATAACGTGATAAATTTTTAGAGTAACTAGCTGGGGTTTTGACTATTCAGGAGTGATCATACAATACGATTAACATAAAATACTGGAATTTTCAATGGATTTACAAATTTAGAATCAATTAAATTCAAAGTACCTAGTTATATTTGTCTTGCCATGGGGTGCGTCTCTTAACGCGGGTATGCATGTTACTATTGGTATTATTAGGTAGCAGTAAAAATATTTGACAGCATTTTTTATTTTGTTGTCCATTTATTATTAATTGTCGCTATTTTTTAAAAGCCACCACTCGCGCGGTAACCCAAGTACCACCACTCGGATTAACGGCGCACGTGATTTCTTCCGATGTAAGTTACGATCCATTCTATATTTTCGGGCTCTCTAATCAAAGCAGCATTAAACACCTTTTTCTACAGTATGTTCTCCATCCGCCACTTATTCAAGTTTTTAACGGAAATCTTTGTGTCAGGATGATGACGGCCAAGGACCTGTTCACGTAGCTGAAAGCATGTCTCCATTAATGAAATGGCCTCCTCGTTACGGCTTTGAGACTTTAGCGTAAACGGTCTTGAGGCCAGAGTTGAGAGGAGCCTCGGGCCTGTAACCGCTACCATAATCTCATCACGGTCAGTTGGATGGTTTTCCACGTGGAAATACAAAATGAAGTGGCGGTAGACGACCACCTTTCCCCAAGGACTGGGCTATGCAAAGGCTACTCTGGACGTGCGGTCACTTACCAAACAGATAGTTCGCAAACGATAACATTGAGCCTGAGAGCTGCCTCCTAGAAGCGGAGATTGTGCGCTTAGAATATCGCCCGAAGAGGGTGTTCTTGCTGGGGGTGCAGCTTGCGCAAGTGGTCAAACGGTGGTTGAGTTTAGAGAGGATGGAGAGGATAGCAAAGATGGCCCGTTTATGGTTGGGAAGAGTAGAAAAGGATACTATGGAGGACCTAGCAGATATTCTCGTTTTACTGTCGTAAATAGATGGGGAGCGAGGTCAAGGAGAGCACGAGCAGACATTCACAGCTCCACTCAGAAATGGACAGCCAGTCTAATAGGACTTAAATAATGACGTCTGAGCCTCCAGTTGTGAGCGCACTTTGGGTTCACTTTCCACCCCTCTGTGCAGAGCCATGCAAGAAGCTATTTATTAGTCTTGCATATGAGAAGTCACATTGGCTTCATTTTCCACGCCTCTGCGCAAAACCAGGTACCTGTACGAGAGATGGTACGTTCATGAAAGTTACTTAGCGCCATATAATGCAGACTGTTTCGTGTAAGCGGAAAGGGTAGACTCGGCAAGACTCGGATCCGCTGCGATGAGAATACAAGCATGCAGGGGTGCACAACCACAAGTGTCTGTAAATGGACCCTGCTAGAAATAATTAACTAAAAAGCTAGGGACACTTAATCCGCCTTCTACTGTATAGTGTATGTACTGTACTGGTTGAGGCAAGTTATCGTAGATCCAGAGGCATCCTTTAGAGCCCAAAGCCTCTCGCCATGTATTCTTTCCGCCATGAGCGGCAAGAACAGAGGTTGTTAACGGAGTTAGGCCAAGCAAATTATAGCCTATTTAACTCCCGCTGCAGCACTAAGTTATATATCTATAATCCGCGAATTAAATGCTATGGATACAGAAAACCCACGGTTAGAATTTCCGGTTTTCTATCTAGCTCTATTAGACTTTGTAATGGGAATTTCAGTGGTTGCACCACTGATCTATGCCATTGAGTGGTTAAGTCCCTACTATGCTGTATTATGTGGAGCGTTACATAGTCTTCCAGGCCACAAGGCCGCCACTGGGGTTGTTGTTGGCCTCGATTGGACGCTACTCACTACATGCACCAACAACACTGCAATAAGTTGGAGTTGGTAAGTAATGACACTGTTGAAGTTGTCAATGGCAGGCTGATAATACATAGGCTGCGTTGGTGTGTTGCTATACTGGCACAGATTTGCTGAAACTGGTCCGACGCCGCTAAAGTGGACTGCTATACATATATACAGTAAGTGGCGAAATTTGGCGTCACGTCCGAACAGGTTTAATCTTAGTCGGCATCAATAGCCAGAGGGAGGATGAAAGGCGACAGAGGTTAATATTGTTACCATAACAGAAGATCGTCAGCTCGTAAAGTGGCTTGTTCATAAATCATTCCCTCCCAACCAATGCGCCGAGCTCTCCTTAGCTTCCCAGCCTCTAATATCCACATTCCCAATCACGTGAACCCAAGGCATTGATGCCGCTTATTTCATGTCTTTATCGAAACCCAACGAACTCGTGAAATCAAGCCAAGAAGCCGAGGTAAAGTAGGATTAAATAACATACCTGTATCTATAAATCTTTTCAGATGAATAGGGTATAACGAAATATAAACTCGCCTCCATAAATACTTCCTTCTCCTATAAAACTCTAGTATAATCGTACCCTTTTTTGGGCTAATAATACCGTCTAGGGACCTTTTAAACCTAACGTGAATCCCTGCATCACGGGACGCACCCCGTGACGGGACAAACTATTAGTACTTTGAATTCAATTGATATTAAACTTGTAAGTCCATTGAAAACTCCAATATTTTTGTGTCAGTCGTGTTGTGTGATCACTCCTAAACAGTCCAAACCCCAGCTACTCTGAAATTTACGATCACGTCGTCGCTGTCGCGCCTGATTGCGAAGGGCGTCAACTCGAAGTATAATAGAACCCCTCGACCTACAGCATCACCACAAACTCTCATCACTCCATTTACCCATAAAAGAGTCTTATCTAAGCTTTTAGGCTCCAATACGATGCGGGAGATCGTCATGAGCCTTGTGGCGGCTGTACGGCGCAAATTTATGCATGGTCGCCACGCAGATTAATACCTCCCACGTTTCTATAATTAATTTGCTTACGTCATACTTGGCGAGGCTGTGGCTGATCAGGGACTGTGGCTGTCTGGAGTGTGGCTCATTAGGACTGGGGCTGACTACGAATATACGAATAGAGTATAATCCCACGAGTATATAAGGGTAGTCCTCCCCACACCTTGTTCTGGCTCAGTTACATAATAAATATAAAGGAGAGGATAATGTTGATGCAGCAGCTGTTCCAAATAAACCGGATTGCATCCATAACATAGCTTAGTTACGCTTGGGACACGCTATCACATTTAACACCTGTGCCACTGTGCACTAGCAGCTACAGCACTTTCTTTCTACGAGAACAAGAATCTCCTTTCTCTATCTTTCCTTCGTTAATTCTTTTTCTAACAAATGAGCATTTGAACTGTACCCTTTGCATTCACCTGTGACACCAGAAGCAAGTAGATTTTATTAAGAATAGCAGCTACGTGTCATATTTATTGAAACTCCTATGACGAACACCTTCCCAGTGGAACATCCGATAGCAAGTGTGGAGCCTGTATACGAAATACTAGAGTTATGACCCCGGAAGCCAGGTGGTAACCAAAGCAGGTTCTCGTCGTTCCATATAACCCAATGCCCGCTAATACCTAATCCTTTACGGTCACTTTTGCTACCTACCTCTTGAGAGGATATAGGCAAGGTTTGGAACCCAGGTGTATTTACCGTAAGACAACCAATGTTTGTAATCAAGATAGAGTCAGTAACATCAAATGATAGAGTCGAGATGTAGTCATTAACGTTAAGCGTATGCCGCAGCGTGCCTGTAGCTGCGTCCCAGACCTTGACTGTCTTGTCATTTGACACTGACGCTAGCAGCTTCAAGTCATGTGAGAAGGCAACAGAGTCGACCCCAGCGCTGTGTCCCTGTAGCGTCTGCTGCAGCGTGCCTGTAGACGCGTCCCAGACCTTGATCGTCTTGTCATGTGATGCTGACGCTAGCAGCTTTAAGTCGTATGAGAAGGCAACAGAGCGGACTGAATTACCGTGTCCCTGGAGCGTCTGCAGTAGCATGCCTGTAACTGCGTCCCAGACCTTGACTGTCTTGTCGTACGACGCTGACGCTAGCAGCTTTGAGTCATGTGAGAAGGCAACAGAGTTGACCATAGCACTGTGTCCCTGGAGCGTCTGCTGTAGCGTGCCTATAGTCACATCCCAGACCTTGACTGTCTTGTCATACGACGCTGATGCTAGCAGCTTCAAATCATGTGAGAAGGTGACAGAGCTGACCCCAGCACTATATCCCTGGAGCATCTGCTGTAGAGTGCCTGTAGCTGCATCCCAGACTTTGACTGTCTTGTCATGCGACGCTGACGCCAGCAGCCTTGAGTCATCTGAGAAGGCGACAGAGTTGACGTAGTCGCCGTGTCCCTCAGGCGTCTGCTGTACTGTGCCTATAGCTGCGTCCCAGACCTTGATCGTCATGTCATGCGACAGTAACGCCAGCAGCTTCGAGTCGTGTAAGAAAACGACAGAGCTTCCACTGTGCCCTTCAAGTGTCTGCTGCAGCGTGCCTGCAGCTGTGTCCCAAACCTTGACTGTCTTGTCATGTGACACTGACGCCAGCAGTTTTGAATCGTGTGAGAAGGCAACAGAGCTGACCAAGTGGCTATGCCCCCTAAGCGTCTGCTGTAGCGTGCCTGTAGCTGCGTCCCAGACCTTGACTGTGTTATCATATGACGCTGACGCTAGCAGCTTTGAGTCATGTGAGAAGGCAACAGAGTCGACCCCAGCGCTGTGTCCCTGTAGCGTCTGCTGCAGCGTGCCTGTAGCCGCGTCCCAGACCTTAACTGTGTTGTCATGTGACGCTGACGCTAGCAGCTTCGAGTTATCTAAGAAGGCAACAGAGCTGACTACGCTACTGTGCCCCTTAAGAGTCTGCTGCAGCGTGCCTAAAGCTACGTCCCAGACCTTGACTGTCTTGTCATGCGACGCTGACGCTAGCAGCTTTGAGTCATCTGAGAAGGCAACAGAGCTAACCCATATGCTATGCCCCTCAAGCGTTTGCTGTAGCATGCCTGTAGCCGCGTCCCAGATTTTGACTGTCTTGTCATTTGACGCTGACGCTAGCAGCTTTGAGTCATGTGAGAAGGCAACAGAGCTGACCCAGTCGCTGTGCCCCCTAAGTGTCTGCTGCAACGTGCCTGTAGCCACATCCCAGACCTTAACTGTCTTGTCATGCGACGCTGACGCCAGCAGCTGCAAGTTGTTTGAGAAGGCGACAGACCTAACCACGCCGCTGTGCCCCTCGAGCGTCTGCAAAATGGCATTCCATTCCAGATCTGTATTTGGCTCCTGTACGATCCAATCAGGAATATAATTCTTGAATGTATTTCGAATGATGCTGTTCTTCGGGGCGAAGATAAGTGCAGAGGAGTAGAGTTGGAGAGGCGACAAGTCAGCTATAGAGCAGTAGCTAAGGATAAAGCGCTTTGCATCATGAAGGAATCTAGATACCTGGCTGCCTTTTATCGGCTTAAAAAATATAGTTAGTAAATACTTGCAATTGAATTTGTGGGTGACTTACTTCTATTATAGCAATCGAGTTGTCTATCATCCTAATGCTTTCTCGTAGCCTTCCAATAAAGCTTAATGATTCAAGCCAATGGAGAAAGTGACACTTAAGAAACTTGTGGACTTGGTCGTTATCGCATATAATGCTTCCGCTTTCCTTTAAGTGATATACCCAATACTGGCAAGCATATTGAATGTCAGATGGTAGCTGAGAATCTATCGTTTGTTTATCGACATCTGCTCGTGGCCTTTCTGGTGTCCGAAGATTGCAAATATCTTTCTTGAGATTTTTGCTTGTAGATAGGAGTTTAAGGCATCGGGTCACTAACTTGTTATGGGCATCTTTCTCGTCGACCCAGAAAGGGTTCGTCTCGCTCTTCTCAGTATCAACGAGAAAGTCCCGGAACGACAAGTGGAGCAGTCGGATAGGGTGATCAGGATGAGAAGGGACGCTTAAAACGGAGTGGAGGAGATCTGTTCTGCTATCGACAGTACCTTCAGGGACTCCAAGTAGTCGATCGAGAGAAGTAGCAGAGAGAGGGCTAGCGAGAATGATGATCGAGCCGATGACTTGCCGGAATTCTTCTACTAGAGCTCTTCTCCCTGAAATTGTAACCCCGACGAGTAACTGGTCTAGGACTGGGAGATACGTTGCGTCAAGTTTAGATGCTTGGCTTCTAGTCTCATATTTTAAAACCTTAGCAAGCTGATCCTTTGGTTGGCCGCATTTTCGGTCATTGATGAACCGACAGACGGTTGTAGCAAAAATGAACAACGGAATAGCCATTCCGACCAAGCTTTGAATAGCTGTGTGGCCTGGCCAATACGCGGGTAATTGCCTGTTTTGGGTGACTGATTTGTTATAATCTTCGCGGATCATTGCTAGCTGGTGTTCTAGGAATGCAGAGATGTCCTCCTTGATAATAGGTTCAGGAATTTGATGTAGAGCTAGTCCTTCATATTTACCGCTTATATCCTCAAAGCCGAGGCGAATTGGAAGCTCTGGCCTGCTTGTCAAAAAGAACTTGATTTGTATAGATGTTATCTGCTTCACTTGTGAGAATAGGCGAATTATAGTTCTGACGTCCTCTTCTCTGTCGCATTCGTCAAGGGCATCGATCACAATCACTATGCTTGAAGACTTCTGAGGATGGGTTTGTATTTTTACTAACAGTTGCAAGACAAGTGTGTCAAATTGTTGCTTCAAAGCCTTCTTGGAGATTCCCGGGTCGGCTTCGATCGCATTCTGGACGTGCAGCGCCAAGGAAGGTAGTTTTTGGATGAGCTGAGTAGCAATTGTTGTAATAAACATTCCTGCGTGGCCACGGTCGCCTTCACCCCTCTTGAAGAAGAAGCTGGCGCCGAGGTCTCCCTTGTCGGCGAAGGTTTGGGACACTGTGCGGGAAATCGTAGATTTGCCAGTGCCCGCCATACCGTTCAGCCAGAATATACGTTCGCTGCCTCGATTGCTAGCCCAGGTATCTATTTGTCGAAGTAGTTCCACTCGAGTGCCTTGGTAACATCTAGCATTGTGTTCTTCGCTGTGGGAGTCGAACTCGGCGTTGTCGGCGGACCGCAATTTGTCAAGAACGATTTTTTGATGGATGTCAAGAACTTGTAGCCTGTAAGCACTACTGTCAACTCCTGCTATTCAAAATATGAACGACATCACGTACTCTTGGTCGACTTGGAGACTGAAAGATATGTTGTCCTTGCAATTTCCGAGTTTCTTCATAATCCCATCCACCTCCTTGCTCTTGAGAGGCCATCTTAAGGCGCGCATTCCATAACGACTCATCAATTTATTTGTTGTACGAGGCTCGTGTTTTGTCTCTAGTTGGTCGAGCTGCTTCTTGCAGTCCTTGACTGCCTCACGCAAGCTCTGGGATTCCTGGAGTTTCACACCATTTGGACCGTCGCACAGTGACTGGACCCTCTCAAGTGTTACTTTCAATCCTTGGGCCTCCCGTTGAAGGCGTTCAATGTCGTCTCGGGCATTCTTAACATTGGCGTAGTACTCAGAGCACCATGAAGCAACCTTTGCGGATAGATCGATCACTGTGATAACGCTTGAGGCAAGTCCGAGAGCTTCTGCCATTATTATTGCGATGAGGCAGATGAAGAGAGGGTGTCGCAGACATCTTTGTTCGTGCAGCTGAGGTTCAAGTTGGGTTGGGACGAAGCTATAGTGGCTGAGTAAACAAAGCCATCCCTCTGTGACAAGTATTCGTATTCACCCAAACAATTCAGCCACAGCTCTAATGAGCCACACCGCAGTCCCTGATCAGTCACAGCCTCGCCAAGTATGACGTAAGCAAATTAATTATAGAAACGTGGGAGGTATTAATCTGCGTGGCGACCATGCATAAATTTGCGCCGTACAGCCGCCACAAGGCTCATGACGATCTCCCGCATCGTATTGGAGCCTAAAAGCTTAGATAAGACTCTTTTATGGGTAAATGGAGTGATGAGAGTTTGTGGTGATGCTGTAGGTCGAGGGGTTCTATTATACTTCGAGTTGACGCCCTTCGCAATCAGGCGCGACAGCGACGACGTGATCGTAAATTTCAGAGTAGCTGGGGTTTGGACTGTTTAGGAGTGATCACACAACACGACTGACACAAAAATATTGGAGTTTTCAATGGACTTACAAGTTTAATATCAATTGAATTCAAAGTACTAATAGTTTGTCCCGTCATGGGGTGCGTCCCGTGATGCAGGGATGCACGTTATTAAAGATGAATAACACTTGTCTTTTACGTATTACCGTGACTGCTGGCACGTATTTTGGTCAATACAAATAGATAAAAAATTGTCATAATCAATATTATAGAACTTTATTCGCCATAGTCGATGTTTACCTTTATTTTTAGGATTCATTATCCAAGGATATGAATGAAAACCACGTATATAGCAGAATCTCGAATAAGTGGTAGATAGCTGACATCGTTGCCTCAGTATATGGCAGCCAATTTCAACTACAAAGAGTAATAGCTGCAGGTAAAATTGGCGTCGGTCCAGTTCAATGTTTTTAAGTTTGGCCGACATTTAGATCATCTCCTAGCTTACATTCTCTGCTTGATAAGAAACAGCGCATCCGCGACGACGAGCAATAGGACACAATTATGAATAACCTCGCTATCACGCTCAATGATCAGGGTAAGCTCGGTGAGGGAGCTGCCATGCAGCAGGAGGTGCTCGAAAAGCTACAGCGCATCCTTGGCGATGAGCATTTAGACACAATCACGGCCATGTCTAACCTCGCTATCACGCTCGGCGATCAAGGAAAACTAGATGAGGCAGCCTGCGTGCAGCAGGAGGCGCTCGAAAAGCTACAGCGCATCCTCGGCGATGAGCACCCGCACACGATATTAGTTATGCATAACCTCGCTATCACGCTCAGCGATCAAGGAAAACTTGACGAGGCAGGTGCCATGCAGCAGGAGGTGACCGAGAAGCTACAACGCATCCACGGCAACGACCACCCAGACACAATCACGGCGATGTCTAATCTTGCTATCACGCTCGGCGATCAAGGAAACCTCGATGAGGCAGCCTGCATGGAGCAGAAGGTGCTCGAGAAACGGCAGGTCATCCTCGGCGACGAGCACCCGGACACAATCACGGCCATGTCAAATCTTGCTATCACGCTCGGCGATCAAGGAAACCTTGATGAGGCAGCCTGCATGGAGCAGAAGGTGCTCGAGAAACGGCAGCGCATACTTGGCGACAAGCATCCGGACACAGTCACTGCCATGAATGACCTCGCTATCACGCTGAGAGATCAGGGTAAGCTTAGCAAGGCAGCCGCCATGCAGCCGGAGGCGCTCAAAAATCTACCGAGGATGTGCTGCCGTTTCTCGAGCACCTTCTGCTGCATGCAGGCTGCCTCATCGAATTTTCCTTGATCGCCGAGCGTGATAGCAAGATTAGACATGGCCGTGATCGTGCCTGCATGCGCATCGCTGAGGATGCGCTGGATGAGCACCCGGACACAATTGTAGGTATGCATAACCTTGCTGTCACGCTTAGCAATCAAGGCAAGCTTAATGAGGCAGCTACAATACAGCATGAGGTGCTTGAGAAGCAGATGCACATCCTCGGAGGCAAGCATTCAGACACGACCACTGCCATGTACAACCTCGCCATCAATGCAGTCAGAATCTATAGTATTCAAACAAAGGTGCTGCTTATGGACACGATGGAGGGGCTAAAAAATATTTAAAATAACTTAGTCTACTAAGCTATACAGTAATGTACTCTGCAAATTAGAACATTGCGCAATCGCGCTGCTGCTGCTGCTTAGTACTAATGCCGAGACTGAAAGCAATGAAGGTCAGTCGGCACTATCGCGACGCTGAAGCGGGTATTAACCCATCAAATCTGATGTTATATATGTAGCCAAATCCCAACCGTGGCGCTGAGGTTTGTCGATGTTAAGGCAGCAATCACGTGCAAGGAGGTGCAACTCAAAACTGTTGGAGGGAAAGGAGGACATGGGCGTGGGGATTCGGTGGAAATTAGGCCCTGAGACACCCGTATTTCCCAGGGCGACCGTCCAGCTCCCATACTGGGTGGCCGTGCTGATCTGCTGCAGCCACCGAAATCCTCCACCGCTCAGGTGATTACCACCCAGCCGTACGGGGTTTTTCCCCATTCCCTACATATAGAATACGTAGGCCCGTAGGATAGTATAGGAATTCAATTGTTTCATTTTTACTCTAAATTACCATATTTACTGTGAGCGTTCTGTTCCGTTGCACCCGGGATTAATTACGGTCGCCGGAGATCTACATACAGTCCTGGCCCTACATCCCCGGACCGTAGAATTACTCCCAACAAAAACCAGGCAACAGTAGAGAATTTTTTAGGCAGCAATCCACAAATCACGTGTGACGCTCATGGTGCTGTAAATAAGTTCGTCATAGAGATCCGATACGAGGCGTGTCGCGAAATGTGGATGGCGTAAAGTAGATCATGTTGGATGGCAGGGTAGGTGAGACATTTGGAAAAGAGCGATCAGCGGGAAGGCCAGAGAGTGCTTGTTCCAACAATAGCTGTGTCAATAAATGTGGCTGCCGTATGAGATCTGGATGGCAGGTCAGGTGAGATATTTAGAATAAAGCGATTAGCAGGTTGGTTAGAAAGTGCTTATCCCAACAATAAGTATGTCAATAAATGTGGATGGCGAAGGTGGATCATGTTGGATGGCAGGTCAGGTGAGACATTCAGAAAAAAGGGACGGCAGGGAGGTCAAAAACTGCTTATTTGAACAATAGATCTGGCAATAAATGTGGATGGCGTATGCAGATCGTGCTGGATGGCAGGGTAGGTGAGACATTAGAAAAAAAGCGATCGTCAGGGACGCCAGAAACTGCTTATTCTAATAATTCATCTGGCAATAAATGTGGGTGGCGTATGTAGATCATGTTGGATGGCAGGGTAGGTGAGACATTAGAAAAAAAGCGATCGTCAGGGACGCCAGAAACTGCTTATTCTAATAATTCATCTGGCAATAAATGTGGGTGGCATATGTAGATCATGTTGGATGGCAGGTCAGGTGAGACATTAGAAAAAAAGCGATCGTCAGGGACGCCAGAAACTGCTTATTCTAATAATTCATCTGGCAATAAATGTGGGTGGCGTATGTAGATCATGTTGGATGGCAGGTCAGGTGAGACATTCAGAAAAAAGGGATCGGCAGGGAGGTCAAAAGCTGCTTATTCAAACAATAGATCTGGCAATAAATGTAGGTGGCGAAGGTGGATCATGTTGGATGGCAGGCCAGGTAGACGTTTAAAAAAAGCGATCGGCAGGGAGGCCACAAAGCGCTTATTCCAACAATAGATATGTCAATAAATGTGGGTGAGATATTTAAAAATGGTGATCAGCAGGGACGTCAGAAACTGCTTATTTTAACAGTAGGTCTGTCAATAAATGTGGCTAGCGTGTGCAGATCATGTTGGGTGGCAGGTCAGGTGAGACATTCAGAAAAAGGGGATCGCCGGGGAGGCCACAAACTGCTTACAAAATGTGGGTGGCGTATGAAAATCATTCTGGATGACAGGGTAGGTGAGACATTCAGAAAAAAGGGATCGGCAGGGAGGTCAGAAACTGCTTATTCCAACAACAGATGAAAAACGAATTGTGGGTGGCGTAAGTAGACCATGTTGGACGGCAGGGTAGGTGAGACAATTGCAAAAAGGGATCGGCAGGGACACCAGAAAGTGCTTATTCCAACAACAGACGAGTCACAAAATGTGGGTGGCGAAGGTAGATCATGTTGGATGGCAGGGTAACTATCTGAGACATTTTTTTTTTAAAAAAAGGCGATCGCCGGGGACGTCAGAAAGTGCTTATTCTAATAATAGGTCTGTTAGTAAGTGTCGGTGGCGAAGGTAGATCATGTTGGGGAGGTCGGAAAGTGCTTATTCCAACAATAGCTGTCCCTGGGCCGACCCATCCGAGGTAGACGCAGATACTTGGTACGGACCAAAGCTTGTTGAAGAGATGGTTCCTACCTGAATCGCGGAATCCGAAGTACGATCGATTGTTCAAGATCATGAATTAAACCCTCCTGAATCTCTCGTAAGTGCAAAAGATTATCGGAGACTTAGGGTTTCCTACCAACTGGATCTCAAAAAGGCCCAGGACGAAGAGACTGGAAGACAGGCCCGCACTGCGCCATCACAGAGTTCAATCCTTTTTAATCCAGGCTTCGAAATGTGTAGCCAGTGACCCGAATAAACCCTACAACGGCCTGTACCTGGCAAATCCGGTTCGTCCATGGTGGAACTTTCCGTAGAACATGGTCTCCCCATCGTCGCTCCAGCGGAGGAGGAAGGCAGGGGCATCCGCCCGGACGACATCAAGTCGCACATATTGTTGCAGTCACGATCGCAGGGCGTACTCAAGGAAGAGGAGCCGCTGAACGTAGATCAGCCCAGAGAGGAGCGTAGGAATTAGAAAGAAATATTCATCACGAGTGATAAATACGGACCATTGTCAACCAGCCAAATTTAGCACAAGCGTCGCGTTTAGAGCATACAGTATGTATAGTAGTCTTTGGTACTAGCTTCTTCGCAAACTCTCCCTTGTGAAGTGGACACCCGTGCGGTATTATGCAAGGCTAATTAGACGACACCACATGGCACCTGGTTAAATTATAAATTGTGCTATGACTTCTTACTGCAGTATGCATTTCGTCTGCAATCTAGTCATGACCGCTGGCGCTTCTTTACCTCTCTATCGTTAGTACCTTTGCGCTTCCTCTTTACACCATCTCGCCTACCAAAAGGCAGTCCCAATCCCTGTGCTTCTATCAACCAGTTAACTGCGAATGGAGAACCACTGATGTGATAAGGTTCAGAGCCTCTTTCCTGAAGTTGTAGCGAAACTAAATCTTCTTTGCTATTGACGTCAAAACACACCCTCTTCCTAAAGTTTCCATCTCTTGCAAGAGATGATCGGTCTTGGACGGAGCCTGGGAGCATGCGACCTCGAAGGAGAAATGCCGCCGACAATCCCGTCAATCGTCTTAGCAAGGCGTTAAATGCAGGAGAATTGGCTCTATGGCAACATAAGATATAACCAGTACATGAATACTTGCCATTTTCTTTCCTGGGGACGCTCTCTAACTCTAGCTCAAACACGAAGAACTCCGCGATGAGGCAGTGTGCAAGCTGATCTAGCTGGCTTAGTTGAAGCGCCACTTCTCCTTGTGCGAGGGCCTTCATTTCAGGTATCTTGCTTGAGTCGTCCAAACGGGGCTGCTGGCTACGGAATTCTATGTTAAACCGGAAGTACTCACCTCGCCTTTTGTTCGTTACAGTCGTTAGATCCTCGACACTATTTGCTACCTTTTTGTAAACAGCATCGCTACTCTCTTGACCATCCATAGACGACCAGAGTACACGACAGAGTCGGAAGAACCATAAATCTTTCCACCAGGAGTTTGACCCGTGCAACTCAGGCTCACGTTCAGGTGCCTTGCCGGTGCCTAGAGACACCTTTAAAGTAGACCTTTTAGCAAAAAGATCGTTAGGGAAGAAATCCTTTATCTCTGCTAGCGCAACTTTTGTTGGATTGTTGAATGTTAGTCCCCCATCCTAGAACTTTCCCAGGTCTTCAATCTTCTTTGGGGTGAATATTCTGTAAACGTTAGCAGCAACGTTAGCCGGACGCCAAAGATGTCGCTCACCCTGGTGCTGCAGATGTAGACCTCGCACTATATTACGTTAGCTGGAGTCTGCTTCACGGATGATTGTTTTACATCTCCCAAACAAGTGCGTTGCCTCGCAAAACACTATAGTCATACTTCTTGCCTTTCCTATCTCCTAGGCTGTTGTAGTTTGTGAAAAGAAATGGCTCCGGCTTTATTGTGGAGGCAACTACCCCAATTTTAGTTCCCATAGCCGTGGCGCTTGAGCAGTCGAGGATAGTCTCATTACTACCGAATACATCTCGAAGTGCTCTTTCTATATTGCGAGCAGGGTAGATACCATCAGTAAATAAGGAGACTAAGATTGCTCGGAAGTACGAGATATAGTGTAGTTCGAATGCCCGTTTAGCTAACCGTTCAAAGAGGTCTATGCAGTCTTCTACTGATAGCCCCTTGTGACTTAAAGCCAAGGCAATTATACCCCCTTGTAGACCAGGTCAGCATTAGACCTGTCCGCATGAAACCTATGGTGACTTACCAGAACTTGTACCGAATACGAAATCAAAATTCCCCTGAACTGGGTATGGCAGTCCAATCCTTTCCTCTAGTGCTTGCAGAAATACCAGGGGAATTATACCTCTTGCTCCGCCTCCGTCAATGCTTAAGAGCCGGGCTGTAGCTGTAGGAGGCCTCACTTGTATGTTAACACCCGGCGTGTCTGTTTTGCAAAGGAAGCATTGGCGAATTTCGAAATTCCAGACGTCGCTCTTGTGTCCATGCCTCCAGACACAGTTGTCGCATATAATATGTTTACATGGCAAGCAGTATCGAGGTCTACCGCTTAAACACACCAAACACGTATTTTCTAAGCGAATAGTTAGCCAGTCGCGATTAAATTCGGATAACATTCGCAAATGCCACATGGCACTGGATACGTTATCAAGCTTAGCAAACGCTTCCGCTTGTTTTACAAACTCAACCTCTAGCAGCCTAATGAAGCTAGACGGGAGAATTAAATGTGTTGACCCCTCGTGGGCAAGAACTCCCGTTCGACAGACCTGACGACATATCTCTTTGTAGGAGTTGCAGTAAACCTCGGCAGGGTTAAAGACTAGTATCAATTAGCAATGTCTGTGTATGAAGGCTAGCTCACAATGCATATCTGGTGGATAGCTATTCAGTATAAAGCTTGAGGCAATAACAGGAATTGCAAACTGCAGCAACTTTTGGGGAGTTATAATTTTGCCAAGGAAGTCGACTAGATGGTCCCGCAAGTCGCTTGCCACGGGGTTCTCAGATTGTGACGCAGATATGAAGTTAAATGGTAAAGGCGAGTTCACATGTCTCAAAGCGTAGTGAAAAAAAGCAGTGAGGTGGTGAGCAGAGAAGAGCACCTCTGCAGTAATCCTGGCCTCTCGTACCTGGTCAGAAAAGTTTAGTAAGCGCTCGAACAGCTCTCGGTGCCTGGCTTTATTTGAGAGATTTTTATTGCGGCTAGCCAAGCCAAGGATTTGGATGTCTGAAAATTGTTCCGAGACATCCATCGTTGTCTCGTTGCTCAGCATCCGCTTGAATGCCTTAAGGTCAGACTCATCATTGTTGTGGGCATCGTCCCGCTCAGTCACGATTAAAACTTTTGGACGCGTCGACTTCGGTAGTGTTGACGGCTGGCCTAGGTCTAGCCAGAGGGCAAGTCGTTGTACGATTGGCTTAAACTTTCCAACGTCATCGTTGGAAAGTTTAAGCCAATCGTACAACGACTTGCGGGGAAAGAAGCCTGAAGTAGATTCTGTCAGCGGATTCAGACAGTGTTGGAGTAACTAGAGTGCTAGCGTTTAGTGGCCTGCTATCTGTCTTGTGACACTTCTCAATAGCAAGTGCACTTGTTAGTTTAGAGAGGTTAGGCAAATCCCCCTCGGCGAGCAAAACCGGTCTACTGCTAAAAACACTTGGGGGGTGGATGTGGAGGTGAATCTCTCCGTATACTCGTCGACCGTTTAACTTTGTCTGACCTTCCCAGCTCGGCTCTTCATTATGCTTAGAGGGGTGGCAACTATATTTTGGCGGTGGGGAAAAGGATTTAGCAAGCTCTTTTATGGCCATAGCCTTAGACTTATTCCCTATAAATACGAAGAGACTTGGGGTTTGTTTATCTGGGTTTGGAAGGTCATCTAGAAGGGTCTGGAGTCTGTCGGTATTCTGGAGGAATACATCCCCATCATTAACAGCTAAACTGAGCCACTGTGTGTGTTTGCAATATCTCATCGCGGAAAGCCGTAAATTAAATATTAAAATAGTCGTACCTAAAATGATTGTTGATGAATTGTGAATGTCTGAGGTGCTACCAGAGAAGTGCCGGCGATGAGGCCCTTTATTCACTCTTCTGTCCCAGCCAAGTACGTATGCTGTTGATGCAGGAAAAGGTGTGGTAGACAACGTTTAGCCTCCCCGAGCTTTTAGCCAATCGGTCAAAGTAGGGGGACAAGGAATTCACAGAGAAAGGTAGGGGACGTGTCGATCCTGGCCTCATATTGGTCACATCGGTCTGCAAAGTTCGTGAACATTCACGAACCCACAGCTTGCTCCACACATTCTTCAATCCTACTGGCTAAGGCAAGCGAAGTAAGTGTGGCGCGTGACGAGGACTCAAAGATCTATAAGAAGCGAATCGTTCCCATTGTTCGTGAACATTCACGAATCCCCCCCACTGTTCGTGAACATTCACGAATCTCCCCCACCGTTCATGAACATTCACGAATCCTCGACTAGTTCTTCGCACTTCGCAATATTTTATTTATTTGTTCATTATAGTTGTCGCCAGCATGCCTTCTCGGGGGCCGAAGCTCACATGTGACGCGCTTATTCAGCTGCTTGACGACCGTAGGCGCCTTTTCGGTGAAAAGTTCCGACCGTTGGGCGTCATGGAAGTGGAAAGGTTCCAACGAGCCAATGAGCTTATCTTAGATAATAAGCCGATGTACTACATACGGAAGAGGGCACGCTCTATATTCATCTCAATTAGAGATTACGTTGGCTACGACGTCTTCCTGCTCTGCACTTTGGTTCAGTCCATTTCACAATTTAGCAGGTCGCAGTTAGGGACCGACTACGTTGATAACATTTTAAAGTGGTGGAGAACGGTTGAATCACCAAAAGGGCTACGACAGCTTGCGCGGTTGAAATCGGGGAAGGAGCAAACTAGTGATGAAATTCATGGTGATGTTGAGCAACGGACAGAGAGTCGCACGCCAGAAATTTGCTCAACTCTCGAAGATCATCCTGAAACAACAATCCTGCACTTCGAGCTTGACGACCTAACCAGCTTTCTTCAATGGTTCCAGAAGGATCTTCCTTTCAAATTTACTGGCTTAATTTCCTTCCTCAAACAGTTTGAGGACACCTGCCCCAAGCTTCACTTGGCCTGTCCGTGGCAAGGGAAGCCGTTACCAACTATATACATCATTTTCAGTCCAGGTTTCAGCACCAAAGTCGAGGTATCAGTTGAAGTGTGTAAAAACCTTCTTAAATACCTCAAGTCAAGGGTCGGCGGTGAAAATATCGCAACGACGGCGAACCAAAGATTGTAGTGTCCTTCCCAGACACGTTAACAATGATATATCCGGGACCATGCCCTGGGCCAGCGACCACGTTGATGAGCGGCTGCGCATAGACCCTTAGAGCTCCACGGTCACCATGCAATTTGATCAACACAGCGACGACTGCTGGAGGCACTACGTCAAGTTCTTTCACTATTGCCTCGGTTGATTCCAAGACTAGACTTTCTCCGCACTATGTAGGGTTAATAAAAATATGTATCAAATCTCAGGGGATTCTGTACCATTTGAGTTGCTTGCTCTTCAAGTGCTTTGTCGTTGGATTCAACACTACTATCAACCCGTTGCTGGCTGGTCGACATCGCTGAATGTGTACGTGCTTGAAGTTTCCTGTTCAGATCGCGTTGTAGCTTTGGCAAACTCTTTGGTTTTGTGCGTCAAGATAGGACTAGGCAACCGATGACGGCATTGTAGAGGAGAAGAGGTATTGAGACGATGATGGGAGCGGACCAGAGGATAGTAATAGAAAGCATAGGTTGCCGCTTGACGTAACGCCGCTCTAACTTCAGCTAAATATAGCAGAACTGCCGGATAGGACCACTGTACCCGGTCATTAGTAGTAGAAAGCATAAATAGCAAAAAGAGAACACACCTTCATCCGTTCTACCAAAACCAACAATGCAAACCCCTCTAAGTCAGAGTTGTAGAAACATCGATTCCACTGTGCTAACCTGCTCTCGCCACTAAACGGGATTTTATACCTCTTCTCAGTTACATTGACGAAGCCGGCGTGCTCCATCCAACCCTTCATCTTTCCTGCAACGTCAAACGTCGTTCCAATTTTGTCTCCAGATTCAATGAATGGCGTTGCCCAGTCGAACAAGATGTGTCCTGGGCTAACATTGCAGTTATCAAACTTAAAACGCATGTCCATCTCAACGTTTTTGAGCCAGCCGCCGGGCTTTGTGGTACGGAAAGCTCTTGAATAGAGTGCGGGCCAATCGGACATGCAGCCTAAGAGCCCGCAGATATGTATAAAGTCGTAAATGTTAGGGGCCTGCGTCCACTCGAGTTGAGCGTCATCCATCTCAAAACAGAGGTTAGGTGGGACCCATGTAGGCTGGATGGGGCAGATGTCTGTCGCAGTAACTTCTGCTGAGGGGAACTCGTCGGCAAAGTCTCTAGGAATCGATTAGTAACCTTGCATTGTCTTTGCGGAGAGGAAGGGGGCTCACATTGCCCATATGCCTGTTCCAGTGCCGATATCGATTACTTTCTTAGTGTTGTCAGGAGAGAGTACAAAGTCAACTTCAGTAATAGACGCAAACCTGTGGATTGTCTCCAATTGGTGCAAGGAACAGTTTGTCGCCGAGTAGGAAAGTGTACATGTTGTGGCTAGTAATGGTCAGAATTAAGGCTGCCTGAATCAGTGAGTGAGTAAATACGCTATATCAAGAGTATCCTGAGCAGCCTTATCATTCGGCAACCTGTAAAAGAGATTAGTTTGTTCCGTTGATAGAGAAGGAGATCGTACCAATAACTGGTACCTGGGAAATTAGGGTAGGTTCTGCCGTGAATTTCGGGATAATCAAATAAGGACTCTGGTATCGAGGTGGTGGAACTAGCACTATAAAATTTTAGTCAAAGATTCTTTGGGCTTGCTCTTACTGGCGAAACTCACATATCACTGCCACAGCCAGGGTCGAAATCGCTCTCTTCTTCCTCAGATATGTCATGAACAACGACATCAGCTGCGGCAGCTTCTTCTTCTGCCATAGTTGGCTCGAACAGGTGACCCTGGCTGATAAAAATTTGCTCCGCAAGATCACTACTGACACGAAGTAGGTGCAGCACCAGTGGAGAATGATGTAGACAGACAAAGGCTGCCTCGTTGCGGCAGCATTTACACGCTTTTCTGAGTTCGGAGTTGATAAGGCAAGGCAACCCAATGTTGTTCTCGAGTTAGAAAATGACATTCCCTAATATATGAGACCAAATAGGCAGTCTTTGGCCTCCTTTAATGAACAATGGCAGGGGTCACGACGTCGCACGCTGATCAATGCCCCTGCAGGTACGAGCCTAGGTTCGGGGCGACCATCAGCCCCACCCAAGTGATCGCCGCAGTAATTGAAAGTAGGGAATAGATCGACGTGGGGAATCCGCCACATGCGCCAGCGGGGAGCCCACCCTAGCTGGTTCCCCGCCTCGACCTCGATTTCTCGTCTACACCTCGAGTTCGCGCCTACACCTCGAGTTCGCGCCTACACCTCGAGTTCGCGCCTACATCTGTATGCGGCGTATGGAGCGATGACATGCCCCCATTGTCTTTGGGATGGTTAGATGGAAGGCTGCTCTCTGCCGTGGAAGATAGAGGGACTTACGCGTGACATGTGGATCGTTTTAATCTAAAGTTCGGCTTCTTGCATCCGGAACAATGAAGTGAAGTACTGCCATTGTTGCCCCACAAAAGCCGCACTAGTTAGTCCGCTAGCCAATTATAGTGCACCACACACTACTACGCTGGTACATCCTTCTCGTCACCCCAATGCTATTGGCCTGCCATTGCCCTGCCATTGCCCTGCCACTGCTCCACCATTGCTCTGCCATTGCCATGCCATTGCCATGCCATTGCCCTGCCATTACCATTTTAAGTATTACCAGTATGCATCATCTACATCTTTACCCTTTATTAACTCATCGGCTACGAGCCAGACTTCTGCTATGATTACGTTCACTATGCTATCTAAATACAACATGCCACCATTAATTAGCACGGCATACGCCTCGTGATATCGTCCATGCCCAGTCAAAACGAGAGTGCTTTGCTTCCCAGGATTGCATTATGTCGGCACATTACGTTAATTTAACTTCTTCGGACAGAGGCAACGTGCCATTTGTAAGCGCCATCCCTTAAGCATTCTCCGCACCATGCTTACTTCCCCTAGAGCCACGGGCCCCGCCGCCAGACTTTTTCGCAGAGCAGCAACCTTCAAACACACAATATGCGTTATAACATCGATCGCCCTTACCACTGTGTCCAGTGCGACATGCAGTTCACATCCGTGAGCAGTCTACGCGTTCACAAAAACACACACGAGGGTATAAAGTAGTTGAAGTGCAAGCTTGATCATTGCAACAAGTGTTTCACACATCTTAGTAACCTCAAGAATCACCAAAACAAACACCACAGCAACTCGGTACACAATCTAATGGTTAAAAATATGAACTATCACGGGGGTAAGGGGCATGAAAAATGCGGGAATGAATATCAAGAGGGTCAAACACACACATTTGCAGATAGAATGTTCATAGAAGTAAGTTGAAAAGTCGAAAACCTTGTTTCTGCAGCTGACGTTTACGGAATAGGATTGGGATTTGACTTTGTCTGTAGCAACGGCAACACATGTAGCCCCCTTTCAGGAAACTCCATTATTAGGGTTAGATACAGAATGGAATTGGCCAAGTTAGTAAAATAGTTTATACATAGCACTTACTGCGTTGCATAATATACAAAGATTCTTGCTGGGACCTTAGTATCATTTGAAGTCACGCTCCTAGCTCTTCAGTTCCGGCACTTCCTGAGCGCCGAGAGCTTCGTCATAGTGCCGTAGTAGCCGGCGTACTTTGCCGTTGTAGCGGGCAACCGGTTTCTCAGGGAGGGGGGCCCACCTTCAGCTTCAGCGAGTAGCTGCGCTTCCGCTGCGTTGAGTAGCTCCTCTTCCTCGAGAGGCGCTCGGCCAATAGTGGATGGGCTTGGCGTCCTATCTACGGAATAGGATGCCGGTAGGGTTAGGGGCAAAACCCCTAAGGACGTACAGTGGTAAGAAGCCCACTGTAGTGTACCTCCTCGTCAACGGCTAGGTGGCGTTCGTCAACGTCGCGCTGGAGCAAAGGGGCAACGATAAGCCAACCCCGAACGCCATACGAACTGTTCTGGTTAGCTATATGCCAATTTCCAAGAAGTACAGGTTGTAAGGCCCCGTGGGAAAGAGGATTCTCACTACTTTGAGGTTTTCAGAGGGCGTGCGCGGCGTTTGGGGTAATTTGGTGGTAGTTACCCCGGATTTAGGCGGGGGCCTGTCAATGATCACGAGCCTATATGGATTCACATGGTAGCTGCGGCTTGTGCAGGTATAGCCACGAGCACAATCACGAATCCCATCTGGCTGGTCAAGACTCGCTTGCAACTAGATAAAGCGACTGTGGAAGGTGCATAAGAAATATAAGAATATTGTCGACTGCATTATGCAGATCATGCGACAAGAAGGTGTCAAAGGCTTTTATCGGGGACTGCCATTGCCCTTTTAGAGACATTTGGGGCAATGGCAGGGGCAATGGCAGGGCAATGGCACAAAAATGACATGGCGACGACTCAGCTACTAGCAACCAATGGCATAGAAGAGAAATCCAGACCTTGAATGATTTTTATTTGCATCTCATGTAGGGTGCCGGGGAACGCCCCTTAATCCGCCAGATGGACAGAACCTCTGAGTGGGAAATGGAAAGGGAAAGTGATCAATCTGATGTCGGTCCAACGCGCCGTGTGTGCTCCAAAGTGAAGATCCAATTCAATGTATAAAAAGAAGCTGCAGAACGAGGCTACCAGCTTCCATCCCAATTCTCTTCAGTCATAATTGATCACCTTTACCGGTCACACTTCACCGCTCTCATTGAGTGCGCGCTCCCTTGATCGTACATGCAAGCCTGCCTTGTCTCTCTTCATGGTGCAGCAACCTTGATACGGCCTTTGCCAGTCCGCCCATTCGCCATGGCCCACCCATACTTTCCTCCCACTGCATCTCAAACGTCAGCTTACAAGCCGCAGAACGCTCGAGTTCCTTCCATCTCCTCTGATGCCAGCTCAAGCCATGTGCTTTTTGGTGTCAGCTCATATCACCCGATTCTGCCAAGTCTAAAACCCGCTTATCTTCCACCGATTGTATGCATACGCAGCCAAAAAACCCATAACGCCACAAATAGAGTAGGTTGGATTATTCCCGATGCAAGACACACACTGATTATTGTACAGGGGGAGGCATGTCACCACCAAACTTCATTTTGGTTGGCTAGTGGTTTGCAGGTTAGACCGAAGGAGCAGAACGTCTTTGAAGTCATCGTGAAAGGCTCTAGCTGTTACACGTCACGGGTCGCATTAGAGGCTACTTTCGCTGGGCGGTGGATGCTCTGGGATAATGGCCTGGCTTTCCTGCTGTGGGGGCGTACCTCCGAGGGCTGCGAACAAGTTAGACCATTGCATCTCGTAGAGCTAAATCCAAGGAGGTTTCTGATACAAGGATCTATTTGCCAGCATCCCCATTGCTTTGAAGGAAGACTTGGAGTTGACCTGGGGAGGTAGATTGTTTCTTATTCAACAAAACCCGAACAGCCGTCTCTTGGATTTTGTATGGAAGTATATCAAAAGTACGGTATCTCAATGGCGTTAACTTTTCCCGAATCATACAATAACAAGCCGCTACTTCTTAGCCACGTTGTTATATATGTTCCGGCCCAACCACCAACCTATACGTAGAATAGTAGAATAGTATATTGAATTACCTACTCTACTCTTGCCCGCTTCCGCTTTGGCCTCTCAACTAAAGCTATTTCCGTACGGGTAGCTAGGCCTGATAAATTGCCACAGTTATGGTCATCGTTATGGCAGTGTACACTACACCCCTTTACTTCCTTATAACACCGGCACCTCTTTGTACTACACTGCCCTTTACACTGACAGGATATTCCAACCCGAGCACTTGTAGAAGCCTCTCTAGCTGCAAGCCCTAGTGCTACCTGCTTTGTAGAAGTAGGAATCAGGATATCAGCCCATAGAGCTTGCTCTACAACCCCAAGCGATTTTGTAGGTATAAGGCGTTTTATAATACCAGATACTGTAATAACCTGATACCGGTGTGGGTAAGGCTCTTCTAGAATCCGTGCAAAGATCCTCTTATTATCAGTTGAGGTTCTATCCTCCCGAGGAATCTTTAAGGAAACAATTGCTCCAATATCAAAGTGTTGAATATCATGCTTCTTAGTATATTTCCGTATCATTGCAACCCTTGCCCATTGAGTAGCTGCTATAGCTTTCTCAACTACAGGATCACACGCCGGGGCTCGGAATCCAGTTCTGGCTCTGGCTCAGGATCAGAGCTAGAGCTGGGCTCGGAATTGAGTTCCGAGCCAGAGAGCTCAATTCTGAGCTCTGGCGCTCGGCGGAGCTGGGCTCTAGTTCGAGTTCTAGCTCGAGTTCCAGTTCGAATTCCGGTTCGAATTCTGGCTCGAACTTGAAGCCCAGAATCCAGCTCTGGCTCTGGCTCTGGCTCAGGCTTAGAGCCAGAGCTGGCTTCGGAATTGAGTTCCGAGCTAGAGAGTTCAATTCTGAGCTCTAGTGCTTGGCGAAGCTGGGTTTTGGCTCCAGTTCTGGTTCAAATTCCGGCTCGAACCTGGAGCTCAGAACCAGAGCTGGGCTCGGAATTGAAACCCGAGCCAGAGAGCTCAATTCCGAGCTCTGGTTCTCGCCGAAGCTGTGGGTCAATTAGAGCTTCAGTCTCAGACTCAAGCTCGGGCTGGAGCTCGCTCTCAAAAGCATGGCTGATGGCCATCCAGGGTGATGGTTATCCTTGTGCAGTTACCCTTGCTCCGGGATATCACCGGCCGGATATGTTCCTGCATAACGTGCGGTCATAGACAGTGCAACGATGGCGAAGCAATCACATGTTTGTTTCTTGGCAAAAACTTGAGTGTTGGTTTTGCACACCCCACCGCGCCAATTGCTGCGGCCAGGCGATAACCTCGCTAGAAACTGCGGGGTAAGGCATAATCAGCCGACCGCAACAGCCACAAACTACGTCGATCCTGATTACTAAATCCTTACCAAAACGCTTCGGCCCGGAACGTAGTGGTACGGAACCGCGCGACAGTGCGAATACCCGCGATAGTGTGGATCCCCGTGACAGTACGTATCCACTGCACCCCGTCTGTCACCGGCTAATTTTATTGTTCAGAAGTAACCATTATCATACCGAGGCATCCTCTAATTATCTCCCGTCAACTGCGCAACGCGACTTCACTCTGCAGATATAGCAAGCTATCCACACGACTCCAATCGAACCAACAGCTCGCTTTCACAAGTAGACCCTCTCCAAGAGATGATGACTTGGATTGGTACATTGAGCTACCAAATAAACTGCGAAAAATAGTGATTGAGTTCCTGAGTCTCTTCAACCGAAACCGGATTGCATGTGGTGTCCGTTTTCTGCCACTCTTCTCATTAAATAATCTCGTAAGGTACTCGTTTTTGGCTGTTGCATTATGAGCTTTCACGTATTGAAGCAACTCCAACTCCTCAGTGCCCCACTCTTTTCGTTCTGCAGACATTGTTCGAAGTAATGGCGTGAAATTTCGATCGCGACGGAGGGGGATCTATTTGACCCATTCGTTTCCTCATTATAGACCGGAAGTCCCGGACTTTTTGTTACCCTTGTTATGCGCCCCCATGAGGCATTTATATAACTGAATGTAATTGGGCTAACCAAGCTATCGGGTCAGAAAATTTGATCTAATTTCACTCCACAGCAAGTCAGACAAAATTTGCCCTTGTTACGCGCCTTCGTGGGGCATTTATATTTTCTGGTGGGTGGTGATAACTAAACGTTATTGGTCTAACCAAGCTGTCGGGTGGGAGAATAGCCGGCCAGAACAATACTTTGGGGTAATACGACGTTATTCAGGATCTAGTTTGCGGACCTGCCCCTCGTAAACGCTAGTCTGGTCTAACAGTAACACGCGCGGCGTTTGTTGGTTTGTCTTTGGCGTGACTAATGACTACACAACCATATGTTCTAGGTGTTTATATACCTAATACATGCGCCATTTCAAGGGTAGAATCCAATAACAATCTCACAATAATCATGGAGAACGAAGGCGACATTGATTGGGGTGTATTCTTCAACGAGACTCCAAATGAACAAAGCACCCATACCGTTATGGACACAACCATCCCCAATCCAGGTGTCGACACTATTTCTGACTCGGATATCGCTATGGTTGTAAGTGATTATTTAAGTGCGGTGTTACAGTACAGTAACGAGGGGCTCTGCTGGATCTATTGAGCTTGAAGAGTCTGGAGCGGTTACAAAGGAGTAACTTAGGTTCTAAAATTTCTTACCAAGCCATTAACTAACTTATGTTGATATATTAGATGCTCAAAATAAAATCATAGGGAATTTAGCTATGAAGTTAATTTCGAACTATAACATGTAACGTGCATCCCTATGTGCCGAAAAAACCACCGTGCCGGAAAAAATGATAGGTACTTTGACTCTAGGCATCTCAAATTCTACACACCTATCAATATCTTTTACATTACAGTATATATAGTTTGCGTTGACACTGTCGCGCCTGATTTGCAGAGGTCTGCATTTGTTGCGAAACGGCTTCCCCACCATTGGCTCCACCACTAACCTCTTATTATTCCTAAAACATATGTTCCGGCCCAGTCGCGAATAATTCATATTCGCGAATAGGCTGGCCCATTCGCGAATGGGCCAGCCCAACCACGAATATGAACCTCCGCGAGCGGGCCGGCCTATTCGTGAATATGAATTATTCGCGACTGGGCCGGAACAACTCTCTTTTGGGTATTATTAGTGGTAAGAGTTCGTGGTGATGCTATAGCTCAAGGGGTGCTATTATACTTTGAATTGACGCTCTCTGCAATTAGGTGCGACAGCGACGACGTGATCGTAAATTTCAGAGTAGCCAGGGTTTGGACTATTTAGGAGTAATCACACAACACGACTGGCACAAAAATACTGCAAGTTTCAATGGACTCACAAATTTAAAATCAATTGAATTCAAAGTACCAATAGTTTGTCCCGTCACGGGGTGCGTCCCGTGATGCAGGGATGCACGTTAGATATGGAATATGGGGGAAAGGGTGGATTACGAGCGGTTTAGGTTGGCGGTTTGAGGTTGGGGCTGGGGTTGGGGACAAGTTTTTTTGAGGGCAAGGAGAATGTAATTCTAGGAGAGACACTTTTAGTCGAGATTAAAACATCAAATAATTTGGGCCTTTTAATTAAGAATGAGTTCCACACTATTTGCAAATTTTATGTCCTCTGAAGACTGAAAATTCAGCCATGTATACATCAGCCTTTATATCGTCACTATCCGCCTTTGTTGTCTTACGGTTCAACAGTGGCTGCTTACACTTGTCAGTGGAAAACCTGTGATTGATGCTGAGCTTCCTACCTGACTTAATTCATCGATCGAATGCGCAGATTCCGCACTTTGAACAAACTTTAAGGCATCATTGTCTAGTGGCCAAAGGATGGGGTCGCGAGTATTCATAGGTCCAGTATATACAGCGACTTTACTCATAAGCTCCATTGTCACATAACCAACTCCTCTAATATCCTTAATAGAGTCGCGATTTGACACGAGTCTGCGGCAGCATTCTTGGCCCGCTACTTACTGTTAGTTGACGCCCGTGACATAGCCTGACGGCCTACCTATTCTTATAGATCCCTCAGTACTTATAAGGATGTTCTTGCATGTAACTTCACCATGCTCTAAACCTTTTGATGCAAGGTATTCGAGACCGCTAAGGATCTGTTCACATATTAAGATGTGGAAGGCAGCTCAGGGTAAGGCTCACCTGTCGAAGTATCACAGCAAGCTGTGACTCGGTAGGATAGGTTACAAGTGTGGCATAGTGGCTGAGACATATAGGCAGCTTCTCGCCTCTGTTGAGTTCATGCTCAAAGATGGCATATTGAGATCCTTCAAAGCTGAAGCTTTCTAAAAACTTCAGAAAATTCTCGTTTCGAATTCGACTCAGCATGTCTAGTTTCTTCTCTATATCTGGATCATCAGAGAATTTTCTCACAGCAACAAAGAGGCCGTCGTTTTGAGTAGCAATGATAACTGATTTATTTAAGGTTAGGTTAAATCGCATTTGGAGGCGCTCCCAGGGTGACGAATCCTGGGACTGAATTGCTTCTGGAGCACGGAATCTGCTTCTACCCCGAACGCTCTCCCCTAAGCGCCGGCGACTCTTTTGTGATGATTCATCTTCTTGTATCCTCTTCCTCAGCTTGTTTGGCGGGGGATCATTGTCGGATGATGCGGGAGGGGATGCCGTGCCATTCAACCCGTTTTCGTCGGAGTCAGGGGTGGCTCTAAGAAACCCAAACCGGGTGTTACTCCTTTTTAAGCTCATACTTGCAATAACTTATTGTTGACACAATTTTTTTTTATGATTGGAAGAGCTATAAGGCTTTTAATACTGATATAAATAAGCCAGATATTGCACTAAGCCAGTTTCGGCTGCTGCACTTAGATAGCCCATGTGAAAAGCGAGCATTCTCCCAGAGCATAGACATCCATACCTCAATATGAAAGCGCGAGTACATGCGGAAGACCTAAAATTTGAGACAGAGCGGCGTCTCTTCTGCAAAGGTTCCGCTCTTGTCAAGCTTGAGAGTCTAAATTGGGAAGAGCATAAAACTTGCCAACATGACCCGAAGAATGTACTACGACTTAAAAAGATCTTTGAGAAGGAAGGATGCCGTTCGCTAAAGGTGGGAAACCACATACCTGCTATTGTCGATCAACATCATCTCGACACTGCCATAGAGAATGCGAAGCAAAATAAGACGTGGAAAACGGGGATTTTGCCAAGTAGTTACGCCATGATCGACTCAGAAAACGGATACCCAGAGCTTGAGTTTCCAGGTGGAATTATCTGTCTCCATGGATTACATAGAATTCAAGCGGGAAAAGCATTGCGCCCGGCTGAGAAATGGTGGATAGTGGATCTATACCTTTCAGGAATCAGCTACGAGACGAGGGCAATTCTAGACGAAGAGTATTCTAATGAAGATAGGCCTTGTGATGGTCAAATATATCGCAAAATCCGTGAATACCAGTATCTACCCCAGAAGGCCGATGCCCTAGTCTTACCAGCTACCTGTGTAAGCTTCGAAATGCGTTGGTGGTCTCGTTTTAATGAAAGTAGACAGAAGAGACTCCGCGGCCTCTTCCGACACCGCTTGGTTGCCGCTGGATTTGATGCTCTTACTAAGATTCCGGCTCTCTTTGACGCTGGAATGAAGGTCACTACACTGCATACAGTGATGGCAACGAGGTGCTATGAGGTAAGTCGAATGCTTTGCCTAACCAATCTTTTACTTATATTACATGTAGGAAATACAGCATTACCTTAATCATATTTTCACAGCTTTCGTTGGATTTTTTAACGGGATTGAAAACGGGATTCAGAGACTAGATAAGGCCACCGTTAAGGCTATCGAACGTAAGGCACCTGCAGTATCAACCTCGGATTCTCAGGAGCTATCCATTGCTATTTTTAATGGCGCCATCTTCAGTGGCTTCAGCAGCCAAGAACGCAGCGTTATATGGGGTAACATCCTCAAGTTTAGAGGCATTATACCTTCTCTATCAACCTTTTTTGAAGACATGCACTTGTTGGAAGCCTGCGTTAACTGCATCAGGTGGCTAGTTACAGTTCCTACGGATCAGGCGGATCAGACGGTATTCACAGCGCTAGGGGAAGCGTTCCAATCTCAAGGAGGCACCCAATGCACTCAGGTAGTCCAGACAACTGAAACTACCTTCCGTTTAGTAAAGGGAAACCCGACATACTGTATGAAACTTGGGTATTTGCAAATGATTGCTTTTGCAATGAAAGACTACAGAGATTTACCCAAGCAGTCTGTGAAGAAAAATTTGATAGAAATTGCAAGGCCAAAAGCCGATAGTGAAGTGCTCCAAAAAGGTGCTTCCTTTGCGAAGCAATTAGGATTTAGCACCCCTGAGATAGAGAGGCTGAAAGGGATGGAGCCTTTAACATTCTCGGAAGTGGAAGCATTAGTTCCCGTACCTAAAACAGCTGTGGTTGAGATTAAGCGCAGGTCTGGGATGCCACGTACTGATACTTTTGAGGAAGACAGACAGCATATATTTTTACACAACCTACTCCAAAGTGACGAGGCAGGCGAAGGCATCACGTCATTTTATGTTCTTAAGTCTTGGTTCAATGCATTTTTTGGCACATGGGCGATACCGGTACCGGTTCCAAACACTGACAGCAACATGTCACCACCCAAAGACCAAGAAGTTAAAAACGAGAGTGTCAATTTACAAAAGACGCAGCTATGACCATTAGGTCCGCAGCATAGTGCGCGCATTGACAAGCACAAAAATGGCGTCAAACACATACCTAAAGTGAAAGTCAGCCCAACTCTAAAGATGGAGATGGACGTCCCCCCTGGTAAGATTACTCGTCCATTGTGGCCGCTAAAAGCAATGTCTAACATTACTAGACTCTACAATCCAAGATCTCATACGCTTTGTAGAACAAGACGGTATGGCGACTGAATGCCTAGACCAGTTACCAGAATCTAATGGAGTATTTCAACTCCGGGTTGATTCTGGCGACCCGAATTCTTTTGTTAAACAACAAGTCATAGAGCTCAAAGATAAAGGAAAGAGAACTTGTGACAAAAATAAGAGACATATAGCAGCTGACGAATGCTATAAAGTGGCGACTATGGCAGGCAATAACAATACGCTTTTTGTAATCTCGGAAATAAAGCCTGAGGACGACGAACAATGGCGCGAACAACTTGAAACATCAGTTATGGGTGGGGTGGAATTCGAACGCGAGGAAATCAAGCCAGAGGAACAAGCCCGTCTAGATTTATACAGCGTTCCCTCTATACCTACCGAAGAGGTAAAGTTAGAGAAAAGCTCCCAGCCAGCTTTACAGACAACTACTCTAAAAGTAGAACGAAGGAAGGGGAAGCGTGAGACTAAAACTCCTTACACACGTGAGAAAATAAAGCCACAGGAACAAGACCGAATGGATCTATACAGCGTTCCTTTACACGTACCTACCCAAGGGGTAAAGGTAGAAGATGACAACCAGTCAGCTTTACACAAAGCTCCTACGTACGAATCTACACTAGAGATAAAACAAAATGATGGGGAAAGTCTAAGTATAATTGCCCAGAAATGCCAGGAAATTAAGACAGAGGAAGAAGACCGTCTGGATTTATATAACACTCCCTTATGTGAAACTACTCAGGAAGTGAAGTTAGAGGATGATACCCAGCTAGCTTTACACGACATCCCAGCGTTTCCAGAGCGGCCTCGCCAAGAGGACGAGGAATCGAACAGCCTACTAGATATAGAAAGTGAAAACGCGACTAATGCTCAGATTCTTGCTCAAAACACTGTTACAATTCACGTAAAGAAAGCCATAAAAGAGTCACAGTGGGTATCTAAGCCAGCTAAAGACTTACCGTTCGACCAACTAGATTCAATAGTAGTGCCAACTAAAGACCCACAAAATGTAGTCAGAGATAGAATGATACTCTTACATGAAGAAGAGGGGCTATTACCTCACAATGGTATGAGTCGGAGAGTAAATAACGAAGATTGCTATACAGTTGCTATGGAGGCTGACGATCATACCTTGTACATGATTCAGGAAGAGTATTAAACAAATATAGAAAGCGTAAGTTCAAAAGGGCATAATGGCAATGAGACGACCACAGGTGATAAGCTGAATAACCCAGCAACGAACAAACACGCCCTAATCTTCCAAATTTATCTAAGTTTACGCTTAGCCATCCTGCACTAATGTAATATTATTGAATGCATGCATGCTATAGTGTTGCCAAATGATTCCCAAGCCTATGTCGCATACCTCCAAAGATAGGGTCGCATCCATCGCCACAATAGGTAGTCGTAGTGCCGCAATATCCAAAGTTAGAGCAGCAGCAACCAAATTTCGTTCCATAACACGTTTATTAGCCACCGCACTTGCCACTTAGTGACGACGTTTGGGTACCGATGCTAATGCTTTTGATGGAGCTAATGCCAGCCTTTGTGACTGCATGGGAGCATGACCCAATTGGGTGAGTAGTACCAATGCTGTTCACCGTGATATCTGGACCTGGATCCGGAAATTCAAGATCAATGGATTCAAGGGTGCTGCAGCCTTTGCCAACATTAGCGACAAAGGCGTCTGGTCGGGAGCTAAACGCAGTATCCACAGGGCCTGATCCTGACCCTGAACTAATGGTGACACTTGCGCAGTTCATATACATCTCGCGGTTGCCAACCTTATTAAACCACGTCCAGGAAAACACGGCTGGGCCAGTAGGAGTATCGCTAGGGACCGTAAAAGGGAATTCAGAAACGAGCGGGCAGTTGCCAATGTAGGAGTGGATGACCGTAAATGTTATGCCGCCATCAGTGGACAGACTGGCTTGGCAAGATCCACCCTTGTGGGTAATACTACCGACGACTGTGAATTTCTGTGTTGACCCAGCAACCCACGTCGCAACAGAAGCACCTTCAGGAGTTTTTAGATCAGGCAGGTAGCCTTTACAAGGATAATCATTATTACCTAAAGGTGATTTCATACTATAATCAATGTTGATTGTGAAATTGTTGTATTTGCTATGGAGTGGTGGTGGATACCATAACTCCATATGGGCTGAAGTTATGGTGGCCACTACAACCAAGGGGAAAAGGGTGGAGAACTTCATATTAGAAAACTAGCAATATCTAGCTTTAATATCATACAAGAAGTTAGCAAATATGAACATGAATAATAGCAGCAATGCAATTTAAACTACGGGCTAGGGAGAAGCTTGTATCAGCTTATACTAGTTACAGTTATAGGCTATATATAAGGCGTTTTTGACATAGGAGCCACTTTTGAATACTTTCCAGCCCACAGTTCATTTCTATAACATACGAAATATAGGCGCCCTGTAAAAGAGAGATGACGATGAGTGCGCCTGTTATTTAAGAGTGTATTGACAGATTAGGGGTGCCAACGGTCTATGCATCATAATAACCCTTACCCGAAATGCAGATAATTACGAATATTACCCCTTTCTTCGCTGGAATAGCTCTGTCTGTCGCCCAACTTGGGGTTGCTCCCCAACATGAAAACGGAGAAGCTATCGTGGTGAATAAATGCGACGTTCCTGTGTTTTATGCATCTATAGGGGATTCGGGCTCCGTCAACACTCTCCCTCCAGGCGGGATTTATGATAAGCAAGCATTCTTCCAGAGCACAATTACACAATTTGAGTACACATACCATCCTCAAAACGCGCCGGGTCTTTGGTATAGTGTCTCAAATGTAAATGGCTATGTCTTTGATTCAGATGATGGCTGGAATGGGATACTGCCCTGGCCATTCCAGAAGGACGGCTTGATTGTTGAAGGAACCAGTGACGATTGTGCTACTGTAACCTGCCCTGGTGGAAATCCGAATGGCAATTCAACTTGCATTCAAGCCTACACACACTATAATGATGACTGGTCATCTCATGGGTGTAGAAATAATAATTCTATTGCTTTAACACTGTGCGCAAATGTAAGCTTCTTAAAGAATGTTGTTACTGGTCAGATTGTCTCCGATGGCCCGCAAAGCTGTCCGTAGATGTTTGTAACGTTAGTAGCTATTCTCAGTAGATCTACTGTGCATCCCTACATCACGGGACTCACCCCGTGACGGGACAAACTAACTATTGGTACTTTGAATTCAATTGATTCTAAATTTGTGAGTCCATTGAAAATTCCAGTATTTTTGTGTCAGTCGTGTTGTGTGACCACTCCTGAACAGACCAAACCCCGGTTACTCTGAAATTTACGATCACGCCGTCGCTGTCGCACCTGATTGCGGAGGGCATCAATTCGAAGTATAATAGAACCTTCGAGCTACAGCATCACCACAAACTCTTATCACTCCTAATACCCATAAGAGAGTCTTATCTAAGCTTTGGCCCCACTACGATGCGGGAGATCGTCATCAGCCTTGTGGCGGCTGTACGGCGCAAATTCATGCATGGTCGCCACGCAGATTAATAGCGTGCAGATGCCTCTTCGCTCCTCGCTTTGGCACGTCATCTCGTCATCATAATCATGGATTCCTTTGACATGACCTTCAACCCTAATATGCCGACCACTAATGCTAAGGGTGTCCTTGATGCGACTTTCGAGCACTTTGCAACGTCGTGAGTGATATTAGTATTTATCATATTCCCTACCCTACTAATACTATATATAGTCTTCTTCCACTTTATTCAGATCCTCTGGTCACAATCCGCATCGCAAGCCACGAATATAAGCTTCCGAAAGCCCTCCTCTGCAAGCAATCTCCATATTTCGCAGCCACTTTTAATGGGTCCTTCAGGGAAGGGGAAAAACAGTCAACAAACTTGGAAGAGATAGATGGCGTGGTTTCAATTCGAAGCTTCCAAATGCTTGTCCAGTGGATTTGCCTTGGCCGGGTCGTGTTCGGAGAGTCTGCGCCAGAGGAAGCTATTACAACGGCAATCGAACTAACTAGATTGGCGGACATGTGCGGCATTATTGGCATGGAATTTGTGATAGCTGGGCATATCAAGGCTATCATTATAGCGAATCCAGCTCCAAGGGACGGTAAATTCGAAAAGTGGAGATCCCCAGACACGAACACGTTTTGCCTCATGCCCAACACATCATTTCAGCAGTACATCTACCAGAAGGACATCCAGTGCGCGGTGTTTTAGCTTCTGCAGCTGTTGAAGAATATTTCCGACAGGATAATTACAAGTTTCTAAGGGAGACTTCAAAAGCCCCGGAATTTTCAGTGGATCTTCTTAAGGAGGTGCAAGCTACGCTTAAGAGTGTGACTTATGAGGAATCCTCAATCACTTTCCAGGATCCTATTAGTTGGATGAGATTGGGGCTATTAAGGCGGTATTCCTAACACAGATGCGCGGCGGTAGTAAACCAAGTGCTAAAACTCAAATCATATACGCCATTTAGTTTACAGAGAAGGCGATACAGTAGGTGAAACCCAAACGTCGTCCTCGTTGAGAACAAAATCATTAGTCCGTATATTCCACCAGACTTCTTCATCCCTTCCATAGCCTCCTGGATACTCCACTCATCCCATGGCCCACAGCATTTGTCCTCTGACTGTCCATTATAACTTGTGCTCTGCGAGAGCTTGATCCGATCTGTTGTCGCTTCTCGCACTAAAACCCGCCAGAATGCCCCTTCGTTCTGCAGCTTGGCGGCATAGACACCATACAGTCCTGGTAATAGAGCTACATCCCTTGCGCAGTACTCTTTGATATCAGGCCTCATAGGACGCTCGTTAAAGACCTCATACCTGCCGCCCTTCTCGGGGTTATAGAGCCGACTAGCACTATCTTTCGTGTGCTGCCATTCCGTTTTCACTGTAGTAAAGACAGGGCTGTCTTTTTCAATGCACTTCGCTAATCCAGCGACATAAGCCCTATTGCCCATCCGACTCGCAAGTTCCATGAGTTGGAGGTCCTTGATGCCGTCAACGGAAATCTGGAAATGGCTGAATAGGGCGTCAGAGTCATTGCGGACATCGAAGATGACTTTTGGGATGGCTGGGGATTCGAGAACGGTTTTGAGAGAAACTGAGTTGCTGTTTGTGGTTGAGAAAGCAGCGCCGCCGAGGGTGTAGATGTCTATTAGGTAGATCTTTGCTGTAGGGATGACGTAAAGCGAGATGATGGATATGGAGCCATGACGGCTGAGCCTGATTCCTTCCAAATCTAGGTAGAGCGACGGAGGCTTGACTGGGAGATTTTGAGCGCTATCGAGAAAATATAGTAGAGCGTTCGGAGAGTCCACCACCACTACTTCGGTTTGAGGTAGTATAATTGACATAATGGGCTCCTGTTACAGTACTGCACAGTACTCTAAACCGAAAAATGAGATGTGGCGTACGGATCTCCCTCTTTGAGTTCGTGTTATCACAACCGTGAGAGACGCGTGCGTGTTGAGATTCGTGGAGGATCTGAGTCGGAATCTGCTGCTGGTTGCTGGTGCGCAACCTGATTTCCGGAGATGATACTGTGCAAGAGGTTGGAGCGGGGACCTGGTGGAGATGCATGGGACCATACAGTATCCTTGTATCGCGCTTTACTAAAAATGGGGCACGCCGGTTTCGGGTGCCACTACCGCCTTTATTACCAAGTGACCAGGGTTCCTTGATCGCTTAATTTGGAGGTACCAACCCATGTGGAGACGTCGTATGACACCTCACTCCCTGGTCATCACATGGCTGAAAATGATTTTTCAGAATCGTGGTAAGGCTCGGAAACCTAGATCAAAGTGTTATATGAGTTTGAAAGGCGCAAAGAGCTCGTGGTGGTGCTATAGGTCGTGGGGTTATATTATTCTTCGAATTGACGCCCTCCGCAATCAGGCGCGACGGCGACGATGTGATCGTAAATTTCAGAGTAGCCGGTGTTTGGAGTGTTTAGGAGTGGTCACACAACATGACTGGCATAAAAATATTAGAACTTTCAATGGATTCACAAATTTATAAACAATTGAATTCAAAGTACCAATATTTGTCCCGTCACGGGGTGCGTCCCTCAATGCAGGGATGCACGTTACTAAGTTACTTTGACTGTGAATATCTTAAAATCTATACACTTATCAATATCTTCTATAATATTGCATAAATTGTATTCTACAGCTAACTTATCATGGTTCAAAATAGCTTCATATAAACTCGAAGATGCTCGTGCTAGCTAAGAAAATTATTCTGTTGACAGTTTCCTTGCCTACGATTTTCCTAATAAAGACAGCAATATCATGATTTCTAGATTTGCAATGGCAAGCGGTACCTCCCCATCAAATTATGGTGGAATAAACTTTAAATATATTAAAACTGCCCAGCCTGTTCCTGTAACTTATCTGGCAACCGGTTTTTGCTTAACAAATTTCCCCCAATTCAGCGTTGTCTCACCTCTAATAACCAACCCTACTTTCTGTCTGGGTCTGTGATGTGAAACCTATCGAAGAGATTATCTAGGTCCTTATCTTCATCTTGAAGGGAGTCTTCGTAGACACTCTCTTGATCCGTCGACTCATCCTCATTTGAAGACCCGCTTTTGTCCTTCTGTTGCATTTGTTGGCAACTTTTACCGTTGTAGTCTGTGGTGTGGAACTTCTCGAGGAATTCAATTAGCTCCACTTCCTTCTCCTTCTCTAGTGGATTTCCATCCTGCTCTTGCTCATCCGTTCTGATCACTAGCTCTTTTTTGATTCCCTCGTATTTCTCTGTTTCCGGACGGCTCTTGCTCTCTGCCTGCATTTGAGTGATTCTAGAGCTCTTAAACTTTGCATCCTTGATACATACTGCTTCAAGAGAAGCTCTGATACAAACCCATCTCATACTGTTGCTGATAAACTCATAAGCAACGTCGTGTTCCTTAGATGTTCCAGAAACACAAGCAACGTGAAAGAAGCAAAATTTTGAAACAATGGCTGCAGCCTCCTTGAAGCTGTCTGCCTTCTCTAACAGACGCCCAAGCGGATCTTTTAGTAAGAATACTTGAGCCACGCCTTTTCCTTCTAAGAGCACGCTGCTCTTGCTGTTTTCGTCAATATCAAGCGCTTTAGCAATTGTATTCCTTACCCAGCCGTGCTGGAGAGCATAAACTTGTAGCTTGCATTTTCCAGCCTCGTCTTTGTACTCCTCATCGTTTTGCGAGCAGGCTCTTGCAAGGTCATTAAGGGCGGCAAAACTCAAAATCATTCTTCCCTTATTTTGTTGAGACTTGGTTTGTCGCTGCTGCTCTAGCTCTGGTAAGGAATTAACTTGCGTATAAAGATTACTTTCATACTCGTTTTGCAAGATACGCCAACTTTCAAGAAATAGATTGGCGCTCGTCGTTAGTTCTTTCTTGTTAAATGCGTTTGCTGCCTGATCTAGCTTGCTCCGAGCGTTTGTTTCTATGCCTAAATCGCTAAAGTCTTGCTCAATAGCAAGACGTTGTAAGGCCGACAGCATGGCGTTTTATTTTGATGCTCGTTGAATATATCACTCTGCTTCTGGCTTGCCTCTAGCGTAGACCTTTATATATCCCAGAATAAAGTTTAATAACCTAGGTGACCTTTCGAAAATGGGACGCAGTCTACTTTGCCTTATTACCGTTTTACGTTTCCAAACCGACGCAACTGCTGTAGAAGCAGTCACTTTTGGAGATAAAGCCAAAACTGGCTGCTGTACTTTAAGACTTGTTTTGGCACCTTTCGTCAAGCTTACTTCCTTGAGTAATGCCCTCGTAATTTAAGGTCTGTTAAGACTACGCCGACTACGAATGATCTTGGATACTCAGCAGCAGTTAAAACTCTTTAGCCACAACAGAACTATAACTTATCAGTTTTTGTAGACAATGGCACGAGCATTCAAATTAGCCATCTTGCTACTAATATGCAGCTGTTTATTTAGCTATACGTCTTCACTTGTACAAAGCCGTACAGCAACCCAGCCAAAGGGTAATAGCTATCGTAATGTTGCATATTACGTGAATTGGTTTGCGTCCTTCTTGCCATCTATATGCGTTTCAAACTAACAGCTAGAGGGCAATATATGGGAGACAGTTCTTTCCCCAAGACATACCAGCAGATAAGATTACGCATGTGCTATATGCTTTTGCAAATATTGACCCAGAGACGGGGAATGTGTAAGTCTGCCCTAAACAGTAAAAGTATTTTATCTAACTGCCGGAATAAACTAGATTCTTGTCAGATCAATGGGCCGACACTGATAAACATTTTCAGAGTGACCGTATAGACAATGCTGACAGTAACCTCTATGGTTGTCTAAAACAACTCTACATTCTAAAAAAGAAAAACCGGCACCTGAAGGTTTTGCTTTCAATTGGTGGCTGGACTTATAGAGCAAACTTTGCGACACCAGCTGGGACAGTGTCTGGTCGCTCCATCTTTGCCTCGTCTGCACTCTCCCTTGTACAGAATCTTGGACTTGACGGACTCGATATTGACTGGGAATATCCAGCGGATGTCACCCAAGCTAAAAATTTTGTTCTTCTACTTCAAGCCATTAGGGATGCCCTTGATATATACGGCAACTCACTTAGTATGCCATATCACTTTCTGCTCACAATCGCATGCCCTGCTGGCCCGTCAAATTATAAACAGTTGCAAATAGCTGAGATGAATCAGTACATAGACTTCTGGAATCTTATGGTGTATGATTATGTCTTGTCTGGCAGTTCAGAGACAGGCCACCAAGCAAACCTTTTTTCTGCAAACGATAAGTCTACGCCATTTGATACACAGAGTGCAGTCGAATATTACATTTCTAAAGGCATTGCACCACAAAATATAGTACTTGGTATGCCTATATATGGCCATGCTTTTGATGCAACTGCCGGTGCTGGATTACCATTCACTATTGCTAGCTCTGGAAGCTGGGCACCGGGCGTTTATGATTTCAAAGCCTTGCCCTTAGCAGGAGCCAAAGAGCAATTTGATGAAAAGCTAGGGGTAAGCTATAGCTATGATGCTACAAAGAGAGAGTTTATTAGCTATGATAATATAGCAGTGGTAAATCAAAAGGCGGCGTGGATTCAGAAAATGGAACTTGGTGGTGCTATGTGGTGGGAGAGCAGTGCTGACGCCCTAGGAAGCAAGAGCCTAATTACGAGCGTCTACTTAGCATTAGGTGGTAAAAATGGGTTAGACCTTGACAACACCCCAAACACACTTACGTATCCAGATTCGGATTACGCCAATATTCGAGCTGGAATGCCGGACGTTAGCTCGCCTTCCGAATACACCTCCACCCTAGCTGAATCTGCGATTTTATCGGCGACAACCTGCGCTATTACATTGACAACTACTATAACTCTATCCAATCAGTGCACATGTACTACGTTTTAGGGCTAAATTAGCTAGCCTAGTACACCAATCTCAAGGAGAAAGAGTAACACCGTTTCAGCTGGTTTCCGCGACTTAGAAGTAGTAATAACAGTGGAAATCGTAAAATAGACTTCTAAGTTATTCCTGCTATTTACTTTATCACGCAGTATTATTTCCCGTACACATTAGCTTGCAATTTTGTATTATTGCACACTGAATCAGTAAGTTAGTTGATAACTTATTTGTTGGTCCTCTTTCGTGAAAATCCGTATCTGTCTTGCGGGTGGTGGCCCACGTCCTAATGTAACTTATACCTTGTAATTGACTCCAAACAAGGCCTTTTTTAGGAGGTGCTATAGCGTAGAATGAACTTGTGCTATACAAGCAGCAAAACAGAAAAAGAAGATGTAAAGGAAGCGTAAGAGGCGTACAATGCAAGGGGGTAACTAGAATGGTTGGAAAGTATTAACTTAGCTATGTTCTGGTCTACTCACTAACTAAGCCAGTTTGCTAGGGCCCGTCTACTCACCAACAAATATTATTACCTTCATAGAAATGAATGTCTTCTAAGTCTACATAATTTTCCTATAGATTAGCTCCTTGCTCATAGTATGAAGTACCCTATGGCTTCATATTCTCTCCGAGCAGCTAGCTATAGCGGCGTCTAACCATCCCGCTCATGCGGAAATATAACAACGGTCTTTGCGCAAATTACAGTATGTTATCAAATACAATTCTGCTTTGCACCTGGGACTAAGTCAGCGTGCAAGATCAAAAGATTCTGCAGGTAATCATGTACAGATGCTTAGCTCAGCTAACCTTTGGACAGCTTAGGATTAACCACACTGAGAGAGGGAAACTCATTGATGGAAGCACATGTAAGAATATATTGAGCTAACTTATGTGATAAAACGCACTGACTTGCCAGCCTATCGCGACATGGAATGAATATAAATCAACACCAGAACCCAAGACGAGCACTACCCCATAATCTCAATGGTGACCATTGTCAGAAACCTCTCTCTAAGCAGCGACTTAAGCATGCTTTTGTCTAGTCATGACAATTTAAGGGCAGTAGGGAGAGGAGCCAACGAATGTGCAAGTGCCGCCACAGGTTGCAATCAGGGTCCAGTTGCCTGTAACGGTGCACTGTACCTATTATACCAATTAGAATGTGGACGTATGATTAATTATGTTTGATGTACTTACAATCTTGTGCTCGCCATCACACGTGTACGTCCCAAATGGGTATTCCTTTCCATTCGTAGACAGACAATCCGCAGATGCACCTGTTATCACTATGCCGAGCATCATAAGAAGTGTATTAGAGATGCGCATGTTGATTATAATTTTCAATAAAAGCTCGGTTTGATGCAGTTAAGATAATATGATTTGCAGTTTTGAGTCGGCCTCTCTTTATAGAAGTCCTCAGAGCAACGTTGGTGCAGTAGTTAGACTCTCCACAATATCTGGTGCCGAGCAGCAGTCCTGTTCTAGGCAGCTTCAAAAATGGCCACCCTAGTACGGCTAAATATAATACCTAGACGAAGCCATGATATCCATCAAGGGAGGTGAAAATTCTAGCGCCTGTCCATAAAGAAAAAGCCAGTTTTACAGCCGACAGCTTCATTCGATATTTGCCGTAGGCGCTAAAGATGACTTAATGTAGCTAGTCATGTCAGCTGAGGGGCCTATTCAGCTGTATAAATTTAGCAGCCAGTTTCAGTAGCTCCGAAAGCGGCTCCTATAATGTGCTGCTATAAGCCACAAAGCTCTAGACTAGTAGCGTAATTGCTTTGTAGCGGTAAGCAACTATTTGCTCGTAGGGCTATGAATAAAGTTACCTTATTCGTACCCATATCTTGCTATCTGCCTTTGCAAATATGCCAGAGTTTCTTGTGAACGACACCCATTCCTGTTCAAGGGACCTTATTCAGCAGCCTCCTCGTCCCGGAGACGTCCGAATTAGAAGAGGCCAAAGCACTTTGTGTTCGAAACTCAGTGGTCAATCCAAACCCGAAGTCTCCCATACAAATAATCCTGAGAGCTCTCGCCTAGATTCAAGCCTTACAGGCTCCGAGTCCCAAACTATATCGCCTTTAAGCATGACATCCAAAGAATCAAAACTACTATACATGAATGTAGTGGCAAGTTTATCCACTTGGGCTGTTCTAGCCGGAATTACTGTCCTCCCTACTGTATCTGCCTTCATTCGCAACTCTCGTGCGCTAGAAGGTATTGAAAGGGCTGGTAACATTGTCCTGAATACAGTCGAAGATATCCCACCACTAGTTGCTGGAGGAATATGTTGTATTTATTGGATAGTGGGGCTATCTTGGCTCTGTTGGAATAGTAAGGGACACCACATTTGGCTAACGGAACGCATACTACTGTAAGTTTTTATACCTAAATCGCCATTACTGTGATGACAGCACTAACTAAAGCAGGCCAACCGTTCTAAATTCTATATTCAGCATAGTGACAGCATTGGCTAATCTATATACGCCGCATAGCAAACACTGGGCTGTTATGATACTCGAAGTTGTTGCGACGGCTTTAAATATGACGACTGCTGCTGTAGTGCTGTACATAGCTTATGTGCAATCGTCCAAAGATTGGGACGGGGATTACACCTCAGACAAGGTCCATACCGCCTAGGAGGTTTGATGTTTAGAGTGATGGAGCTTACTTGGCAATGGTGTGTTTGGTGACTATGGAGTCTAGGAAGGAAATTTCATCAGTTACGTATTTGTTTTCATGCGATCGAGGGCTGGATTCCTTGGTCTTTTATTTTGTGAATCAAAATGATGCTATTTAAAGCAATTATTTCCACCACAGCTTCTATCAGCTAGGCAAGTAATGCTACGCTATACAGAGAAATAATTCATTTGATAGATGATTTTGCTGGCCCTGAGTTGTGCATTGGAGTTTTATTGTCGATTTGCTTGAAATCAATGATTCTTGGGACTCCCAATGGTCCTTCGAACCATACGCTCTCACGCCATAGCTAGACTTACGCCCTCTTGCGCTCTCAGGCCCCTCGGTCTCACGCTTCCATATGGTCCCACAACAATCGCGATCTTAGGAGCGGCGCTCTCGAGGCCGTGACTGGTCGTAAGAGCGGTGGTCGCGAGAGGCGTGTGGGGCACTAGAGCGTAATGGGGCGTAAGACCGGCGGGCGTTGGAGCGTTTGGGGTGTAAGACCGGCGGGCGTGAGAGTAGTGAAGCACTAGGGAGCAGCCTAGGGCTCGTACCAAACACCAAGAAGCTACTTTTGGCTACATTGAGTAAAAGCTGATTGGGCAAGCCAGATCCAGTTTTAGATAGATCAGGCGGTCTTCTGTACGTCACGTTGCATTAGTGTGAAAAGTGTGGAGACCGTCCTTGAGCTAATTCTAACGACCTCTACCACACCTCAATAATTTCATCTTTCTAAGAAGCTACTTGTGGCTCTCTCTGGTGTGGACTTTTCTAATTGCATATGCTAGCTGAGACGGGCGTGGGCGTTATGCTGTGTAAAAAATAGTCGAGCAAGTCCACTGGCAACAGTGTGGCAGCTTTGCGCCTGCTCATGCTTCTTGCTCCCAGATCTCTTGCTCAAGCCAGTCTTGCTCAACCAGCTCTTGTAAAAGACTTTCTTGCTGTACTTGTTCAAGCCTCTCTAGTTCTATTCCGGCTATACCTCCCTCTTCTACTAGCGAAATCATTTCCTGTTCTACCAACGCAAGTCTTTCCTCTTCTACTAGCGCAAGCATTTCTTGATCTCTTCCGTCTGTTTCTGTCACCTGAGACGCAGAAAATATTATTGCTGCATTCGCAATGTTGCCAAAAAAAGCCAAATATACAGATCGACGCACAAAGAATGATGTGATCTCCTCACCTTGCTCCTCACCCTCGCAATGTATATGTGTTATAAAGATAAACTTTCGGTCCTGGTCGTAAGAATCCTCATCTGGAAACCCACATCGATTTTCTGTGCGAGATCGGGCTCGAAAACACACAAGGAACAGGAATAGCTGTATCAAACAAGCTCACAATCTGTGCCACACTGGCTTCTAGGGTAGAATTATTGTATTGATATTGATCGGGTCTTCGAGCCTTTAGCAACGCATTGCGTGCAATCTCGTTATCCGATGACCGTTGCTTCAAGTCGTAGATCTCGGCCGATTCGAATCCAACCTTGTTGGCAAGAACAGCAAGTGCAGAGAGTATGTTCTCGTCTGCCCTTTCCACTACCACTTTTGCTAGTAACCTTTTTTTTGCTTCCGTCGGTGTAAGGCGGCCCTCACGTGAGGGCACGTGAGGTGTCACGCTCTTACAGTGGACCTGGCGGGCTCGGTAAATTAGGGCCTACGGGTTCCTGTATATAAGGGGCTGGAGGCTCGGAGTGAGGCCTCCAGTCAATAGTCGCTGTATATACGTAGACCTATTGTTACGCATTGAATCCTACTTCCTACCTACTGATCTGGTTCCCTGAGCTCCCGTGTGACCCTGGGTCCTACGACTTTACAATTCTATTGACTCAACCCATACTCAGCCTACCAGATCAGGATGGCGAGCCAGGAAAAGAGGATTACCCGAGCGACCTCCGGAGGAGCGACTCCAGCGGCAGAAACCATCGAGGCCAGCCCACCGACTCTGGGCCCTGAAGCCAGCAGCTCCGCGACGAGCAAAGCGGACAGGATGCCGTCAAAGCTGGCCGCCCTCAAGAATAGGATCGAAGAAGAGAGGGCCTACTACAATACCATGGAAGAAGCCCTCCAAGTATTCCGACGATCGCACGGCGACGACTATAGCGCCTACCCGGAGGAAGTAAGGGTCTTCGCAGAAAGACAGGTCCGAATACAAGAAGAAGGACGCCGGAAAAGGCGACACCAAGACAGTGAGGAAGAATGGGAGGGGACCCCAAACGAGGAGGAACAAGAGACTGCCTCCGTAGTATCGCGAGAAGCAACCCCGTCGTATAGGCCTTTCGGCAAGGTCAAGGACCCTAAGGTCTACAAAGGCGAGTCGACACGAGAGCTCAACGAGTTTATGGCCTCAATCCGCGCTTCCTTCCGATACCAGCCAAGTTTCCCAACCGAGCAATCCAAGGTGGCCTTCGCCGCCCAATACCTTGAGAGCGACCCCATGAAGGAGTGGGACAACCGCTGCGCCTCGCAAGAGGAAGGGCTCGAGGACCCTTTAGATATCGCAGGGTTTGAAGAGTTCCTTCGCGACCTCCATATCGACCCAGCCAACCGGCAACGCATTGCAGCCCTCAAATACAACGGCGCCCACCAGCGTAAGGGGCAGGGTATCCGCAAATTCGTTGCGTACCTCGAGGAATTGGAGCGGGAAATGGAGCCCTACACCGAGTCCCAGAGGACCACCCACCTCCTGACGAAGTTACACCCAGAAATGAGGCAGCGCCTCCTTGAGGGTAGCTACGCTGAGCGTTCCACGACCCACAGGGAGGCTGTTGTCAATATCCTAGCCATGCTGGAAATGAACAACCGGTGGGTAACCGAGAAGAATCCTTCTACGGATAGGCCCAACACAAGGGAGAATAAGGGAACCCTGCAGGGTGGCTTTCCAGCTCGGAAGGGCCACTTCAATAGCCACAAGTCGGGCAATCACCGGGAGCGAACGCCCTTCCAGGATCGCCGTCGATCGGACCAACAACCTGCGCGCAAGCCAGCCGACACCCAAGGCGCAAGGCCTACCCAAGTAGGGAACGCCTGTTACAACTGTGGCAGACCAGGCCACTTTGCAAAGGACTGCCGTAGCCAGCACACTGGGCCGGGAGTCCGGAAGCTGGATACCCAACTCCTCAAGCGGGAGTGACTCCCTACCGAAGCCCTACGCCCTACGCAGGCGAAGAGGATGGAGATCGACATTGAAATCAAAGTAGGGCCTACCTGGCACAAGGCCAAGGCTCTACTCGATTCGGGGTCGGACGCGTCAACTATCCACCCCCTCTTCGCAAAAGATAAGAGCCTAGAGTGCCGAGACAAGGGCCCACCTCGAGCGAGGGCTGTGGACGGCAAGGAGATTGCCATATACGGAGCGGCGACCGTACAGATCAAGGCCTGGGACCACTTTCGAAGGGAGACGACCGTAGACCAGACGTTCCTTTCCATGGATACCCCTGGTGTGGATGTTATCCTTGGAATGGACTGGATCGTACAGGTCAACCCCCAGATCGATTGGCAGACCCAGATATGGCGCTACCCCTTCGATATATCGAAGGCGATGGAGGTGGGTATTGAAGAGCTAGACAAAGGCGATACTGCCTTTGTCCTGGCGTTGACCTCGGAAGGAGCATTGGAACCCCAATGCCCAAGGGAGTACGCTGA